AATTTGCAATAACTTAGAAATAGTAATAGAAAATATAAAAGGCTTATTAACACCTTCCTTTATGGGGTTTTTGGTATTAGGGTTATGTGGTCGATTTCGGCCACTCACCACAAGACCTTGGTTGCTCTGTACTGTAATAGAACACAGATGCAACAAAGTACTGCAGTTCTAATCTGAAAAAATTTAACGCGCGGATCCGATGTGAATCCGCGGGGATTTCTATCGGAACCATGCGGATCAACATCGGATCCACGCGTGAAAATTTTATAGAATAGCACTGCTGTTTATTTATTTTAAGATTTCGAAATATGCACGCACATAAAATCGCCATAGTTAAAGGTCTTATAATACCATCCCATAACACCATAAATAATATGAAATCACGATTCTATCGTGTACATATCCACCTTGAAATTATCAGAAGTACTTTAGTTGCACCGTACTGCGCAGACTTAGATGTTCCTAGTAATTCACCACGTATAGAAATATATTTTAATGGCCTTGAGTATCCACGTTTTAAACTTAGTTGACTCTAAGGAATTTCAGACACATTTCGTAATATTTACATATTTCTTATAACAAAAACTATTCATATTTATTATGTGTTCGTGCTTTTGATTCATGAATATTAAACTCACGTAAAGATAAAATAAACACTTGCCATACAATAAAAGTATGTAGGTAAGGAAAAACATAAAATTTTATTTTATTTCTTACAAAAACTGCATTCTTTCGTACCTTTATTTAATTAAATATCAAAGGTCATTTATAATATTCAACTGACTTTTATAATGTGTTTAATGAAATTATAATTATAAAGACCATAAGAAATTAGCCCCTTTATGACTCTTAAATTATTATAGACTTGCCAAATGGTCGTTTCTATTACTGCAATGTTAATAAGCAATCCTAATGTGTATGACAATAATATGTTTAAATTCGATTAAATGCAGTTATTTTTTAAAGTAGGTACATTTGCTGACACTTTTAGAGTTTTACTATTTATGTATTCTGTGACAAATTCCCACCGTACATGCCTTGTCAACGTTGTAGATCTACTCGTACCGTATCTGACACAACATGATATTGTATAAATTGTTCAAAATCGTTTTGGAAGTATAAGTAATATGCATAATAGTATTATTTCTTAAAGATTTTGATCGCTTTAGTGTATAATCACCAATGTCCAACCATAGCATTGAGATTTTAATGCTTCATGAATTTATATGTAAGTTGATTGTGTTAAAAGCTGTGTGTGACGATGAGTAGGTATTAGATTTCGAAAACCAAAATGGGGTTTGAAATGGACTCTTTTATACCTACATATTACCAGAATCCCTCTATCTATCCTATCTGACAGATTCTTGTTGCTCCGAAATTAATTTGGTAAATCATACTTCACATAATCTTCTTTTTATTAATTGTTATTTGGCAAAATTTTATTCTGCATAATTTCGTTAAGCGTAATCGGTGTGTGTGGGTTAAGTTAGGATAGTGTGGTGACTTAAACTTAGCTACCGTATGATAATTGATAAATAAACAAGGAAAAGTTAATATTTGTATGCCAAAAGACGATTCTGACTGTTAACCTTCTGCGATACGATGGTTCTAAGTTTTAATTATTTTGAATATCAAATATACAAAATTTTTGAATTTCTGATAAATGCGTGAATGCCAAATGGTTTTCTGCGAAATTAAGTTGATACCATCCACTGATATGCTAACTTATATTGTGACATCAAAATTTCTGCGACAAAAGGTATACCCATATTCAAAATTTATATAAAAATACATTATACTTATATTTCAAATTTCGATACATTGCAGATATTAATCTTATATGACTCAATATTTGGGGAAGATTTTAGTATTTATTATTGTTAATAGTAAAGAATTTGGAAGTTTTATAAAGAAGTTAAGATTTTCTCCTGACTTTTGAAATGTTTTTCTAAATATGATACTTTTTGTTATGAAAACGATTATTTATTAATTTATATTAAAGAATTTTTTTAATAAAACTATAAGTTATTGTTCAATAATAGCACTATTAGAGCCATTACGCACTGTGGACTGGTCGCCGGTGACGCAGACGGTGGCGACTGTGGCTTACTAATGTTTAAATAGGTGTTTAGAGCTGTTACTTACTGTCGACATGTAGCCGGCGAATCGGTCTCTCGGCGACCAAAACATAGGCAACTAGGACCGAAGACCAAGCTGATATGTCGTATTCTAAGTATCATTTTCAATGTACCAGAAGGTCGTTAGGAGCACAAAATCATTGAACATTGAGCCGATGATTCCACAATACCCTAATAATAAGGTCTTTACGCCTCTTTTAAAGGGCGCTGCACGCAATACTTAGGATTATGGGCATTGGAATGCCATTTACGAATAGTGCGGCTAAAACATAATTTACCGAATATGTTTGTTAGTGTTGGTATTGCATCCTGTGTGTTTTTGGCAACGTACGTCAGCGCACGTGGCCCCTTAAGAGAAGGAAAAGGGAAAATAACCCTGGAACATACTCGCCAGGGTATGAAATATACTTGGATGATAAGTATAACGCGCTTATGGACGTAATATCACGGTGTAATTGTAGAGACTCAAGGCTATTAGACACCTCTTTATCGCCAATGAGCCAATGATGCGGTTTACAACACGTTTCAACCTATCCAAAACATCGAGTAAGTACTTAGCGAAGCCATTCCAGAGGTTACGAGATCAATTTATTCTTTGTAGTAGCGCACATGCATTTTGTACGACTAACGCACTTGGTCAGGCTAGGAAAAATGCCAGCATTTGTTTAAGACTCAGTGTTTCCGTGAATTTATTTTTATTACGCTTTTGATATAAAACTGTGAATTAAAATCATGTGACAAACTTCGGCAAAATGCTGGAATACTTCTCTTTAGCGCCAGTGTTGTGCCGTGAAAAAAGCGAAAAGGAAAAAAATCCACGTTTGCTTCAAGAGAGCGTAGTCATGGATTTTCTTGTCATAAAAGTCAACCTTATAGCATTACAAATCTGTAGGTAACCTAAGATAGTGTAATGTCAGAATTTAATTATTTTTCAACCGCAACGATATCGTTGTTCAACCGACGAAAAAGCGGAGGAGGTTGTCAATTCGACGTTTATATGTTTTATGTATGATCACACATAAGTAACTTTTTACAGAGTGTCCGATTTTGAATTTTTTTTTCAAGCTTGGTCTTGATGAATAAATTTGATAGGAAAAGAGGAGATAATTAACTGTTCACACACTGATTGTAATGCATGACCACTCATAAATTTTAACAGAGTACTCCGATTTTGATAATTCTTTTTTTATTGGATAATTAATTATTTCGAAATTGGTCCCAGATTTTGAAAACAAAAATCCTACCTTAAGGGTGGGAAAATAGGAGTGATTCCCTTACACTGAATTGTATATTGGAAAAAAATAGCCACAAAAAATTATAAAATTTATTTTTTAACAAAACATTAAACCACCGAAAACTACAAAAATTTAAAATTATAAACCTTTTTTACCTTTAATCAAATTAGGAGTCGGTGCCATGCATGTCTCATAGATCTGAGATTCCATTTAGGTACTACTCAGATTGGCATGGATGGCACCTACTCCAAATAATAATTTGACTAAAGATAAAAAAAGGTTCAATATGTTAAACTAATGATCAGGCATCTAGAAATTGTAACTGCTACTTAAACCATCTAGTTAAAAATAATGAAAAATTATATTCGTACGCGTTGTATTGAATCATGTGAATAGTTCCAATGTCCTTGGCTCACGATTATATTGTGTTCAAAGTACTCTTTCGCAAGTAAATCTCCATAGAATCGAGTCTACCTATAAGTCATTACAGACAGCGATAGATTAACAGATCGGATATTGATGGTTGCCTAATGTCCTGGCATTGTGCACTACTGCTGTTACTAATGCGAGCGTACAAAGAAAAATGGCCACCATGCAAACAATTGTGACGCAAATTGTATCATTATTGTGATAATGAATAACATGTCTTAGAATAACATGTCTTATTAGAGAGGCAAATGTAAGTTTGAATTACTGCTTTAAATACCTACCTACATCATATACCTATTAAGAGCAAATAAGGTAAATTTTATTATAATGAATACGGTAATTAACATAACATAATTGGCAAAGTAATTATTTTTCAACGACACAAAACTACATAATTCACTATCTACGACTTCTATGTTGTTTTCTATAAAATACCTTTGATGTCGATTTACCTTTGAATCGATCACAATCAAAATCATTGCTCAGTCATAATAAACACAACACTTGCAAGCATGGGATAGTAATTTCAAGAGCATGAATCGAACATCGCGATTATAGCATCTAGCGATGTTGTAATCACGCAACATAGTCTTGGCCCATTTTTTACAATTACAGTTTACATACAAAATACCAATACGATAAAAGGTACACGAAATTACAGGCCAGTACGTGTACCAATGTAAAAAAAAATGACATACATTTAAAAATATACATATAAGTAGCATAAATCTTACTCAGCCGAAACGCCATGGTCAAAATTTATCACTTCCATGTCTTCTTGGGCAATGTACGTAATATTTCAAAACATCCCTATATAAATATACACATGCTTACCGTATCATGATCGTAAAGCAGTCAACTTGAAAATTTATAGCAAAAACAATTAGTCCGCCAACAACATCGAAAATATTTTGTCAAACTAAGAAGCACCTGTATTAACAGAATAACATAATACAGACGTAAAACGATAAACAAAAGAAGTGCATTGAGCCGTGCTGGAACAATATCGTCAAAGTAGGTTTTGACCAAAAACCTTGACTGTTGGGAAACCAGTAGGTACACCCTCTCGATCCGCTCTTAGTTACTACCACGGTCCGGTGATTTCGCCGTTTTCACAATTTAGTTAGTTCTTCTCCGTTAATGAGACGTACCCAACGTGTTTCCATAAGTAATTTTTAAGAATAGCCTCCGGGTAAAAGTGGAGTAGTGAATCACATCTACACTGCGTTTTTTGTTAACATCGAGCAGCACGCAAAAAGTTACAAAGCCATCGCCACTAACACACGGCCAGAAGGCCAGTGCTCGGTTGTGACTTAGTGAGTGTAACCGTTCGCGGTACCGTCACGAATATAATGGTGATAGTGAATTGTTTGTTAAAATGTTGGAGGAAGTGTTTGCTGGAGCATAACTCGCCTTCGGATTTCTACGTGAGCTGCTGGCAAAGCAGCCATCTCTCATGGCCTCTACTACTGTTGCGGTCAATCCTCTTCCTGTACTCAATGACTGTATTGGCGGTTTCGGTCGCGCTTGACCCCTACATCTGTTATCGGTTCATATACTTTACACACTGGGGATTCCTTGCCATTGTGCTTGAAACAGGTTTTTCTACAGCAATCTCTGCGTATGCGCACTTCAAGAGACCGATCGGTAAGAACCGTTTGCTTTGTTACCCTAACCTTCAAATCTCGCTGTGTGATTTCATTTTACACGGATCAGAGTATTTAAAATGTCAATATTACGAATAAGTACACTATAGGTGTTAGAATTAGCAAAGTTTACTAAGGTTAGATATTTAAATTGGCAAGTTGGCAACACACATTAGAAGTCGTCACATAATAATGCTGCTATAAAGAGATTGTGCCTTATGTGTGTCGTAAATTCTTACCCATAATATTGTTATATAATGTACGGCACATACCCTCCGTGGCGTGGAGATCACGTCTCGTAGTCGGAGCGGCCTTGTGCCGGTTGCTGGGTCGTCAATGCAATGCCCTTACCGTCCCACTAATTACGGACGTTCAGTGCGGAAAGTCTATTAATAGGAAAGAGATCAACAGTCTTAATTTAAAATTCGATTTACTGTGAGAGCTATGAGAAATCATCTATATATAGCTATCAGAAAATGAGGCGCTTGGTGGCAGCCTCGAAGCGAAGGGTGATCAGGAGAGGTCAGATCAACATCCACACCATACATCTGTCAAAATGTCACTGTTCATGATCCAATCTTGAAGTATACAAATACCCACTCGAAGAATATCCGCCAAAAACTCCAAAAGATTGCTAAGTTGCGCTAAGTAGGAAATGACATATTTTTATTTTCTGAAAATCCACATTCCTCGGGCCTATGTTTAGGACCTATTCATACTTTCTTGGTTGATTCCATACTCGATACAGCAGGCATGTTCTGAATACTTAAATATAATCTTTGTTGTGTACATTTTTGATTAATATTCTATTGTTGTATAATCATTTTAAATGTCAATGACAATTAAAATTAAAGTATCTAGACGGGTCTATTTCAGAAAACTTAAAATGCATTTTAAATTCAAACATTCTCACGTCTCATTTCGATCAAGTGCCGTTTATATCTTTGACCCTTTGGTATCGTTTATCGAAAAACTTTTAAAAACACCTTAAAAAAGAATCAAAAACCTACCTATTCAATTTCAAATACATTTAAAATAATGTCTAAACCAAATAGATATGTGCATACCTGCTGCCTCACTCATTATTGATACTAATGAAACCAAAATCGATTGAGTACCATATTCCGAATCTACTAACATGAAAAGTTTACATGAACCTCTGTGTTTTCAATGTACCTATGTAACTCTATTTACGGGCTCACTTTGTCGCTTACCTTTTTTTTGTGTCTGGGAAATGCCTTACGCATCCTTCAACCATTGGGGGAGCGAGAAGAAGGTATGTGGGACTCCTCCCTGTTCATTTCACCAGCCCTGTGGCCGGATGAAATAAACAGGGCCCTACCTAACGCCCTGAACAGGGCCACTAAAAACCAGACAATACTCCTGCCCCGTCATCCGACACGCACTATGAGGACCACTTTGTCGCTTACCTGGGTAATAGTAAGAAATGGGCACAGTGAATTTTTTTGCTCCTAATTGAAACAACGGCAGCAATCGTGCAGTTCAATAACTGGAGCACGAAGCGTAAGTCTTTGAGTTAAATGTGGAGCGGAGCTGTCATTGAATGATTTGACACAAATTATGACCAAATCAGACCGCACGGTTTTTTCAACCAACGAAATAAACGGAGGAGATTATTGTAGAGAAAGTCTACATTTTTTCAATGAGAATGTCCTTTCATGGATATAATAGCATCATTGTTTACTTTTGCATTAAGTTAATTATCCATATGAAAAAAAAACTGAACGAAACGCCTAATATAAGATAAATGGTTACGTTCACCATTATTTATATATACTAATTAATTATATGCAAAATAAAGTCAAACTTCTTATCTTAAATAACCTAAAATTACGCGGGTCTCAAAACCAACTTTTCCAAAATATTTTTAAATCATCATCCCTTCGAATTCCGCGTCTTTTGAGCTCTCATACGTCCTCGTGGACGCCGCGTGATATCGCACCTCGCGCCGCGCAATACTCGCGGCTAAGGGTACCTCTACAGGTTCAACCATCACCAATATCGAAAAAAGTGTAATGACCTAAAATGTTCCTTGGTTCAACACCGAGGCGCTTTATTTCATAAATTTGAAATTCGGTTTCGTTCTCGAGATATCGGAAATTTTCTGTGAAAACACGGATTTTTCGGTCGAAACAGTGTTTTTTTTTCGAATTCCAAAAAAGTTTTTGACATTTCCAAAATAATGTTTATATCTGCTTAAAGCCCTGCTGCTGCTGCTTAAAGCCCTTCAAACTCCACGTCATTTGAGCCCTCAAACGTCCTCGTAGCCCTAAATCTCGGTGTATCACGGACGAGTCGCACTTTCAGCGAAAATGGGGGCTACTGGCGCGAACGAAAAAACATTTTCAATGTTTAAAATAAGCTCCAGTTTCAGATATCTATCTTCCATTTAAATAGTAGATAGGTGTAGATAGTAGCAAACTTCTTGCAAAACCACAGAGAAAAAACTTGCGCAATAGATGTTTTTGCATGAAAAATCACTGACTACCTTGTGTAAGGGCGATGCTTAAGAAGTTTGCCCAATAGTTATAGATTACTAATACCGGGAACAAAACCTGCCAGATATTGTTATCGTTTGTGTTAAACAATAAATGCTGAAAAGTACCCAATAGACTATCATGGATTTTATCAGCAAGTGATGAAGTAGGCCTTCTTTGACTTAACTACAAATAAACTACAACACAGTAAATTGTTTGCCATTAGCTATGCGTAATGCTTCGGCAAATCTGCCTATGGTACTTGAGCTAAAATATTACTGCTCTAAGCCACACGACACCACTTATATGACGGGTATATGTAAATGTTTGATGCTTGGAGTATTTGTTTCAAGACCTCTTGTAGAAGCCCTTGTGAGGTATTTTCAATATTCTTACTAACGGTACTACTTAGTCACTTACAAATACCAATCCAAATCTATCGGAATATAAAAATGTGGATACTTCGGAATAATAATTTGATTCAGTTTCGGCATTGACCTTATTTCTTACATCAGCATGAATCATTGCTGATATAAGAGGTTATAACCAATAATATTATCATTATTTGTTGTTTGTTGATTTTAAGCCCTTTTTTATTTATTTTTTTCTGAAAGGTATCGTAATGGAAGTAGCATAGTTATTAATAAATGTTTTTACTATTTGTGCAGATGCCACATTCGGTCTTCCATGGTACGTGAAGACCTACTGGGTGCTGTACAACGTCACCATCCCCGTTGCTTTCCTAATCACCGTCTTCTACTGGGGCATTTTGAAAACCTGTAAGTGTTACTTGTATGGTTTAATATCCTTCTTAAACACGACCATGTATTTATTTAAATTTTACAATCATTAAATAAAACACTGTTTCAATAGGTTTAAGATGCGTATTTTAATATTTCTACTTTCGGATCCTTTACAAGCTCCGTTCTCAAGTATGATTTTAAAATCTTAAACCCGTTGAAACAGTTCATTTAATGAGTGGTGTGCGTGAAAACATAAGAAATAAATATCTTGCAATCACCTAAAGAATAAGTACCTATTGTATACGTAAGTACTGTTTTTATTCTATTGTCAGTATTTATTCCACTGCATAAATTTTAATTTAGCAGTATTAGTTTGATGTTCATTATTGTGTATTCACTAATGTGTGTTTGGGGTTTTTACATATTTGTATTCCATTACACTCAGTTTCTTTGGTAAATTTAATTTTTGTATATCTAAAGATAAGAAGATAATTTATGTCACATTTTGCTTTAAGCTAATGAAACGGTACAAATACCGTGCTGATGCGAACGTAGCTAATGCTGCTCATTAGCTACGTTCGCATCAGCACGGTATTTGGAATATTTTAGTATTTTAATATGATGAAGTATTATCAAATATAATGAGAAAATATTAGTACACAAGCATGAAGCTACATAAAGGAGTAGGTTTTTGGATCCTCTCCTTTCGCTCAGATAACTTCCGTCTGATTCTTGTCGGATTTTACGCCCGATTCAAAGGACTAAAAATGTCCCGAAGTTCAAATACAGCTCCCTGCGATGTTGTGCATACGAGTACTTACTTCAGACTTCTGGAACTTTTCCAGTTGTATATTAAAGCTCTTAAATGAGAGAAACTAGGTTCGTGTCGATCTAAACGAAACCATATTATTAGATGTTATTAACGGTGTGATATGATCACGGAGTAACAGTTACTTCAGTTACTCAGTGATAATAGCGCTTTCAACAGTGCCGAAATATCGGGGTCTTATCATAAACAAAACACATGGTAGAAATTCCGTTAATAACATAAACTACTATAATGTTAGTGACCATGGAAGTTTAAAATAACATATTGATATTATTGGAACCTTGTAATTAGTATTTATGACCAGTAACGTGTCCCTGTAGAGATTCAATCGGATCAATTACTATGAAATAATAAAAATATCGAAGAGAGAGAATAAGCTAAATACTGAAAGGAGGTAGGGCATAACGGATTATCCGCTGGAATCGGAAGTAACCTCCACCTTACAGAAGACCACAGTAAAATAACTTTACCTTTTGGTGGTGTTCTGTTTCTGTCGGTGAGTAAGCTTCCAGGGCTCCAAGGGGTAGGGGGTTGAGTCAGGGTAAGCAACGGCGCAAGGGATATTTTTAGTGTCGCTGTATTGCAAGAGTCTATAGGCTATTTAAGCCACTTACAAGTACAGTCAATCTGTCGAAAAAAATATCGTTTTAGTGAAAAAAAAACCTAAAGGGTAAGTATCGTTTTTTCTGTTAGCCACCTTGGCGATGGGCATGTTCAACTCGTAGGCATTTTTTGAAAAACTCAAAAAAACCGTCAAAAATTTTTTGAAACGCATTTTTCTTGTTTTGTATGCATTTTAGAAACTTTTTTTTGACCATAATTGTAGAGGGCGTTGAGTGCTACAATTTATGTCATTGTTGCAATCTCGTACAACAAAAAATGCGCATTGTGTATTTTCACTTTTTTACCCTGAAAATATCATTTTAATGGAAAACTTTAAATGGCAAAGTTGTTTCGTACATAATTACCAACAACTTTTTTATAAACAATTTTTTTGTATTACTTACCGTTTTCAAATTATAAATTGCGCAGGTATGAAAAATCCAATAGAGCGGTTTTGGGCAATTCAAGTACACATTTGCAGTGCACATTTCAATGAACGTTTTTTTTTCAATCATGAAAAAAAATAAAAAATAGTAAAACGTACCTTAAAACGTAACCTTTTAATATAAAAAAAAACCTTTTGCATGTGCAAAATGACAAATGGTTCCAGAACCGCAGACACCGCAGTAGTCCAATGCCGAAATAGCTAATTTATTCAAAAAAATCGTGCGTATCAATGTTAACAACTATAATAACAGCCGTCACTAAATTTTATTTACGTCATAAGGTTTACAAACATACGTCAGAATTGGTTTCTAGAAATTTATTATTAGCCTTCGGATCAAAACAAATTCCTTAATTTCCATAATCCTAAAAATAACTAACTCTTTTTATAAATAAAGTAGTAACATGTTCATATTGAGTTTCTTCAACTTATCACACACTTTTCATTGACGTTAATAGAAACAGGCTATATTTAATTTATACAACTTAACTGTACGGACTTACGTGCTCAGTCTTACAAATGTCGTCTCATTCATGGAATATGAAATAACGTTGAGTGGGTATTCCATCACGAAAAAACTTATATTTTGAACCTTCACCTTGAATTTGAAATTGGCCTTTCTAAAACATACTACTAAACCAATTTGCAACGAAGTAAACTTATCAACACTCGAATTTTTAATGACACCTGCGTATGATGATTTGTATTCAATTTTTGAGGTCAACTACCTGCGTATGGTTTTTCGCAATTTGTAATAATATTTTGGGTAGAGATCAAGAACAAATCACAGACTAATGTCAAGGAGCTAATTTTGTGATTGAAAAAAAGTGTATAGAAATTACATTTTAACGGTTTCTTAAAATAACTACAACACAGCGTTAATGTTCTTAAAAAGACAGGCACAACGAAAAAGGTCTTTTGTTGAAAAAATAAACCAGAAACACCTTACTGACAATGAGCAAGTGAAAACAGCACTTACTGTAATGAACACCATAAAGAAGGTCCGCCATCAATCAAACAGACATCCAAATTGTAGTCACTATATTTTTTTGGACTATGAGGATTTATTAAGACTGTTAAATAAACTCTACATTTGGTCTGATTCCTAGAACAAATAAAACTCTACTCTACTACAAAGTGCGGAAATTATTTCATTACTCTTTCGTGTACGTGAAAAACCCAAGAAAATTTATCATATGCTTTTGTTATCAGGCTTGAATTAATTACCAGTGTCAGTATTATGATTGGTGCCTACCTTTTATATAAACAAGTGTCTCTGTTCTACAATTGTAAACACTTCGGGTTCTGTGTAACTATTTATTTTTTTGTTAAAAGTACCTAACTCATGAAGAATGACTTTTATGATGCTATATAGCCCCATTTAACAATTTCAGTGGATTATTTTATTCGTATGACTGAAGCTTTAATTTATTCGAACTAATGTGGTTTGTTGTTTATGTGAGATTAATCAAATATAATTCATGTATGATTATGATAACATGTTTTAAATCTTGTGGCTGTTTATATTCACTTCTAGAAATTTATTATTACTTATGTAAGTCCGTATATAGATCTCTTAGTATCCCATAACAGCATAATGCGTACTTTTTGGCGAGGCTAATTGGTGTGATATAAATATTTACCTACATTATTTTAGTATATACATAGTAATGATAGTGATCACAGAACATCGACGAATTTTTAAGACAAGTATCAGCTGGGTTTCTGAAAGCGTCCTACTTTAAAGTCTCTACCCGGTCCCCGCAAGGTATTATCACATGACGTATAATTTTGCAGTTGTGTAATTGCTTTCAGTTAGTGCATACATGCTACTGTTGACTGCTTATACATAAAAGAAATATCTACGATCGCCAGCAACAGTTGAAATTCACTCAAAATTAGTTATTTGCATTAGTAGGTAGATTCTCTTCGTTACGTGCCTGACCCTATTATCAAACGAAGTATTAGCAGGTGATTTCCTGTCACCTTGTTTGTATATCATTATGAAACTCTTATTTGTTATTGCAGCCGGCAAGATCCAGAAGTATGCCCCGAACCCTGTCCTAGACGTGATGCTCCACGGAGGCAACTCGGTGGCGATGCTGATGGAGTTAGTCCTGTCTGCACACCCCAGCCGACTGTTGCACATTCTGCAACCGCTACTGTTCGCACTCGCCTACCTTCTGTTCACGGTGGCGTATTACTTTGCGGGAGGACTCGATCCGTAAGTGATAAAAACTTTTTAGAGCAACAGAATTCAGAAACCTTTTCAGAGGAACACATTGATGGTTAAAACCTATTTTTTAGAATAACAGAATACAGATTGAATGCTTTTTTTAAGTGTTATATAGTACAGATTAACCATCAACCTATTCTGTGCGTGCCCATGAAGAAAATAACCATTTCGTTTCATCTGTGCCCTTACTGCTTGCTTAGGAAAGGTACTTAATAATTCCATTTATTTACCCAAATTTAAATGTTATTGCATTAAAACATTTAAATTTGGGTAAATAAATCGAATTATTTAACCATAACAATTTAAAGATATCCCATAAACATGATTGATCTAAAAAAAACCAGCAATATTTTAGCAATTAAAAAAATGTATGTAATAATTAACTAAAAAATAGTATTTATATCTCAGATAAAAGCTCATCAGTTGCTAAAATCTGATCACTCAAAAAGATAGCCATTACATTACAACATAGGTCCATATTTCGTGAGCGTCAGAATGGCCGGTCACTACCCATATTTTACATCGAAATAATTATAGAAAGTTGCTACCTAGTTGCTTCTAGTTGCTACTAATCGTTAAATAGTTGCTACCCCCGATTAAAACAAGCTTTTAAGCTTTTTAGGGTGACCAGCCATTCTGACGTCAGAATGGCTGGTCACCTATCCAGTGAGAACAAACTGCGTCACCAAATAGAGATTTTTTTAAAGCAATAGTTGCTACTAGGTTGCTACCTTTATATATATCGTTTTGAACCTCCCAGCTTTTAAGGATAAAGAGTTATAATCAATTGAGTGTTCAGACATTATTAAAACTGAACGCCTGTAGAATTATACGAGCAAATTGGAAATCAAGTGCATAATGGGTATTGCATAAGCAGGCGCTGCGTAATAGAATTTATTTTAAAAGTTGTCTACTATACATTATGTAATGTATGTTTTTAATTGTAATAATATAATGAATAATATTATTTTACCGTGCGAAACAAGACAAAATAATGTTAATTTCTGTATTGAGTTATTTTTGTTTTTTTTCTAATAAATATTTCTGATGAGGGTAGGTAAATTTTTACTTTATTATGCAGAACAGTCTACTTTTATTTCTGGTACAATTATCGCATTCAATGTTTGTATTGTTTTATTATAGTAAATTAATACCAATTGTTGAGGAGCTCGATGGCGCATTTGGCTGCGATTGTTGAAGTTAAACAACATTCGCAATGGTCGATCATTGGATGGGTGACCGAAAATCTTCTATCTCGAGTTCCTCCGTGCTTCGAAAGGCACGTTAAGCTATTAGTCCCGGCTGCATCTGCAGTCGTTAGCACCCGCCAATCCGCACTGGGCCCGTGTGGTGGGTCATGACCCAATCTCCCTATGCTATCCATAGGGAAGGCCTGTGCTCCAGCAGTGGGGACATTAATAGGCTGATGATGATGATGATGATGAATACCAATTGTGCGGGACGCCGGGCTGTCGTAGTAGCGAGAAGTTACCGACCCGCACTTATTAGGTGGAGGGTCGAACGGAGGTGTCTTGACGATGGAAGTGGACTGTAGCTGGCGAAATAAAACCACTCAAGATTCGTTGTCGAAGAAAGTCGGTGTGCGCTGGTAATGGATGGCCGGTAAGAAGTCTTCAAGATCCAGGGAGAACCGCTAATTATTCCTTCTTCTTATTAGTAGGAGCGCCGGTCGCTGAATGACATAAACAAATCTTAGTACCAAACAAATCGCACCAGTAAAGTTAGTTTTAAACAATAATCACTATGAATTGATTTCAATTATTGAATTTGTTCCACCTGGATTTGGTGAAATGGGCCATTACAAGGCACATCGCAAACGTGAGAATATATGGCAGTGTTACAACGGTCTGAATAATAGAATTACAAAAAGTAATAAGAAAGTAATGTGCAGTGTAATATATTTAAAGAGAAAAAACACAACTTCTTTTTATTAAATTATTATTGTTAGTCATTATTTGTTTTATTTACTGCAATAATGACTTTAAATAAGTTTGGGTATTGCATAAGCAGGAAGTGGCGCCTGTTCAAGCAATACCCATTAAGTGCGGGTCGATAACTTCTCGCTACTACGACAGCCCGGCGTGCCACACAATTGGTATTCATCATCAACATCAGCCTATTAATGTCCCCACTGCTGGGGCACAGGTCTTCCCTATGGATGGCATAGGGAGATTGGGCCATGACCCACCACACGGGCCCAGTGCGGATTGGCGGGTGCTAACAACTGCAGATGCAGCCGGGACCAATAGCTTAACGTGTCTTTCGAAGCACGGAGGAACTCGAGCTAGAAGATTTTCGGTCACCCATCCAATGATCGACCATTGCGAATGTTGCTTAATTTCAATAATCGCAGCCAAATGCGCTAGCGCCATCGAGCTCCTCAACAATTGGTATTAACTTACTATAATAAAACAATACAACGCTTTGAATGCGATAATTGTACCAGAAATAACAGCAGACTGTTCTGCATAATAAAGTAAAAATTTAGCTACCTTCATCAGAAATATTTTTTACAAACAAACAAAAATAACTCAATACAGAAATTAAAATTAGTTTGTCTTGTTTCGCACGGTATAATAATATTATTCATTATATTATTACAACTAAAAACATACATTACATAATGTATAGTAGACAACTTTTAATAGTTATTTATTATACAAGAGTGGAAAGTTCCTTTTTAACCGCGTGCTCGATTTGGATGACCGAGCAAGCGAAGGATTCTAAAGTTGAATCACGAGCGCAGCGAGTGATTCTAAATTAGAATCCTGAGCGTCAGCGAGGGAAACAAACGAGCACAAGGTGAAAAATCTTTCCACTCGAGTGCAATACGTAACTTTTCATCACATCATCATAACCACCTCAGCGAGGAAATGACAAAATGAAAAAGAAAACAATTTATAATGACAAAATATTTAAGCAATAAAACGTGAAAAACTAGAATGGCGCGAAGCACGCAAATAAAACAAAGAAACCAAGAAGGTTCCAAATTTAAATTTTTTCACAATTTAAAAAGTTCTAATCATAAATTTGGCACCATAGAGGTTACATTAAATAGGTTTAATGACGTTTTGAATTTACAATTATATTGAGTACTCATTATATGTGATGTTCTAAATTCAAATCTACTTTGCCGCTCAAGCGAATAAAATAGAATTTTCCAGCCAGATTTCGAAGCGCAAAATTACACTTTCCGAGGTGGTGGGATGAAAAATAAATTCTATTACGCAGCGCCTGCTTATGCAATACCCATTATGCACTTGATTTCGAATTTGCTCGTATAATTCTACAGGCGTTCAGTTTTAATAATGTCTGAACGCTCAATTGATTATAACTCTTTATCCTTAAAAGCTAGGAGGTCCTAAACGATATATATTAAGGTAGGAACCTAGTAGCAACTATTGCTTTAAAAAAATCTCTATTTAGCTACGCAGTTTGTTCTCACTGGATAGGTGACCAGCCATTCTGACGTCAGAATGGCTGGTCACCCTAAAAAATAGTTTATTTTGTTTTAATCGGGGGTAGCAACTATTTAACGATTAGTAGCAACTAGAAGCAACTAGGTAGCAACTTTCTATAATTATTTCGATGTAAAATATGGGTAGTGACCGGCCATTCTGACGCTCACCATATTTCGTAATATTATTGTGACCTCGTGGCGTCACGTGCGGCAAGATCACTCAGGCCAGTGACACGCTCAAGTTCAATATTGTCGTCAGTATGTTTGTTTCACCTTAAAACCTTTAATTTATGCAGGGATGAGTAGATAATAAATAAATTTTAATAATAAATATTTCCAACACGCACACCAATTAGCCTAGCCCCAAAGTAAGCACTGTAAGGCTTGTGTTATGGGATAATAGGGTAACGGATAGAATACATATACTGTACATATATAAGTATCTTTATATAGAAATACATATTAAACATCCATGACTGGAGTACAAATGCTCGTATTCATCACACAAACATCTGCCCCCACCGGGATTCGAAACCGGGACACCACGAAACCCGGCGTACAAACCACTCGGCCACGGAAGTCGTCATAATAATAGATATAGATTTGACTATCAATCTTGAAGCAGGTCATTGAATCTCAAGTATTTATAGAAATATGTAGGTGCAAACATTATAAGATCGATTTTTAAATTTGTTTTGGTCGAGTATTAGGTATCTAAATTAGTTGTAACGTGGGATTATCTAACATTATATTTTCATAAAATTATAGTTATCCATATGCAAATAGTTAATATTGTATAATGTAGTTAAGGACTAGCAACCTTTTCCGACCACACATGAACACTGATAAAATAATGAGATTTCAATGCCATAACGCCATCACGATTTCCGGCTTTATTAATGAATTTTTCAGATTTTAAAACATCAATAAATAAATAAATCAGTGCATCTATACCGTCTCATCTATATCTATACCGTATTATAAATAAAACAAGTTTCAATGGTAAAGATGCACTGATTTATTTATTTATTAAAACATCAATAAATCATGCATCTATACCGTTTAAACTTGTTTTATTTATAATAAAAGGTCTCAAATATTAATATTTGAATGAAGAACGCTTTTTCGGTACTATCGGTTCTGTTTGAAACCTTCAGCCTTCTGGACTCAACGGCACTCCGCATCCGCTTCATAGAAGCAAGCTAAAGCTTAAAAACCACTTCAACGTGAAATAGTTAACGCTTTTTATAACAATATCGTTTCCTTTTCCAGTTGGGGCAACGCGTTCATCTACCCAGTGATAGACTGGTCGAAGCCGCAGCAGACGGTGATAGTGGTGGCCCTGACGGCCTTGTTCCTGACGCTCATGCACCTCGTGGTGGTCGCCATTGCATCGACCAGGGACGCCATCTGCCGACGCTTCCGGAATACCCCTGGCATATACAACGACGGCTTCGGGGATGAATCGTGATAATAACGACAACAACATTCTCCAGCTTAGCGACCCGAAGAAAAGAGAAGAAGGGAAGAGATGATGCCACTGCTTCCAGTCTTAACGGGTCCTTACAACTCGAAGAAGTTTTTAAGGAGCGCTTAGCATGTCAGTCTCGTTTCTTCTGAAATGGAGAAGTCTTCGCAGCTCGAACAAGTTTTTGATAAACTGGTCTTTTCAGTGGCACTTAAGATGCAAAATAATATGATATCCACTGGGTAAACTCATGTACAATGTCCATGGCCAGAGGAATCTAGCCTTAGTCTCCTAAAACAACATCAGGATTTTTGAAAACTAGGCACACAAAAAGTAGGAAATCTTTTACCAGGAGACGAGTCAAAGATGTTTAGCATAAATAAATACTTTGGTGTATAAATGGGAACCTCAACCAAACCTTTGTTAGTCTTGTTAAGGTTTTAGTTTCACATAAGTATTTCTTGACTTGTCTATATAACATTTTCTGGTTTAAACGGAACCTACAGGCACTTATTACAACATAGTTTTAACCTTACTTATAATCTCGGAACAATGAAAATCTATCTTATTCAGTCGGCAAAAGCTTTTTTATAGTAGGAAAAGATTGAAATTACTGCATTGTTATGTCAATACTCAGTATTGCAATAATTAAACTGCGGTAAGCATGCATACTTCACTCAATAGTTTTTTTATATTAATATTACAACAAGGAATGACGTAGGTCGTCTATAGTAATTCTATGGTACCAAAGAATCAAGTTTAAGTTAACGACCACACCATAGTAACATGATGAATTGAAACAGAAACTAGTTAATAGATTCTTAATAACTATCTAAATCTATTGTATTTTGTCAGTAAGATGTTGTTGTATCTTATCGTGTTACGTTGATCGTACCTAATACATAAACATTAAACACCTCAACATCGTTGTCCTTCACCCACGTGACGTTATAATAATCGAGATCTGTTATTATGATATTAATCTGAGCGAAATATTTTTATGGACTGGGAGAGACCGAAAACATAGAATACGCAAGTTAGCTTGCACTTTTCCGCAAATCTTTTAATCTTTTATTTTCGAGAGTTTTAGACGGAGAATTTTTAGTATCTTTGTAGATAGAATATTAGTCACTATGATTTCTTTGGTGACATTTTGGAGTCGACCAATGGCAAAATGTATTATGCTTGTATTTTTTTATACTTATTAGGTGTCGCCTAGCCATAGCCGACTTATTTTACGCGCATGAGAGTTAATTTAATGTATTTCAATATATTATATATAAATATTAAATACGCTTTCTAGACTTCTCCATATAAACTTTAATTATGCAGAAATCTCATAGTCCTCCATGAGAAAGGTTTCTTGAAAAAGAGGTAGGTACGAATTTTTTTCCCTCACAAATTAATATAACTAGAATGCATCGACTTTTCCCAATATTGGGTCCCGACTGTTAAAGTAGCTTTGTTCCTTATTAAACATAATTCAAGACTACTGGACTTGTTTTTTGTAATAGTTTTATATAGCTATAACGACGTAGTGTCGCCCTTACATTAAAAGCTCTAATCCTACGGATATGGCGTAAACTTATGTACCTATATAAAATATTTTATTATGTCAAGGACGTGTCTAACGATCTCAATCTTGGGTGCGTACGTGCTTTAGCCATACTGAGAAATATAAGGAATTGAGATGATATGCTGTCAAGGCCCCACATATACTATGAGCCTCATATGATTAATGTACGCCACGGGGAGTATTTCGTAAGAGATAAGTACTTAAATAACTATTAATGGAAGTACTTAACTGTGTGACCGACTTTGTCTATACACTATAGAATATGTACTCTTACTATAATATTTTTAACAACATAATAGTTAAAACATTTTTTTTACTATTTTAACGAAAAGAGTGAAACGATGTTGGTTTCTTTGCCTTTTAGGTTTTTTTACTCTTTCATTATTTTGTATTAAAAAGTGTAACTAGTAAGATAAGAAAATGAAATCAAAAATACAAATGCAATCTTAGCGTGTTAATGTATATATTTTAGTTAATTTTAGAAAACTTAGTTAATATAGAGAGATTACATTTTTAAGATAGCAAAGCAAACTGTGATTTATTAAGTAAATATGTAGGTACCTACAGCAGTTAATTTCCAATACGAAATCTCATTTTTTTTAATTGTGTCAATTTTCATTAATATTATAACAAATAGAAACTTAATAAACATTTAGATAGTGGATATGAATATGAAATGCTACTGCATAAAATTGACATTGTCCATAGAAAGCTATTGCAGTTAATCCTTTATTTTTTTAAATTAATATCAGGTATTATAAATGTAAATTAATATTTATTTTTACTTTAAGCATTATTTATGCAACCTTGTATACAACTCAGTATCTATCTAATTCATTCACTAAAATTTCTTACAAAGTATGTAATAATGTGAAAGCAAGAAATAATATCATTGAAATTATGTACTTATTTGATAGTTTAACTTCAATACAATTATTTTCATAATGTTTGGAGCTGTTCTATCTTATAAAGTCTTCATACTAGGTAATATAATCAGTTATCATGAGGCTAAATAACGTCCCCGAATCTGGGGCACAGGCTATGAAATGAAGAATTTCTATAAGAACAGTGACAGCATTCATTTTAGTATAATTTGATAATTTATTGGCTACTAATGTTGTAAATATGAAACAAGGTATCGAGTTTAGTTGTATACGTTATTAATTTGCTAACCAATCACTCTGAAACGGCTGAACTTTTGAATAAAATTAACACGTAAGATACTTTTTGCCTCAGGGAAAGAAAGAAAAAAAGTCTGGACTCAGTTCAAATAAAGTTGTAGTAAAAATACAAGTTATTTTTATTGCCCACAACTTTGTTACCAACACTTATCAAGAATATTACCATGATAGAGCTACCAACAAATTATAATATGAATGGTTGTGGTCTGAGCAACTTTTTGATTAGTAAGGATGACTATTTTAGATAAGACATTACATGTAAGTATTCATATCGATCCATATCAAATTTTATATAAGATTTAGATAATTCCACCTGTAATTATAACATAGGTATACATTGTTAATGTATCTCCTGATATACTTATCAAATAAGTAACCTTATATAACAAAGTAAAAAAAAGTTTTCAATTAGGTGTTTTGAGAAAAATATACACCATGAATTTTGATTTACTTGAGAAAATACACTAGCGAATTCAGCCAAAACGATTTAGGTTAGTTACATATATCTGCAATTTTTTTTTATTATATTTTCGAATAGTGTTTCCACGTTTACTCAATGATTGTGCAATTATGAACCTTGAAAACTACTTTTATGATCTATGTACTTACTTAACTAATTAATAAGTACACAATATGTATGTATGTTATTTTCAACTTCGTTTATAGGATATTTTAAAAACGATATAAATCAATATTTTTGTTTGGTGGTGATATTCATTTACTATTTATAACTATTTTTATTTATACGATTTTTAAGTGTCTTAGGTAACCCAAAATTCACAGTGTATTGTAGATAACTTAAAACATTGTTAATTATTTTTATTAGCACTACAAAAAATATAATTAATAAGTCACCATTTACCATAGAGTTTAAACCCTTGCTTGATTCTTTCTACATAATTTTTACCTTGTAGAATATTCAAAAATTTTATTTATAAAGTTTTTTGCTTTGTTGCTTTTATAATGCTCATTTATCATCGTCAGTATCGAATTTAAAAAAAAAACTTTATGAATATATGTACATTAATATATACAGGAACAATGAACTTTAAACTAAAAATCTTAAAAAATATAATATACTAACTAAAAGGAGTCCCTTTATGCATGGTTCCGAAGATACTGGCAGCGTATCGAATTGTCATGTAATATGACTCTACACTTGTTATAAATATTTTTGTGGTTTCGTATAGGGACACGATATCGAATAGAAAGTATCGATACTGTACTCATGAGTAGTATCGGTAAAAAAGTATCGTACTCGTAAAAGTATCGAAACAAAAGTATCGATACTTCAAAGTATCGAGTACATTTCATAGGGCCTTATTGGATCCTCTGTGGCCCGATGAGCAACCCCCCCCCCCCCCCGGGTTAAAAATTGAAAGAAAAACAATCCAATTTTATTATAGTTTTTTTTTTTTATAGATAGATCCGACAAATGACTCCACCCCACCTGATGTTAAGTGAAGGTGAAGTCCAGACGCGAAGATAGCTGATACAGCAGTTCTAACTGCCACACCAGCCATCCTCACCCTGCCGGCCTGCAAGTTGCTTCTTCACGCCTCTTTTAAAGGATCCCAGATTGTAAGAGGGTGGGAACACGTGAGCGGGCAGAGCATTCCATTTACGGATAGTACGACAAAGAAATGAGTCACCAAATTTCTTTGTACGCGTTGGAATTGTAGCCACAGTTAGACGGTGACAACGTAAGCCAGCGCGCGTGGTCCTCTGAAGGAAAGGGGAAGGTGGAATAAGAGAGAGTAACTCCTCAGAACACTCGCTGTGGTACAGGCGATAGAACGCGCTTAGTGACGCCACGTCACGGCGTAATTGAAGAGGCTCGAGGTGTTTAGTCACCTCCTCATCGCCTATGATGCGGATTGCGCGCCGCTGTAACCTATCCAAAGCATCGAGCAAGTACTTAGCGGAGCCATCCCAGAGGTGCGAGCAATATTCCACGCAAGACCGCACCTGCGTTTTATACAACAAGCACAGTTGCTCGGGCGTGAAAAAACGCCGCACCTTCTTCAGGACTCCGAGTTTGCGTGAGGCTGTTTTTATCACACTTTCGATGTAATTCTTTGGATTTAAGTCACAGCGAATCTCCATACCGAGCATGGTGATACTGCTCTCTAGCTCCAGTGTTGTGCCCTGAAGAGAAGGATATAAAAGGAATGGCGACGTTTTTGCCGTGAAAGCACAGACCTGGGTTTTCTTAGCATTGAACTCAACCAAGTTCTTGGTACCCCATACAGAAATGTGGTCCAAAGCTTGATTGAGCTCAATGACAAGATTCTCCCGTTTCTCCTTGGTTACCGCCTGCCCAGCCGCTGCTTGTCCGAGATACCCCGCATGCACTGTACTATCGTCTGCATAGCAATGAATATTCCCAAGAGGAATTAAGTCATTGATATGCAGCAGAAAGAGAGTGGGGGATAGGACGGAGCCCTGGGGAACGCCGGCATTCACTGACATGAACCGCGAACTGCTACCATCCGTAAGGACACGAATTCTACGCTCATGCAGGAAGTCAGCTACACAAGAACAGAACTGGGCCGGCAGACCGTATGCCGGAAGCTTGGAGAGAAGACTTTTGTGCCAGACCCTGTCGAATGCCTTGGCAATGTCAAGGCTAATACGACTCGCCTCGCTTGTCGATAGCCTCACCCCAGATATGAGTCAAGTACGCTAGAAGATCACCCGTCGATCGTTTCGGTCTAAAACCTTATTGACGATCATTGATCAGGGAGTGATCCTCTAGGTAGCGGGTCAGATGGTTGTTAAGGACCTTTTCTAGGACTTTACATAATACTGAGGTGACTGCTATTGGCCGGTAGTTAGCCGGGTCTGAGCGATCCCCTTTTTTGGGTACCGGTTGCACGTTAGCATCTCTCCAAGCTTCCGGCACACGCCCCAAAGAATACGAGCACTGGTACAAACGCGTGAGCACGGGAGACAACTCCGCTGCACATTTTTTCAGTACTACTGCTGGGATGCCGTCGGGTCCACTAGCTTTCCGGACGTCGAGTGATTGCAATTCGGCACGAACCTCACGCTGCCTGATTTTGATATCCGGCATCGTTGTGCCACAATGAGGTAATGATGGTGGCGGTGCATTGCAATCATCGATTCGGGAGTTAGCCGCAAAGAGTTTTGCCAGTAAATCGGCTTTCTCCTGCGGCTTATGAGCTAGTGTTCCGTCTGGGCATCTCAGAGGTGGCAGCGAGGGCTGGCAGAAGTTCTTTTGCACGGCCTTGGCCAAACGCCAATAGCTACGGGAGCCCGTAGGATGCGTTATAAGTTCGTGACCAACACGTGCTACGCGCTGGGCATCCGCTCTGATGTAAGCCTTCTTACAGGCCTTGGAAGCAATATTGTAGGCTGCTTTTAGTGAATCGACCCCGGGATCCTTAATAGCGCGGCCTCTGATCCAAGCACGATATGCCGCTTGCTTACGCGAGGCAGCTTCAGCACAGTCGTGATTGAACCAGAGGTTACGTATGCCCTTACTGATGAGATTGGAATGAGGAATATAGTATTCCATACCCATTACAATCTCCTCAGTAATAGCAACGGCGCTGGCTGATAGGTCCTTGTCACTGAAGCAGCGCTGCTTCCAAGGGACGGACGCAAAGTAGTCACGCATACCGTCCCAATCTGCCGACCCATAATGCCAAATCCGGCGTTTTACCACCGTTGGACGTGGAGGCTTGGCCTGTGGCGCTTTGGCAGATATCAGGCAGTGATCTGAAGAGCCCAGGGGGGCTCCTACCACAACCTGATAGCCCTGTGGATGGGTCGTGAGCAGAAGGTCCAGTAATGAAGGCGCTTGACTTGAAATATCTGGAATCCTGGTGGGCTGATCGACCAGTTGTTTCAAGTCCTGCGTGAGAGCGAACGCGTGAGCAGAGATCCCTGCATGGTCAGTTTTCGAGGAACTTAACCACAAATTGTGGTGAGCATTAAAGTCCCCCAAAAACACCAATTCTGCATTGGGAAATTGCTCCTGCGCGTCATCTGCTGCTCGACTAAGATGTTCGAAAAGTCGAGTTGTCTCAACATCGCCAGTGTGGGATCTGTAGAGGCACACGTAGACTCTGGCCTGGGGACCAGAATCGACGTGTACCCCCAACATGGAGAAGGAGGGATCTTCCAAGCAGCGGAGACGGCGACAACAAACATCCGCCCGAACATACAGGCATACACCGGCTTTCGCTTTGAAGGACTCTTCAAGCACGTAGCCGGGATAATTAAGGTAGCCTGTGTCAGCAGGCGGAAGTATTTGTGTCTCCGTCAGGAACAACAATGCTGGCCGTGCTGTCTCAAGATGGTGGTGGACAGCATTGAGGTTAGAGTGGAGTCCGCGTATGTTGCAGAACTCGACCTCAAACAGCGTTGAAGGCGTGGGGGTGTGCACCGCTGTACGTCCAAACTTTGTTTTGAGAGCTGCCATTATGGAAGTGATAAAGAGACGTGAAACGAGTGGACGTTGTCGAGACAAGACCGGGCAAATTAGGGAGGCATGTTTCCCCGAATAATTGCCTGCAGAGGATATACGCTGACCCGCCGGACGGAAGGGCCCCCGCACCCCCCCGGAAGTGGCCGCCGGGACCCCACGCCCCGGTCACCAACCGGCACGACGGTCCACCCCGAGATTATGCGTGACATGATGGGGCAGCCTCGCGAACTGGTTAGGAACGCTCGGGCCCCTGTACTGTGCCACGGGCGGCCAGCGGGACAACCGTTTCTACGGGTCTCCCTGGCCGGCGGGTCGATGCAGTCCTCCCGGCATCGGTTCGACGGATGCCTCGCCCTGGACCAAATCCGTCGCGACAACCTACACTCGAGCCCTGGTTGTACGCTGGCTGACCCCGAAACGCGCGAGAAGCACTTCACGGGTTTTTCACCATGCGCACGGTGGTAGCAAACCAGGCGGGTGTTAGGCACCCTACCACCAGCAGAGCGCATGGAAGCTCCGATATCCCTTAGTCGCCTCTTACGACACCCACGGGAAGAGAAGGGGCGGTGAGTTGTATTCTTTCTCCGTCACCGCACGGATAGACGTATAATAATAGTACGTATAATAACAGTAAAAGGACATATAAATTCACAAATTGCTATATTATATAATGAAAAGAAAATAGCTGTGATTTCTGACACTTAAAAAGTGTTCATTAATATCACATTAATAATTAAAATGTTACTTGAATCTGACACGCAGTTAACGGCGGCCATTGGCATGCTTCACTCAATATTATAATTGTAGAAGAGGTTACGTCCGTCTTTTTTTCAGGTCCGTGGTTTCAAATAGGTATACACAGCACAGACAGAATAATAGTGTTACACTTGAATACATCAAATGCAGTCAAGCGAAAAGCACAATAAACGGCGAATCATCAATCACAATTCCTAACAATATGGTCGCTAAATAAATAACTATGAAACAAAACAAAGCGCAAAATAAACACAGTCACAGATTGGAAAGAATTTGAATATATCATAACAATATGAGGCGCTTGTCCAAATTTTAAAAGTATCGATACTTACTTGCCAAAAAGTACTCAATAAGTAAAAGTATCGAATACAAAGTATCGAGTACAAAAGTATCGGTATCGAAAGGAAAAGTACTCGATACCACAAAGTATCGATACTTTTTTCGTGTCCCTAGTTTCGTATTGAGTAATGAAATAAAATGAATTTTGCATTAAAGTTAATAAATCCTTATAAATACTTGTCTTTTTTATTTAGCACATTTAAATAAATCGAAAAGCCCTAATGTTACCCCAAAAAAAATATGGTGCATTAACATCGAATCAGTGTGACCATATGTGGCAGGATCCTGCCTTTTCGGCAGATTTAGCCCTTTATTTTCCTCTCTGGCATATTTGTTTGACGTTTTAGAAATCTGGCAGTATTTGGCAGTTTATCACCTTGGAAGCCATGCCGATCACTTTATATTTTTTTCATAGAAATTATCGTCCTGCAGGATAATCTTTAGATTGCCTGACGGCGTTCAAGGTGTTGTAGCAATATAAGCTTTTTTTATATATTTCGCAATACATCCTTTAATATGAGTAGGGTGCGGATCGACAAACGAAAAAACAGTAGGTAGGAATTTTAAAATGCCAATGGCAACATTGGCAACGATACCTTTGTTTCGGGGATTCCCCATAACATCTCTAGTTGAATTTGTAGTTCATTTCATTGTGAACTTTAAAGCGTGAAGCATAATGTTTATATTACCTATATCTTTATTTGTCAGTTGTTTATATAATTAGTCGGACTAGAAAAACTGTCGGAGACACAGATTTGTTTTGTTTCTGATTTCGTGTGGTGTGTGTGAATGGTTACCATATTACCATGAAACGTAAATATGAACGATTATATCGCGTAGAGTGGGAGCAGAGCAGTTAACTACCTACCTTTAAAGGATATGTATTTAGGTGTCAACGTCAGCAGAGAAATCACTTGTCTAGCAAGAGATATAAATCTGAAACCTGCGATACAAACGTTTCTTGAGCATATGCAATCATTTCTTATTCAACTTTCAAGTCAACTAAAAACACGTCTGCCATTAAACACTCTTTTAAACAATTACAGTTCTTAGCTCCTCAAGACGTTGTATGCAAGGAGTTTTCTTCAATAGCCAATGTTATAAATAACCCAATTTCCCAATCTTGTTGAGGAACATATAATTCAAAAAAATTGATGACGAATACAGACAATTAAAACTTGATAATGACGTTAGTGATTTATTAGAATCTGGTGGAAGTAATGCAAAGCCAATTCTAAGTGTTGTTAAATTTTGGGGTGCCGTTGGCAAAATCCAAAATACGTAAATATTTCTAATTTTGTAAAATGTTTGTTGTGTTTGCCAATGTCGAATGCTGCTTGTGAAATAATATTCTCGCAAATCAACCTTATAAAAATAAAAACCCGGAACAGATTTATCTATAAACATGTCGCCTCTATTTTGCATGTAAAACAAGGCATTAAAGAATATGGTGACTGCGTTTCATTCCAGCCAAAAAAAGGTATGATTAAATATGACAAAAGCGATGTATAAAGAAATTGATCAAGAAGAATACGAGACTAATACGAATGTATAAAGCTATTTAAAATAAAAATATAAAAATATCATGTGATTATTTATTTTAAATTTTAAAATTGTATTGGCATTATTTCGACATTTTGTGCATAAAAGTTTGGCAGGATTTGTCAGTTTTTTTGCCTAAGCGGGGCAGGATCTATAATTTAAGGTTGGTCACACTGCATCGAAATAATGTTGTAATGCAATATTTGGAAACACAGTAACTGTAGGAGATGCAGTGACTTTTTATGTCATTCATTTATTCCGGCTGTCTTGGATTATTAAAAACATTTCTTTTTTACAAAAAAATTCACGCAGTTTAATGCTTAAAATAAAAATATGTATCTATATTCAACTTTTTCTGTTTTCTATTGTCGCTATATGTCAACAACCAGTAGAGTACAAATTGCTTCCTTTTATACTTACACGTCAATTACATACACAAAAATAATCATATAATCTCACACAACCAGAATTATTACTGATAAGAACACTTGACATCCGTTAAAACATATAGGTGGTATTTGAAGGTAAAACCTACACCTAATTGGCTGGATTGTTTTTTTTTAAGGTTTCTATTATACCATTCTTTATAGCATATTTCTTTGTCTAATTAGACTTACATTAATGAATAAATGATGTCTTATAATGAATTGTGTCATTTACTACAATTAACAGGTATGAATTTATCTATCAGACATCAAGTCTAGATCAACAATTCTTAAATAATTAATACATTATAATTACGTAAGTGTATTTATGAATTAAAATTAAATTCTAATCAATCATCATACTTTTAATATGAAAACATCTGGACATTCATCCTGTATGAGTCATTTTCAATATTTGTGTAAAGGTGAACGTATATACTTCAGGCGCTAAACGGTCTTTTATCACAATTTGGAAACGGTGTTCTACTAACCAATCAGATCAGCTTAGCCTTTGCTTTGAAGTTAAATAAATAAGAAAGTGATTATAAATAAATTTACGATGAGCACCGTCGACACCAGATTTATTAGACGCGGCGTAATATATTCTGTGACCACGCTCAGAAATATTTCTGTGGCGCCGCAACTACAAGTTACTTTACTCCCTCAATCTGATTGGAGTACTGTAGGTACCTGTCATATTCGTATACTAAGAATATCATATTTCATAGGGCTTCACCACCACTATGAATATTCGAAGCGTTATCGTGTACAAATAAACGTTCACCTTTATTGTCAGATACTGATTGCGAATCATGAAATACCCGTCATTATCAGATAAGCTGGAACGTCGCGATATCGACAAACGCGGACACAGCCTGGTCAGTAGTTCGAAACACCAAAATGAAGAAGTATTTCAGAGATCAATTTAGCTGGAATAGATTTAAACTGGAGCACGAGGAAGCATGGGATTTCTATTTGTGTTGTTGGCAGAGGAATCGGTCGCCGCTGCCTCTACTGCTAGTGAGGTTGATCGTGTTCTTGGGATGTCTGAGTATCCTGGTGACATCTATGGTTATGACGGGACAATTAGTGAATGTCGGTTACTGGTTTATTTACATGACGCATTGGGGACTAATTCTTATCACAGTGACTGCTGGACTCGCATTTGTGGTATCAGCTAGAGCGTATTTCCGTGGACCTATTGGTAAGTTTTTGATGTGTAACATAATGTTCAAATGGCTTATTCCTTTTGTAGTAGGTTTCATTTCTTTTTTACCAATATAAGGTGAGGTTTCAAATGTTACACATCATACGCGACTACTGTAAGGCTCGCTCGTTTTTTAGTTTATTTCAAAGATAAATAGGTACAAAACAACAGCCAGTACCTACCTAAAAGTTACCCATACCGGCTTTACCTTAGTTCCGTTAACTGTAACATTGCAATAATAAATTAACAGTGGTACTACGGTGGTCCACTCGTCTGTATTATGGAGTTTAAAAATTTTCGCCTGTTAAGTCAACTATACCATCGTTAAGAAAAATTACCACTTGTACGGTTAACCATACGGTACAGCCAACCGGACTGTACCCGGCCAATGCATGACTCGGCTCATGAAAACGGAACAACCCCTATTCTCATGTGTCAGGCTTTTTATCTATTTCTTATTCTAACGTAACTTCAAATTCAGCGGAAGACGAAGTTCAGTAAAAGCTGCCGAACTTCGATAATACCGAATGTGAAACGAATTTCGGCGCACCTGTAGAAAATTGCTTAGTTTCCATAATTGCAGACTGATCGCGCTATCTACTGCCATCAAGCTCCTCATGTACTTGGAATTTTAACTTACTTTATTTGTAACATACAAGGTTTCAACCTGAAAGAATTCAAAGCGCAATTATGTAAGTAATATAATAATAATAATAAATCTTTATTCAATATCAATTGCCTATTACATATAAATGACTTAAATCTACAAAATACAAATGGGAAAAAAACTATATAGCCTGAAGTAGGATTGTCCTGTGATCAGGCAAAATGATCTTAATATAAATCTACTTTAAATAATTAATAGCACAATAAAAAAGACAATAACAAAACACAAATATAATATGTTTAATTTAAACGTTTTAATAAATATGATATGCTAATTATATCACATTTTATTTTAAAAAGGTCATCCAGTTCTCTGTATCTTCATACGGCATCATTTGAAGGGTTTCTTGTAGGATTACTTTGGTGTTTTTAATATTCATCGGATAAATATTAAGTTTAAATTCAAGCGGTTGTACAAAAATAGACATTGAAATAGGTAAAATCCAGAAGAGAATGCATGTTTAGTAAATAGTTTTTGAGGGCAAGCTATAGCCTTTCGTCTTTTGTTAGTAATATCAGGGTTGTATGGGAGTGAAGCATGCTGCTTTATATAGAAACAATAACACTAATTTGATTTAAATTATGTATTTCAGACTCCACCTTCGGTGTGCCATGGTACTTGAAATCCTACTGGGCGGCCTATAATGTTACCCTTCCTACCGCATTCTTCATTACTATTTTCTACTACATTCTACTAACAGATCTCGGTAAGATATCATTTCTGTATTAAAAAACTTTTAATTTATAGCAAAGATATGGCGGTGTAGAATGCTTTAAAATCAATTTTCTCCAGAGCCATCAACTCATGATTTACTCTTCTTGAATACTCTTGATTTTGTAAGTATCCATTGCGGCAATAAAAACTTAACATCATATATTGTACATTCATGAGCTCAGGTTGTTTGCTCGCATCGCACTCGCAACATAAAAAAATAATGTATAGGATTCTGTTCCCAAATAACAACAATTACGCCACCAACTAGAAAACGTACCGTTCCATTTATATAAAAGCATCGTGTCGTTCCATAATTAGGCATTCCATGTCTCCACTGCTGGGATGTAAACCTCCCACATAGATGGAAATACGTACAGAGAAAGATTCAGATCAAATAGAAACCCTGCATGAGCTGAGTGCGGAGGTGGGGGATATCAACTGCAGAGTCTGCAGATGCATCCACTACTAACGGATTCCTTCCTTCGGAAGCACAAACGAGCCCATGATAAAACTTTGGTCCCCGATGTTCTTCATAGTTTCCACAATTGCAGACCAAGGCACATTTTATGCATTATAAGCGTGAATGAAAAGAGAATTAATGTGAAAGAAGCGAAACACACATAGTACATTCAATCTGTAGGTTGAGTGGTGAAAAAAAAACCTAAAGGGTAAGTCTTGTTTTTTCTGTTGCCAAATGACGTCAGTAAGCCACCTTGGCGATGGGCATGTTCAACTTGTAGGCGTTTTTTGAAAAACTCAAAAAAACCGTCAAAAATTTTTTGAAACGCATTTTTCTTGTTTTGTATGCATTTTAGAAACTTTTTTTTCGACCATAATTGTAGAGGGCGTTGACTACTACAATTTATGTCATTGTTGCAATCTCGTACAACAAAAAATGCTCATTGTAGGTGGCGCTAAAGTCTCAAAAAAGTGTTTTTTCACTTTTTCACCCTGAAAATATCATTTTAATGGAAAACTTTAAATGGCAAAGTTGTTTCGTACATAATTACCAACAACTTTAACATTTTTTTTGTATTACTTACCGTTTTCAAGTTATAAATTGCGCAGGTATGAAAAATCCAATAGAGCGGTTTTGGGCAGTTCAAGTACACATTTGCAGTGCACATTTCAATGTACGTTTTTACCATTTTTTTTTTTCAATCATGAAAAAAAATAAAAGTAAAACTATTTTTTTTTTCATTTTTTTTTTTGTTTATCAATCATGAAAAGAAATAAAAAATAGTAAAACGTACATTGAAATGTGCACTGCAAATGTGTACGTGAACTGCCCAAAACCGCTCTATTGGATTTTTCATACCTACGCAATTTATAACTTGAAAACGGTAAGTAATACAAAAAAATTGTTTATACAAAAGTTGTTGGTAATTATGTACGAAACAACTTTGCCATTTAAAGTTTTCCATTAAAATGATATTTTCAGGGTGAAAAAGTGAAAAAACACTTTTTTGAGACTTTAGCGCCACCTACAATGAGCATTTTTTGTTGTACGAGATTGCAACAATGACATAAATTGTAGCACTCAACGGCCTCTACAATTATGGTCAAAAAAAAAGTTTCTAAAATGCATACAAAACAAGAAAAATGCGTTTCAAAAAAATTTTGACGGTTTTTTTGAGTTTTTCAAAAAACGCCTACGAGTTGAACATGCCCATCGCCAAGGTGGCTTACTGACGTCATTTGGCAACAGAAAAAACAAGACTTACCCTTTAGGTTTTTTTTTCACTCAAACGATATTTTTTTCGACAGATTCTGTACTAACAGTACGGACCGTTTCGTATGGCGTTCTATTCCCTCTGCCTACCCTATCCGGAACTCCACGTGAACTAAGATAGGATATAAGGCACATTTTATCTACTGCGCCGTCGTTCCAGGTGAACAGTACTCTGTAGACCCGGTGCTGGACTTGTTCATCCATGGCATCAACTCGGTGCTGATGTTCGTGCTGTTGCTGACGTCACAGCACCCCTTCTACCTTCTCCACTTCTACCAGGCGCTGGCCTTCGCACTCGTCTATATGGTTTTTAGCATCATTTACTTCTTCTCCGGAGGCCTCAGCCCGTAAGTTGAAAATATGAGAATCCATTTTTGGCAAAAATACCTACATTATATGAAATCCAAACTAAAATTATTAAAGCCGCGTTGTTTCATCTCTAGTTAATGTCACGTCAAATACACAGTGTGTAAAATTTTGACAAAATGGTTCATTTTCTCTGGTATTTTAGCTATAGTTATTTTTAAATATAAAAAAAATATTTCTATAAAAAAAATCACACGGACAAAGCAGCAGATGGGACTTGAACCCACACCCTTCGCTATCTGGGCGAATACACTGACCGTTATGCTACCGCGGCTCCGATGACCGTGTCGAAATTTCTCTAGTGTTCCTTAAGCTGCAAGACTAATTTAACTATACGCAGCCGAAATACACTCGAGAGCAATGAATCCGGAACAATTAAAGAATCCTAAAAATCTCGCAAACTAAGAATGCTAGCTTAATGAAATAAAATCTAATTAATAGACCATTAAATACTCATTAAATGAAGATATTAGAACTTCTTAGTTATTGTAAAGTTATATCATAAAAAAATCAAATTTAAAAAGGGAGACTTTCGGAGATGGAACTACGAAATTACTGCATTTGTTGTTGCTTTGTTTCTAATTTGTCATTTATCATTGATCGATCATGTCGATAGTGTTCAATATTAATTATTTAGTAAACGTAGTAATGGAAGCACAAGGAGGCAATACGGAGTCTTAAAATTAAATATTTTTCACATTTTATTTACAAAAAATACATAAAGAAAAAGACTGGCTGATCTCGCCTTAAAACAAAAATACGAAACGTGACATTTTTGAACAATAAAATCGTAATATTGTATCCTAAAGATCTCGCAAACTGAGAATGCTAGCTTAATGAAATAAATTATGTTTAAAAGACAATTAAATAATCCTAAAATGAGTCACCACATTTTATTTACAAAAAATACATAAAGAAAAAGACTGGCTGATCTCGCCTTAAAACAAAAATACGAAACGTGACATTTTTGAACAATAAAATCGTAATATTGTTCAAAAATGTCACGTTTCGTATTTTTGTTTTAAGGCGAGATCAGCCAGTCTTTTTCTTTATGTATTTTTTGTAAATAAAATGTGGTGACTCATTTTAGGATTATTTAATTGTCTTTTAAACATAATTTATTTCATTAAGCTAGCATTCTCAGTTTGCGAGATCTTTAGGATTCTTTATGTGACCCGGATTCATTGCTCTCGAGTGTACGTTAGTTAGGTCTGGTATTTACGCATCACGATATTTATATTTTTTTTATTCAAATATCATGTGTATAAAAGGCATATCGGAGAATGACATACTCCTACTCCGATATGTTATTTACACTTAAATTGACCTTGACTTAAATGTAAAGTTTACCTCATTCAAAACTACTAAAAAATGTTAATAAATTTTGGCAGACAGGTAAGGAAAAATGCAAGGTCCTGTTCGATTTTTGAAACTACAGAACGTACACACTAGCAAAATTTTTATCTTGAGTGTGTGTTCGCTAGTCACTTTTTGGAAATAAACTCCCCATTTCCTAAAAGTTTGTTAGGAAATTGTAAATTCTTTGTCTACAAGGACATAGTTTCGTAAACATTAAGGACAGATCTGTTTTTATCTCCGAATCCAGTATGGGAGATTTTAACCTAAAATAGTAATTTATATTTTAGCTATAGCTTTTACCTGCTAGATTTTTTATACCTTTAAGGAAATGTTTTATTAAAATTCATTGCAGGATTGGCGAAAGGTGGATTTATCCGATGATAGACTGGTCCGATCCCGGTCCCACTGTGGGGATTATATTTGTGTGTGCTGCCGGGCTCATTATAATGCATTCCCTCGTGGCCCTACTCACTGTCTGCAGGGACTACATCTCTAAGAAATACGTGCGAAACATGAATTCCATGACCATAGCCCCTTAATCTCCTTATCAATCTATCGGAAATATAGATTTACTAATGGAGATCTTATAAGAAGAGGAGAGTTGGAAGAGACTTCATAACCCAATCACGAAAACTACTTAAGTCTTTACAATATTCAATAAATACAAATGCTCTCTAAGCAAGAAAGGAAATAAATACAACTGAATCGTTCAACCGGCGTATTAATAAGAGTTCTGTTGAAGAGAACATATAGATAAATGATAACGACTGATTACTTGTTATGTAAACATTGTTTAAAATAATAATAGGTAATTCTGCTAGACTGGAATTCATTGACCCAGTGCCAATGAATTCCAGTTTGCTCTCATTAAGTTGTAGCACTGCTAAGATAATCAATAGGTACTGCACTAATTGTCCGTCGGGTTCTCTCTTTCGTGATCCGAGGAATGACTCTGTAAAATACAATCTCACTTCCGAGTTCGATAGCTACAAGTTTTCACATAAGGCGCTTTTCTCAAAGGATTGGTTGTTTGATCAATCTGTAAATATTTTTTACCGAGTCCATGCAATCAAGTGAGAGCTTCCTCACTGAGTCGTTCCTTTACAGATTCTTTACCGAGTGCATACACACCTCTCTATACCGAAGCCTACTGAGCCATTCGACTCGCCCGCCCGACGCGGACGGCATTATATCAAATGACAATCATCTTAGCAAACACAACGAAATAATACCGCATCGAAACCGAGCCAGTTAAAATGTGATTCTCGGTAAAGAAGTCTGTATTTAGTACAGAAACCAAAACGAAACAATCCAATGAAAAGATAGATATTCGTTACTTCATCCAAACAGATAACCAGCAAAATTGTTGCATTGACTGTTGAACTTGGATCAACGAATATCTGTTGAAGCTTGTTGAAGCAGCCAGTAATAGATATTTCACATTTTTCAAAAATTTTAATTTATGAAATCGAAAGTTGAATAACATTTACAATTAGCTATTTATTTATAATAATAATACCTACTCCTTATATACTTGATTGTAATATACCACATGCAATCAATCACGCACAAAATCACTATAACTGATTTCAGATCAAAACCTATTGCAAATGAATCAATCCGATGAAAAGATTGAAAATAAATCTAACCAGAAAAAAAACGAAACCGCAAAATCGGTTTCGAAATGTGAAATTTTGTACTGTGAAAATTATGAGAAAGTTGTGATCGTTTGATATACTTGTAATAAAAAAATAGGTATATTTGCAAACAAAGATGTATCTCCATATACCAAATCGTAAATGTTTTTTTACATATATTTGTTTACATTACCTGATTGATGTCCTAAAATTCAAAGGAAAACCTAAATAGCCCTAAAATACTGACTGTTGTGATACTAAATTTTAAGAACTCACACGGCAAATTACATAGGTAAAATTCTTGAGCAAAACTACAGAAAAATAAACATGCGCAGTAGACCTTCTTGTATATATACTTACAATTTTACTGCTACTGCGCAGGCTTCCTTGTCTATGGTCGTTGCTCAAAAACTTTGCCGTGGTGTATATGCTTCCTACGATTTAGTAGAGTTTACTTATTTTATTACTAAGGTGATCATGATTTTATGTAGTTACTTGTACCTAACCTTAGTAGTACCTACAGACTATAACAGCTGAAGGAAAGTTTACTATTTCTTAAATTTTGTTGCCATTTTCTTTTTAAGAGAAAAAATGTAAGTAAATTTATGTTTAATTGATATAAAAAAGTAAAATAATAAGTTATTTTGTAGGGACTCTGTGTAAGAAGAACGTACTGCTAAATTAATTTGAGAAAGTTAATTATGTGAATTAATTTAATTAAAATTATTTTCATGTTTAAAATTTCTTTTCAGTTCTTTATGAGGCTCTTCTAAGCAATCTCAAGAAATACAGAAACCCGTACCTTAAAAATTTTTTGGGCCAGTCAGCTTTTACAAATAAGTAAAATTATAAGATTAAGGTACCTTTATTTTAAAAGGTGCTGTTCAAGTTTCTTTAATACAATATCAGTATTTGTCTACAGCAGGCGCAGTACACGAGCACGTAAACTGTGTTTCCGTTTTTACAGATCACGTATCCACTGAAATACATTAAACCTTTTTTTATATTCTCAATACATACACCTATGGATCTGCATGGATATAATCGCGGCCACAGATACTCCGACAATTTTTTTACTGCCCAATTATTTTGTGTGTCTGATCTTCTATCGGCTAATTTAATTTTTCCAATAATTTCAATACGACAATATTTCCTCAAACATGCATCGTGCATTGCACATTATTATCGAAAAATTAACACGCCATCTCTTTGCATTGTAGGTATAACCCACAATGTCAAATGAATACTTTTACAAGTATTAAACATTTAAAAGAAAAAATAGCAATTATAGTTACAATTTTTATTTTGCAAGCATGTAACTGCTTGATGTTTAAATCTAAAGAAAATATAACTAGAAAAAGTTTTACGCGGACCAGACAGCAGACGAGACTCGCACCCGCACCCTTCGCTATCCGGGCGAATGTACTGACTAATTATGCTACCGCGGCCCTGATGGCCGCGTCGAAATTCTTCTAGCCATTCTTAAGCTGCAATACAGCGCCATCTCTTTGCATTGTAGGTAACCCACAATGTCAAATGAATACTTTTACAAGTATTAGACATTTGAAAGAAGAAATAGCAATTATAGTTACAATTATTATTTTTTAAGCATGTAACTGCTTGATGTTTTAGAAAAAAAAGAAAATTGGCGGCGCAGACCAGAAAATTTGTCTTGATTTGTTATTTACATAATGAATAAAAATTATAATAATTAAAATGAGTTCCAATGGTTCAGAGAGCGAAATGGACATTGATTGTACTCCACCCCAAGATTTAAAATCAGAAGCCAAATTGATAATGGAAAACCTTCTTCCCGCGAAGTCTTAAGAAAAATACATGAAAGAAGGTATATAAAATTTTTATGAGTTGGAAAAACGAGAAAAAAGTGAACATTTTCTCCGATACAGTATTTTTGACATATTTGACGTATTTAAATGAGATTGCTAAAACGAAATAGACATCTACATTATGGGCAATTTATTCCATGCTGAAATGTACAGCACCCATTAAAAACGGTAGTAACTTAAAAAAATATGGAATTTTAACTACTCTTCTTAAACGACAATCGACCAACAATCGATCGAGAAAAGCAAAAAGTAGAAAAAAATGTGTCGAAGACATGAAGCAAATTTTAATTAAAGCCCCAAATTATTTGCATTTAGCGACAAAGGAAAATAAATTAAATGTACAATATAAAAATATGTTTTATTTCCCTGCATTTCTTTTGAGGAAAGGACTATATATGTCTCGGCGGAAAAGGTCTCGTATTAGTGAAGTCCTAGCCTACGGCTCGGCCTTCATACTCATACTCGACCTGCCATTACCTATTTCACGCGCCCTTGGAATAATGAACTATTATATTAGTTAGGTATGCCCGAATCCCCATATAGACACAGGATTGCGCGTAGTTTTAAAGTTTTGATAAATAAATAAAAACAAAGAATTTCAATTAATCGCCGATAAAGTAAATTTTTTCTCGAAATTCAATCCATAATTAAAGGACATTGCTCGTTCCCCATACATTGAATGCCACAGAACGCACAGCAATGAGAAAATACTAGTTGTGTTCGGAATCATTCATAAAATCTCATTAGGCATTTGTTGAAATACGGATAACTTGAGGAACCGTGGCCTACTATAAAATATATTAGATTTTGAGGTTATAATTATTATACTTATACAATCGTAAACGATGTACACTTTATATCTTCTGAATATATTTATTGTTTACCTCTATGTAAGCACTTAAATAATATGAATTAATTAAATATAATATGCAATTAATAATAAAAATAATAAATTACTTTACTATAACCTATATTGATTTATGAATGTTGGCAGTTGGCAACTATGACACCTATACCTACATGTTTAATAATAGATTTCTTTTCAAATGAAATGTTCGAAGGCTTTCCATTTACCTGTTTCTATATTTTATTATTGGTATTATGATTTTCATAAAAATAAACAGATATGATATGGGATGGGAGCTTAGATTAAAACAAAGGAGTATAAACTATCATTACGTAATTTCAGAAATTATCCTACTATAAATACAATATAAATACTAGTGATAGGTATTATTAGTATTTGTAGCTAAGGAGGGGTACGTAGTTCTATTCTTATGTTGATAAATACCTATGGTTGCGTATATTGCATTTATTAAGGTTATCTATTCAAAATGGAAATTGAATTAAAAAAAAAACACTTACTTGAAATCATTTTTGAACCTTTTGAATTTAGATGAGACAGACAGACTCTAAAGATGACATGACAGCAAATTGTGTAGTACATAATCACAGAACTTAAAGTAAAAAAATAATAGAAAAATAAAAGTGAAGGACATTCGTTTGTGCACGCTGGGGCGATTTCGTCGATGTCCTTTCAACTAACAAAAAATCAACGATATTGTTGACAAAGTTCAAATTTCAGGGATCCTAGATCCGTATTTATAAAAAAATCTTGTCATTTAAAGGTCCTAACACGGACCTTCAAGCTACTTATTGAACAAGTGGATCAATGATGATGAATGATCTTCTTTAATCAGGAATCAATTTGTTTGATAGTGAAAATTAGTCTGTACCATAGTGTAACAATCGCTCAGATGCTTAGTAGCGTCTATCTGGATCATGTCTTGAAATAAAAACATTTTATTTTATTTATTAAGTGCATCGTCATTCAAATTAAATATTCTATTTTTAGTAGATTTTCGTGATTGTGAAATAGGTGCAAGAAAATTAACCCTGTACACATATTACATAAGATTCTCTGTTTATAAATATTACTCTCATTTAGTAATATTTCAATATGAAAATTTGCAATTTCCATTTTCAAAGCGTTAAAACCGTTATAATATTGGCCATTTAAACGTTTCCACTCTGGGCACAGACCGTTCCTATAGTATAGAATATAAGGATTTGACCATTACCCACCACGCGGTCCCAGTGTGGATTGGTGTGTTCCCATAAAACCGTTTTACAAGAAATTATTCTTACTTAAAAGAACAATCTCAATTACCTACTTAATCAAAGTAATATTTTTATACGCAAAATTAAAGTTAAAACAGAGTTTAAGAATGTGTTATCGATAGTAAAATATTCGTAGATGTTATCTATAAGCAATAACTTATTATAACAATAAAATATACCATTATCTAAACAGTGATGGGCGAAATGAAATATATCTGATAAAACATTTTTAGCAGAACATTCTTTGGACAATAAAGGTGCAGACGTTTCAAAAGTTCTCAAAATGGGTAGTGTGAGAAATTATCTCAAAAATCAGTTCAAAGTAAATAAATTTTCTCTGCAGCATGACGAAGCAGCCGATTTCTATCTGAGTAGTTTTCAGAACAACCTTTTATCTTTACCTCTGTTGTGTGTAAGACTTGTTCTGTTTGCGACTTGTGTGGCTATACTTACGATATCACTGCAGGGTCCAGATAGGGGGCACTGGATAATATATCTAACAAATTGGGGAGTCCTCATAATATTAGTCACCACAGGATTGGCGGTAGCTGTGTCTGCGAGAGCCTACTTTAAAGGACCAATTGGTATGTGTTGAGCTTGAATCTGAAACATCCAGTTTAATGAAACAATCAATCATTGTTGCTGCGATGCATTGACATTAGTGATTTATAACCGGCGTAATTTATAACTAGATTTTTACTACTAAAATAAAGTTTTTATTTAAATGTAACCATCTTACTTAGATAGAAGCAGCAGATACGAATTATTTATTCGAATCAAACATTTCGCATTAAAACATAAGTGGAAAAGATAAACATTAAATGATTTAGCTTCCTGGTATTGTATTATCACTTTAACTATGATTCTCAATTCATGATTATTTCAAATCGTGTGATAAAGATTTTCTTTTGTTTTCAAACTGTTTTTCTGTTATTAAGGGCTTTTTTTTATTTACAGTGTTGATATTTGGATTGCCTTGGTACTTGAAGCTTTTTTGGGCAGCATACAATGTCGGGATAACAGTCGCCTTTTTGATCACCGTATTTTATTATTCATTTCTGTACAACCTGGGTATGGCATATTTTATAAATATTTTGCACTCTCCAATTGACTTCATTCTTGAAATGTCTGACTGATTTAGTAATTTATTAAAGACACAAGAAGATATATAATAATAGGTCTTTACTTTCGTCTTACCTATGATTTTTTTTAAATATGAATTTATTTTTTGATAATTAGTGATTTGTTTAAGGGTTAGGTTAAATTAGCGTTCTATTTTATACGTATACGTATACGGAGCGAACACTTCTAACGATCGCAACACCCGTTATTGGTTTGCCCGCTTCCTTTCTGGAAATTCCGACCTAAGAAATGAACCCCGTGGTCCACCGAAAACTTTAGTCGACAATGACTAATTAAAGGCGATTGAGGAAGCTCATGATTCTTACAGATGATTTAGCAGCACTTTTCGATGTTAGCATCAAAACAATATCACATTAATATTATAAAGGCGAAAGTTTGTGAGTGTGTATGTGTGTTACTTTTTCACGTCTAAACGGCTGGAGCGATTTTAATAAAATTTGGTATGGAGTTTTAGCTATCTTCGCGTTTGGACTTTATTACCACTTTACATCAGGTGGGGTTAAGTCATTTGCCTACCTAATTATAAAAAAAAAAGTTAGCTGACACCCTAGCTAGATTAACACATAGGCTACGTTTTACTGTTAAACCGTGGGTGACACCGCGGGCAAAGTTAGTTGACAAATGGGTGCCCCACGAATTGAATGATCACCAGCGTGAAGTATACATCACAACTTCTTTCCAAACAGCATGAGCATTACTGCAAATGTGTACTGTGAAATACTGAACACAATGATGGAGAAGCTCGCACATCTCCAACCATCTCTTGGTCAATCATTCGGCTCCGCTTCTCCTGCATGGCAACGCGCGACCTTATACTGCACAGCACACGGTCTCCAAGTTACTAGAGCTAGGGTTAGAAGTTCTCCGTCAGCCACCGTACTCATCAGACCTTGCCCCTACAGAGTTCTACTCATCCATAATTTGGATAACTTCTTAGCGGGGGAAAAAAATCAATAACCGAGAAGCAGTTCAAAATGCTTCTGAAAAATTTGTCAAAAGGGCATTAATAAGCTACCACGGCATGGCAAAAATGCATTGACTGCATGGATAATTACTTACTTTATAAAAATAATAAAGAAAAAAAAGGGCAATTTCATGGGTAAAGACCTAATATAATATCACTACAGAGTAAGAAAAAAACTTAATGTAATATGAAAGAAACACAAAATATTATCTTCATTCCAAGTATTTCCTGTGATAACATATCCACACAAACGAAGGTACAGGTAAATGAGAATTTAAGAGGCCGCACCACAAGTGTTCATTTACTGTCCTACCAAGATACCTCATAATCCATTATGCTTGTTAATATAATTATATTTATTGGGTATGCGGATCGATTGCGAATCTGACGACTGGAAATACAACCGTTGTCAACTACTTAACATTTCTTCCGAAACACGGATGGTCTTGAGACAATTAATTTTTGATCACCCATCCTATAACCGATCATTGTGAAATTTGCTAAACTTTCACAGTCTCAAGCCTTCCACGTATCTTAATGACATGATGAAAGAGGTTTATATAAAGAAAATATGATTAGAATAAATGCGGAAGATGCGGGTTCGAATAAAATCCCGTCTTAAACCTGGATCGAGTGGAATATTCTTTACATTTAAACATATAGCAGTTAATTGCTTATTGACAAAAATATAATAATGATGAAAGATTTTTTGTAACTGTAGCTCAAGATAACGTAGATCCGACGATTGACCTCTTGACCCACGGCATAAACACGGTGGTGATGTTCTTGCTGCTAATCACGTCGATGCATCCCTCCCATCTCTTCCACTGCGTCTACCCAATCGCTGTTCTGCTACTCTACGCGGCCTTCAACATCATCTACTACTTCGCTGGTGGAGTCAGTCAGTGAGTAGAGATGGAGAGAACGGCTTATTTCCTAAAAGCGTTTAAACGTTGTACTTTTTAAAATAAGCGCGCTTGAAAAAAAGTTTTATCATTTAAACGCTTTTTGGCTTAAACGTTCAAAAGCATGGGTAAAAAGCGCGACGTTTGTTGTGTTTTCGTTTGTATCGTTTAAGAAAGCGTGAAAAGTTTATTGTCGTTTTAAATGTGTTTAAGTGTTCCTATTAATGATTTTTTTATTAAAAAGTTTACAAACTTAAATATTATATATGCACATTAAACCAATACACGAAACGCATTAACACAAGCAAACATGCAAACATACCGTACGACAAACACGCGCGCTTACCCCGTCACAGTGACATTCCGCAACCTTTTCAGGTCTGCATCGTCAGAATAATGATTTTTTATTTAATTTTGTCGAGCTACCTTCGAAAGACTTTTATTGAACGTTCGGTTATTTCATTGGAAGATTTTTAATTTTTTATTGTCTATGTATGAATATATTGAGCGTTCCAATAAAAGTCTTTCGAAGGTAGCTCGACAAAATTAAATAAAAATCATTATTCTGACGATACAAACCTGAAAAGGCTGCGAAACGTCAATAAATAAATAAAGTTTCGTGCATTAACCCGTTGAAACTAGTTTTAATTAAATGATTACTTTCTTTAACTTTGGACATTATGATAAAAGTTCGCTTCATTTCTGTAGCAATATAATTTGTAGTATCTTTAGATACTTTATTTGCCTTTTCTATATTATACCTACTAGTAAATACTACAAAACCTTTAAATTTTATTTCAGCACAGGTGATCCTTATATATACCCTATGTTGGACTGGTCAAAGCCCGGTTTGGCCACCGGGGTTCTCATTGGGTGCTTGGGTGCTGCTATAGTACTACACATTTTGGTAGTTCTCATCAGCCTGCTGCGAGATTTCCTGTCTAAGAAATACGTGCGCGATTACAATACTTTAGAAATTACCACGTAACTCACTTTACTGATGGAGTGTGCTTCGAATAAAGGACTACTAATAAAGGACCCAAGCACGAACTTTGACAGCTCCGTAATCGTATCACATCGTCAAAGTTTCTATGAAAACCTAATCAGCGCCCCTACCGGAAAAAAGAACAAACTTGCTCCTTCCATACAAAATTTGACGATGACGATACGATTCGGACACGGATACGGATCTATCAAAGATCGAGCTAGGGCCTCTGATTTACCCCACTTCGCTCAATTGAATAGTCAATCTGCATTTTGTACAGTTACAACTCGAAATGATACATATTTATTTTATGAGTGTCGTTAGAATAAATATTAATGTATGTAGTCCGCTAGTGACATTATCAAAAAGTGTATGAAATCGAATAAGTGGTGAGGATAAATAAACAGAAATTGTTTTCGAAAGATATAAAAAAAAAGTAAAAGTTATTGCTTATGTTTATTTTGTTTCTCCCATTCTTCTGTGAAAATATTTAAGCAAATCACGCAAACACATAAGTAGTTTCATTTTAATTAACATTTAACAAATTTTCAACATTTGATGACACCAAATCGCCGAACTACAGTTTAATATTTGATTTGTTTCTGTGATTTTAACAGTTGAGTTCTGTTAATAAATATGGAAACTCATTGACAAGGAAATAATAAAGAGCAAAACGGACACGCCTAAGCCGTATTGTTCTATCAATGGGAAACAAATAATACGATACGTATTTATTTACTTATTTACTCTTTATTGTCATTTTACAACAAATGGCGGACTTAATGCCACATGGCGTTCCCTACCAGTCAACCATCGGGCTAAGCTGAGACATTATGCGGTAAAGTACATAAAAGCAAAAGGTGAAAGAAAAAAAAAATATAAAACTACATGATACTTAATATAAAAAATATAATACATAGCATCTATAAATATAACTACATATATATATACATACATATTTATATGTACGATAAATACCTAAATATATACAATAATAAATACCACTATAATTACTTAAGAATACTATAAAAAAACAAAATACTATTACAAATAATATTAATAATAGGCGGATTGACCAGAGTTTGGTCATAATATAGAAATTGAAATTTTTATGACTTCTTAGCGAAATGCTGACGTACGAGGACCTTGAAAGCAGGTTTACTGGGTGCTTTTCTCACGCTATCCGGAAGATCATTCCAGAGACTATTCTCCAAGCTTGGAGACAAAATGAGTTTGATACGAAGCTGGAGCAGTGGGAGGGGATGGACAAAAGAAGATTTTCAGATGAACGAAGATAACGAGAGTGTGTGGAACTTAAAAACTGAAATATGGACTTTAGATAAGACGGAGCATTAGGGTCAAAAAGAATTGAGAAAAGAAATGTGAGAATTCTTAAATCACGACGGTCTGAAAGAGGCGGCCAATTGAGTTCACGGCGAAATGAAGTAATATGATCATATTTCCGTAGACTGAATATGAATCGAATACAGCTGTTAAGAGACCGCTCCAATTTACCAAGAATATCTTTATTTAGGTCAGGATAACACACATCAGCATAATCTATGGATGGTAGGACAAGAGCCTGAATTAAAGAGATTTTTGTGTGAACAGGGAGAAATTTTTTATATCTATAGAGGGCACGAAGCATATTTGTGACCCGCCGACATGTCTCGTTAATGTGAGTGGACCAGCCAAAGGTACTGTCAATGTGCAACCCAAGATTCTTAACGCTTGGAAAAAAAGGAATTTGCATGCCATTATAGACAATTGGACTTACAGCGCCAATATCAACCTTACATATTTGGCGAGATCCACCAATAATAATAGCCTGGCAGTTAGTCGGGTTGACGACAGCACCAAAGCGCTCAGACCACTTGCAGAGCATATCAAGATGCTCATTGAGGAGAGATATAGTAGAGTCAATCTCATCAGAACTGCAACGGCGGTATAACTGCAAATCGTCGGCATACATGTGTTAGCCAAAATAGTTTTATTAGAAGCATGAAGTACATATAGTTTTGTAATATGCATATACTTGGAATCATAGAGAAAGTAATCAACCAACTAGATCATCATAAAGTCCTCATTTAAAAATGCATCAAACTAGTAGGTAATTTCACATCATGTTTTCTCTTTTGAGAAAAATCAGGGGTGATTAAGGAAATGACATTTTAAATAATGTTTCTTATAAGTTTACACAAGTAAGTATACAACAATATAAAAGTGAATACTTTACCAGAAACTTAAAACGTTGGTTTAAAAGTGCCACTATAATAAGATTTATTATATAGTACGTACTAAATGGAAATTGTAGAAAAAAATCCTTTTCAAATGACAATTAGGTCGTACTAGATTTTAAAATAAAGTTATTTATGGCCCTCTTTTCTGTTATAGTTCAAAAATGGAACCAAGGTCAATAACGAATTACAAGTTTGGCACACCACATAGGTAGATAAACGTGGTATTACCGACAGATAACGATTTCCAATCAGAACGTGTGATCGATAGCAGACATGGCCGAGGTCTGAGCAAGCGAACATCATGAGCAATATCAAAAAGTATTGCAAAGAAGAGTTCCAATGGGGGAAAATCAAATTGGAACATGCGCGGCCGTCTGATTTCTACCTGAGTGTTTGGCAGACCAACCGTTCAGCTGCGCCGCTCTTAATACTCCGGTCGTTGCTCTTTCTGACATCTTTAGCCATCACCGTGTATTCCATTGTGTCATACTCAATTAAAGGATGGTTCGGAATTTGGTGGATCTACCTAACCCACTGGGGTCTCACTGTTATGACATTAAGTACTGGATTCGCAACTGGAGTGTCAGCACGATGTCACTTCTATGGACCGATCAGTGAGTAGTTTGAACTTATTTTGAAAACATAAGTGACTTATAAGTTATATTAGTCAAAGTATTAGTCACAACGAAGGCCAAAAATTTATTGAGAAATGTTTTTGGAGAAGTTGTTTAATATATCGCATTCTTTGTTTTGTGAAATGGATTCGCTAGTTACATAAAACTTAGATTAAACAACCGATGAGATAGTGCCCTTTATCTGTGTGACCTAGTTTTAGAATTCGATTGAGTATCATTTCATTTGCTCAAGCATATATGCATTAATGTTACAGCTACGTAACAAACGGTCCTAACGGATTTTTTTCTCAATATTACTGCACCTTTAAATAGTTTTGTAAGCTTCGTTTAACTAAAATATTTGCTTTGCGATTTTGACAGGCGGTGAATACAGACTGCCCTGGTACATCAAGACTTATTGGGTCCTGTTCAACATTTCAGTACCACTAGCCTTCCTCATCACAATATTCTATTGGACAGTTCTTTTTGAAGGTAAGTTGCTTACTAAAAACAATACGTGGAAAGTGTTTTTCCGAAACTGTTAGTTTCCTCTACCTAAACTGAACCTCTTTTTATTTTTCATACAAAGATAAGTACTTCCTTTTTCAATCTCTTTTTCATATACTAGTACTAACCACAAGTATTAATTTTAGATATTGTTAGCGTTATGTACTGCTGCTAAAGGAGGCGAAAATATTACAAAATTATCCCAATCTAATAATATTCCAATTTAAGGATTGTACAATGAATTATAATTATAATATTATTATAATGATACAAAGATGTTATTCTAGAAATATGAATGACCTAAACAAACATTTGCCCCTGCCGGAATTCGAATAGCAGACCTCAGAGTAAGCAAAGACTTTGAAAATGGGTGTACTTACTACAACTCTATCGCTGAGTTATTCACATTAACTACTTATCTATATCAACTTCATTTGAAAAAGGACCAAAATTCCAGTACTAACCAAACCAGTTAACCATATTTTGTAGGCTGATCGCTGGACACGCCAAAAATACTGAATCATCGCCCTTATGGTAAAAAAACGTGTTAAGCTGGTACAATCGAACTTTGAACCGGAGGACGTTTACAAACTTTATAGAAATTTTCTATATACGAACACTGTCCCTTGTTTTACAGCCAATATTGAAGAAGAGTTAGACCATGGCAGCGACATAGCGGTGCACGGGATCAACTCGGTGCTGATGTTCCTTCTTCTGATAACGGCGTCGCATCCGTGCCGGTTGTTACACATCTACCAGCCGCTCGTCTTCGCATTCGTCTTCCTGATGTTCACACTGTTCTACTACTTAGCGGGAGGAAGGAACAGGTAACTAACTAAATACGACCAATAATATTTTCTAAATTTCATTAAGATTTTGACCACAATCTACTTCAAAATTGTTTTTATAATTTTTACGGGATTGCTACCATATACCTTGTCTGTAGAGAGTCTCCGATCTTAACTTAAAACAATAGGCATATAGAGATTCAAAAGGATCTTAAGAAGTAGATTCGTTTTGGGTGGATAAAGAAAAATTTAAAACAATACATTTAATTATTTAACGAGTTGGTCACATTTGGTATAGGCGGTTCAAATTTTTATGTACCAAGTCAATCAGTCCGTTGCCTCAGTTGCCTGCTATAGTTTACCAAAACCTGTTGACAGATTTTCACTAAGTATAAAACGAATAGCTGTTGTTTCTCTTGCACTTTCAGATTAATATAAGTACATATCCTTGGTGGGTTATTTACGATTTATTTGTTCAGAATGGTAATCTTTCATCATGTTATGCTATCGCACCTTTGAACTCTGCCAAACTAGCTATGTATACGACGTGAAGTTGTGTTTTATAATAAGTATATTTTCAAACATATGCAGCATGGCCTCGGAAGTTTACTGTAAGTATCGACAACTATAATTACCTAGTTAACTTCCGAGTACACGATGATACATTTATAAGAAAAAAAATCTTGCCTTAATCAACGGAATAGAATTCAACACATCGACTTTTGTTCACAGAGCCATTATTATATTACAACTGCGATTATTCATGAGAACAATGGAACGTATTCCAACAATATTGAATTATGTAGGCAACAGGTTATTTTGAAATACGTTGACAGTGATAGAACACGAAATTAAACAGTCTTCCGGTATGTTGCTATTAGGATCATGTATTTTCTTTAATAACTAAGTACTTTATTTCGTACGTTTTGCATGACATAAGAGCAAAAGTCCAAATGGATAGTAATTTATGTTATTTATGGGATTGTTACCATGTACCCTGTTTTTAGCTAGTTTCCAATATTTCGGCACTGTTTCAAGCGCCATGATCACGGTACTCCGTAGGTTACTCCGTACAACAAGTTACATGGTAACAATCCCGTAAATAACATAAATAACTATGAATAACGTTAGTGACCATGAAAGTTTAAAACAATATAATGTTTTATTTTTCAATTATTACCATATTAAAGATTACATTAAACAATAGCGTGCTATCGCATCGTCACGTCTAAATTCTATTGAGCTAGAGGAATTTGTATGCGACCTAGGTAAGGGTGGATGAATATTCTATACATCCAGGAGAGATCACTTCGCCTGGGAAGTAATCCCGAGGTTTGTCGCTAATCGGAACCCCTCATCCGTACCTCACACACACCGCGAAACGTTGAAAATAAAGTGACTCGTGACATGAAGTCACATAAAGTGACTGACATCACACTTTTTCGTGCGTGCAGCCGGAGCTCATCGATTTATAAGACGTTATCACGTGAAAAGAAACCGCAATCCTTTGTCTACTGATCTAATAAACTTTTTACATTATTATATTTTTATTGAATTTAATTGCTTGATGTTAAATCTAAAGACATTTTTTAACTAAAAAAATAACCACTCGATCTAGGTCCGTCCCGTCTATTTCTAGTAAACTTTTCTTTGGACTTTGTAGACTTGAAGTGTAGAAAGAAAGCAAATAAAATAATAAAAAATAATTTAAATTACAGGAACGGTGAACCTTACGTGTATCCCGTTTTGAATTGGAGTAAGCCTGGAGTGACGATCGGGGTTGGCGCCATAACTGGGCTGCTGCTGGTCCTGCTCTACGTGCTCGTGATCAGCATAACGCTAGCGAGAGATTCAATCTCCAGGGCCTGCGTGAAACCGCGCGCGGAGCAGCCCGCTGAGGCGATGCCGTTGAGGCAACCGGCGGCCCAAGGAACGGCTGTTTAATTGAGAAAAATCTCGAGGTTTATGATCGTAAATCGTTGTTAAAGCGTGATATTGGGGGTTAAAGTCAATTTTGTAATTACAAGAAATAACGAGGACTGCGGGAAACAAAGATTATTGAATTTAATGGTTGTAGTCATGTTGCAGTTTGATTAATTTAGCAGTCGCGGTGTTGTTTACTTTTGATTTTTTTTTTACAGAATCGTTTGTACAAGGGATTAGACACAATAATTTATATCGAAAGTTAAAAGCAATTTATTGTAAAAGGGCGTTTGTTTTTTTTTTTAGTTACATAGCGTGTTACGTGGCACGATACAAGTACCATCAATCTTTTTTTAAAATACGCTAAAATCCTACTCAACATTTTATGAAAAAATTAAGCTTAAGCTTATTATATTTTTATTTTTAAGCATTTATCTGCTACATGTATTAATTTCAAGAAAAAAATCTACATGGGCCAGGTTGAAACCTGAAGTGGAATGGACGGGAGCATTAAGCTCTGTATTGTTGAATGTTGTTTTTATACCGGTCCAGTAGTTTTTTACTTTATTCGTTACAAAAATACAAATCCTTGTTCTGTGCAAAGTGTTTTTGTATGTAATTTGTACGGGTGCTAATTCTACTTACGTTAAAAAATAATTATGCATTTGTGACATAAAATTAAAATTTAGAACGCTACCATTTCGTGATGTGGAAAAGTTTGTATGAATGGACCGAATGTGCCATCTTCGCATTATTGCCTTCCGGTTAAGGGGTCTATAACGTACGTAGGTAGAAACAATTTTTGTTTTCATTTGGGTTTTTTCATTAATTGACTTATAATAATAAATAAATAATAATAATACATTTTACAGGGAACTAGCCCCCACACTAAGCTTAGCCTATCCTGTGGGGTAAGATTTTCAATATTTAGTACATAACTGTGCAATAAGCCCATAAGGAAATATCAGGAAAATGTTATAGGCTTGTTGTTCCGACAGGATAGGGATCAACTGACTGTCGAACCAAAGGGCACTCAAATGACGCAGAAACACAATCAAGGCTATGTCCATATCAAGGGCGGCACTGGTTGATCGTTATTTTTTTCAAACTGGAAGTTCTAATAAATTAGAAGTTCTTAGTGTTAACTACCCATTGGATACATTTTAACCTGCCATAAATGTCTCTCTAAAATAGAAAACTTTCTTTGAAATATTAATAAAAGTGTGTAGGCTATATTATGCTTTTGTTGAATGTATTGTATTTTGGATTAAACCATCAGTGCGTGTATATGTGTATTTAAGAGCAACATTATTGATTATAACAAATTCTGAGGCGAATATTATATTTTACATACTGTCGATAACTTTCATCCACACATAACAAAACGAAATGATTTTATTGTTATATTTAGTCATCATCATCATCATCATCAGCCTATTAATGTCCCCACTGCTGGGGCACAGGCCTTCCCTTTGGATGGAATAGGGAGATTTGGGCCATGACCCGCCACGCGGGCCCAGTGCGGATTGGCGGGTGCTATCGACTGCAGATGCAGCTGGGTCCAACGGCTTAACGAGCCTTCCGAAGCACGGAGGAACTCGAGATAGAAGTTTTTGGTCACCCATCCAATGACCGACCACTGCGAAAGTTGAAGTTAATCAACCATCGCAGCCGAACGCGCTAAGCACCTGCGCCATCGAGCTCCATATATATTATATTTAGTAGGTATATAAAATTAATTTATTAATGTGAAACTTTAAGCAGTTTATTACGAAACATGTATATTTTTCTGCTTTCAATTGAAGTATATTTTTTGTATATAGCTGAAAAGAAACTTATATGTACTTACATGATATTGATATTTTTTATGTTAAGTTTTTATTAGTAATTAATAAGTTAATGAGCTGATATAAAATAAATACCTGCTATCGAACATATTTTGTTTCTTTCTACCTCCATACATTCTGCGATAGATTTAGTCAAGAGATAGATAGGTAGGTACCCTATAATTACTTAGTTACATAGTCGTTGCATCTATTCCTTTCTTCTTTCTCTCTCTCTTTCACCCCTGTGCCTACTCGCATTGCTTGACTTGTATCACGAAACATCATCATCGTCATTTAGCCATATGACGCCACTGCTAAGGTAATCCTTCTTCAAATATATCCACAGCGACTTCCCACGACCTGCCCGCTGAGTGTAGTCAGTCAGTGTAAGCATTTATATTACTGTGTAATCTTGTTATTTAAGGCTAATACAATTCTTTCTTTCTTTATATAGTGTTCGGTCACCAGTAGGGGTCCTTTCCACTCCAACGGCCATCGATTTTCCTCACTGTGTGTGCCCACTACCAGCTAACTTTAGCTGAGTAATCCTTCAAGTCGGTTACTATAGTTCTGGGATTTCCTCATTTCTGATTGATTCACACAAGGAAGTACTAAATATCGCTCTTTCCACTGGGCGACCCTGAGCCTTCTTATGAGTGAGCTTTATTTAGATAATAATTATCCAGGATACGTTTTTCGCGAACTTTGTAGTCCTAATAAACTGAATATCAAATGCTTGAATAAAATAAGAGAGAAGTTTACAATTACATAAACGATTTTTTTTCTGTGAGGTTTCACCGTCAGGTTTTGTCTCGTGGTCATCTTTGTTTGAGCATGGGGGCCTATGGACATAGAATTATGCTTCGCTAGACTTTTTATATATTTTATATGAATAAAGCAATCATGCATTAACTTGGTATCGAGTCCATGTTCTATCCATGACGTTGACAATAATCTTTATTAAGTTAGAAATAAGAGCGACATTCAAAGTGCAATGCTTCCGTGGTCAAGGCTGTCTTAATGATAAGTATATCAAAGATTTTATCTAATTACTGAAAGAAGTACACATAGAATGTACTTAATTGCTGGGAAAATCTCAGAGAAAAACTATGTTGAATCATGGTTAAGTCATTACGAGTCATTTAAACTGTTAAAGGCCGTTACTTTATTATTCTAAGTGTTTATACTATGTCTTTGGTCGTTATCAACTTTATTTTCAATCCTGAAGAAGCGATCACAGAAGAAATCGAATCTAAGTCAATCTAAGTAGTATTTTATTATATTTTATTTTTCAACATCCAAATCCTTATTAGGGTTCCTTACTTGAAGGAATAATAACAGAATACTATTAATTTCAGTTTCTGCTGTTCGTTTGTCAGTTTGTCAGGGAGCGTATTCCACGGATCGTAATATTCTGTGGACAGTTGTATTTTCACAGAAAGGTTTCTATTGCCTTAAACCTTATCTAATTAATAATGAGAGTTATATTTCACAAAATTACCTAGAGAACCATGAAGTCCCATCTTCTAATTATATAATGATAACGCCACCTCATCTGCCTCATTAAAAACCCTGACTTTGTTAATGCGTTAAACACAAGTTTGATTGGGAAAACATCGAAACAATTACATAAGGTAGCAGCAGGCAGTGTTTGCGCAAGTTTAACGAAATCGCGACTCAGTCAGACGAGTGTCGGAGGCAGTCGCGGCGCGCGGTCCGCTCACCTCCTCGCAGCGACGGGCGAGCGCCTGCGGCTCCAAACTCTCAGTTAAATTCCCCATTAACTCTAACTAATCGTATCTTACTAGTACAAGGCGCGGGTATTGATCCATTAACCTGTAGCAAGAGATACCTGAGTGATAGAGGTATCCAGTTAAACGAGATACTGATACGACGTCTGATAACGACCGGTGCTCTTCTCGCGATCGGTCAATTCTTACGCGGAACGCATTGTGAAATTGTGATGTTATCGTAGACTCAATCTGTAAGCAGTGCTTCAGTTGAAGTGCAAAAATGGTGAAACTTTTTAGGAGCAGTGTGTCAGTATCGGATTTATGAGTGTCGTCGAACGACAAGTTGAGTGATTTTTACGCATCGTCATGGCAGCGGGGCGAGTCGGCGGTGCCGATGCTGGCGGTGCGACTTGCGCTGACGGCGGTGGCGATGGGCATCCTGATATGGTCCCTGGTGGACGGAGGGTCGCCCTATTGGCTCATCTACCTCACCAACTGGGGCCTGCTTCTCATCACACTGATGTCGCTTAGTGGGCTTCTAGTGTCGGTCGTAGCAGTCCATACAAAACCGGGTCAGTATTATAATAGAATACTTACTTATTATGTGCATATTAGTTATTGCTTTTAAGAAAAACGTGTTACGTTCCTATTTATTCAAAATAAGTATATTTAGTATTTAAAATACTTTTATAAAATAGTATATTATTTATGTAGGTACTTTATTCAAGTTGTTACAGACACACTGAAAATAATTACTTTAAGCAAAACTAACAGCAAAAATTACCATATACTAGGCATAGGTCGGACATTTCAAACAGTTAACTTACAACTTAGTAAAAAACTAACTTTATATAATTACCTACTTAAAAGCACTTAATTCCAAATTGTATTGTTAAATTGTCACAAATAAAAACTATGATACTAATAGTGCCTCAATAAAAGTATACTAGGCACATTAGTAACGCAGATAACTGATAAGACCAATGAAATTCCAAAAATGTTAGGACGCTCCTAAGCGATACTTTGATAAGTGAGTCATAGAGAATATAAACAGTAAATATTTGATATAGGAGAAATCAATCAATGAAATGTTTTGTAAAGATCTGTCATTATTCTTGCCACACAGATAAAAGTAAGTAGTAGGTATATAAGTAAGTACTAAAATCATATTCAAAACCTTTACCGGGCCTGACTTCGTCTGCCTACACGATTAAAAGAAGTCATCATAAAGGGTTCTAATGTGTATGTAATACTTTATGATATTTTAAATTTTCATCTCATTCTGTCCATCATACCATGTTCATTAAAATCTGTTCGAGTGCTCTAACGACTAATCACGGCACCATACAAAGAATTCAACAATAAGTCCACGGAAAAGAATATCAAGATTTTACTTCCTGATAGGTTCTGATCTGACAATGCGTTTTCTGTATTTCGCGACTGTGTACATTTTGAAAAGGTATGTGATGGTTACTCAGAACTTTATAGGTTACTTTAATTCCAACAAACACTCGATAATTTTTGTTTCTTTTTATTATTATTAAGAAACCTTGAATCTGCTTCTTTTTGATTGGTTTTATAAGAACCTACTACTTAGATACCTTTACTAATTTATTACTCTAGGTACAGTAATACATATTAGTAAAATTCAGGTAAATAGGTGTTTACATTGTCATAAACTTTTATTTCCTATAGGCAAAAGTCACGATTGCTACATATATATAGAGTAATAAACTTATGTTTGCATAAAGAACAGAATTAGGCTAGCGTCGATCATTTTTGAGATCAAAATGAGGTTAGGTGGGGATGACCCGCTAATGGGGACAAACGGTTTATCGCAGTTTTCAGAAAAACTATAACCTCTGTCGAAAAAAATCTAATCCTACCTTCTTATGTATCAAACATGGTCTAATTTTTTCCATTCAAAATCAAAACATCTACAACTATTGTATGAACACTTTTTAGTAAGTTTTTAATAAAATACCATAATTCGGTGACTTTTTATTTTTTCGGTGATATGAAAAACTGTGAATACAATTACTTACCTACAATTTTGGCCATTGAAATTTTTTCGATTGGTGTTGAAGTTTTCACGAAAATAGCTTAAAACCCCAACATTTTCTCAGAAAATGCAAATGCATCGTCACGATTCTCTACCTTTTAAGGGGTAGTCGTTTTATCACGATTTTCGGGAAATCTACGACTCCCATCAATAAAAATTCAATGCCAAAATTAGAGATATTAAGATCAAAATTTTGCTATTGATTTTTTCTATCGGAGTTGTAGTTTTCTCTACCGCTTCCTGATAGCAAATCACCTGTTATTTATTTTTCCTCTGATTTTAATGTGTTTTATTTCCTATTGGTGTGGGTTTATCTTGCTCCGGCTTTTTGTATATAACCAGTATCCCCCGCGGGGATGGCCGCGGAAGTCATTTTTTTATTTTTTATTTAATAGGTACACAAACAGACTGCAGTTGTCACATGGTTAAAAAACATAAATCTGGTAAAAAATCTAAACTGCCATCCGAAACAGAGTACACAGCATAAGTGAAATTATGGCAAAATAAAAGCAAGACAAAACTTTAAAACTAGGCTAAATCGTTTAACACAGTTAACAAAACGAGGTAATAAACATAAAATAAAATAAAAAATGGAAATTAAGGATCTTGAGTACCAGGGCCGAAGAAACTAGAGATGCTTCTTTTGAACACTGAGAAACGGGAGTTGAACACAACAACCTTTGTTGTTCCTTGAAAGTTCGTTATAAGTTCTACAAATTCTGACTATAGGATTATAATAAGAGGTGTTATATTTTTAAAACTTGAATTGTGAATGTATTTGGAAGGCGGGATCTATACAACGTATTAACAGAGAGTGACAAGAGCAAAACTGGCGCATCGATGTATGAGTGCAGAATCTTATGAAGGCAAATTAAATCATAACTTTACGCCTGGCTTGTAGGGAAACAACACGAAATTCTGACAATCGGTTTTTATAATTATTAAGGGAACGACCATATTTAAATTTACGAGAAAGGATCCTCAGGAGTTTCCCCTGAACACGTTCAATTCTAGTAACATGTACATCATAATAGGGCGACAATACATGGCAAGAGTATTCAAGGATACTTCTCGCCAGACTGAAAAAAAGACAGATAATGCTTCGTGTCTTTTAAAATTGCTTAGTAGATCTAATGATAAATCCCAGCATACTGTTACTTTTCTTCGTAAGCTTAACTTATCATCGAAAAACACACAAATCTTTCATTAGTGTTTTTCTGCTTATAACGTTTTTTTGGATAAAATATAGATAGGAATGAACCACCCTGCTTCCCTTTCGTCTTGTAAAGGATACAACACAACATTTATTAACGTTGAGGTTCATTTTATTCGATTAAATTGGAATAAATAAACCATAAGTGGGGACAACTTAGGAACTATCATGAGAAAAGAAAATATTTTTTCAATATCACGAGTAGGTGATCACCTATTGTGCTGTCATTGTCAACATAAATGTACCTATACATAAGTTAGCCTTGCGTGTTTTATTACGAAATAATAGACCGTCACTTAACTAAGTACACACTTTTATCTTTTCTCAGGCTTAGTTAGGTACTTACCTACTTACTTGACTACAGATTAATTCGTTGTAAATAAGAAATATTTTAGAATTAAAATTGTATATTACTAACAGGAACCTTAAAAAAATTCCGTGATTAAAAGTACCCTGTCTTTATTCTCGCGGGTCATAAACTATATGTTCAAATCAGTTCAACCGTTATTGCGTTATTTAGTAATAAACACCAAAATTTCCGACACGCCCCTGCAAAAGACCACTCACAGACACTCACACAAAGGCTCGCAGGGCCAAACGGAACGCAGTCGCCCCAACCGGCGCACGAGAACGGAAGCCCTGCAGTCCAAAACAAAACAGGACCTTACACAGTCGGCCACCGCAGCAGTGGAGTCACAGCGCGAGCCTAGGAATTTAAGTAAAGTCAAAGGGCCAAGAAAAAAGATTTTTTTACATTTAATATTATTTTGCGCATCCGGGGATTTTAATTATTTTAATTAAGTTTTTTGCTTCACGTAAACAACGCCAAGTTTCATTGTAGCGCATCTATGATTGACGGTTGACCAACGGATGACGGTACCATACCGTCTACTCACGGCAGCATTGGCCCACATTCGGGTCGAAGTTGGTTGGTCAACTTACTGGCTAACTTCGGAATGTCGCAAACGTCATGTCACACGTGGTCGGTTACCGCATCGCATCGGAATAACCGTGCCGCGTCTTATTAAATGGTCAAGGTTGCAAAGGCTTTCACCAAATCTAAAAACATATAGTTATAGACTTATTTGAGGCATGGTTTCATGCTAATAATTTCGTGCTTAATTTTACATAAGTAAGTAAATTTGACGACAATTTTCTTTTGATGATGGAGATGTTTCATTTCAATACAGACTTTCCATAGTTAAACATTTATTTACTGAGCGGTATAATATAGACAATCAATAAAAATAGAATAGGTACCTCTACTTACGGCTAATTTATTCTTAGCTAAGTACTTACCAATATTAAACACAGATAATAGTTAGATTTAAACGTCTAGCAATTACTAAACATCTAGTGTTAATGATGAATATATAAAAATATAAACAATCTCGAAGTGACATGCATGTTGTATGATACCAAAATAAGCCCCGGGTCAATTATTATAAGAGCGATTTAGTGTTCTGTATTACGTTTTTATAAAATGTATATAAGCACTTGAAAAGATCGGCGGTTATACCGCATCATACCCTTCACTGGGGATGATCGCTTCAGATGTAGCTTGTAAGACCCTTCTGCCCATAAGCATGAACTACGGGTGTGTTACTTCCATAGCGTTATGTCATATTTATGACGTTTTGTTGTGGGGCTCAGCTGCTAATATCGAAAGTATTTTCATACTGCAAAAGAGAGCTGTTCGCGCCATATACAACTTAAAGGCAAATGATCGTAATGCATGGACATAGTGTTTCTTGTAATTTGTTATTTGATGGGTATTAGTCATTTTTCATAACAGCAATATGGTACCCATCTGATGCCGCTTCCTGTATACTAAATATAAAGTTAACTATAAATTTTTTTGTCACTATATATCTATATCCTAAATGATGTGATGGTAGGTGACTTCAGAAGTATCGCTGAAGTCATTTTTCAACTTGACGACTCTGTATATAACAATACAGGGAGAAAAAAACAGCCCTTGCTGAGTTTCTTGCCGGTTCTTCTCAGTACAAGGTCTCCCGCCGTAGTTTTGCGAACCGATGGCGTAGCTTCTTGACCTTCAAAAGTGCTTATAACAGCCTAGACTGAATAATTAATGAGTTTGAGTTTTTTTAGTCAGTAAGAGTCTGACATGAGGATTTCACACACATTCCCTCGCCTGGGAGGAAACAAAACAAAATCTGCGGTTATCGTTCGTATTGAAAATAATAATAATATCGAATTGATTTTGAGTTTCAGACGCAGTTTGACTTTCGTAGATATTCTAGTTATTGTGATAACTTCAGGCAACTACGGACTTTTTTTTACACTGAAATTCACCAAAATCTTTTCAGCAGCTTAGGCGTAAAAACGTATAAGGCACACGTATTATTGTAATACTAGCAAACCAGTGAACCAAATGTTCACCAAAACCTGATTTCTCGAAAACCGGAAGTGCTACGTTACTCAAATCCGGTTTGTAGTCTTATCAGACTATTCTTAACTTATAACTTAAATATTCTCTTTATCTATCTCTTACGGTTTGGCCGCTGAAACAGCACCACAGACGGACGGACTTGTCTAATAGATAAGAGATCTGTAAAAGGAGCTCTATGGTGTAAATGGTTTGCGCGTTCGGTCTGCGATTGCGAAAGTAAAGTAATTTTCGCCATGGTCGGTTATCGGATGGGTGAACAAAAATATATTTCTCGAGCTCCTCCGATGATTACGATAATGAAGTGAGTGTTGAATAAATAAAAAAAAATAATAAAACTGTTTACAGACTCGGATGTCGGCGAAGTACCATGGTATATTGGTATCTACTGGTTCATATACAACATCACAGTGTGCTTGGCACTCATGATCAGCGCTCTCTACTGGATTCTACTTTACGATCCTGGTGAGTGACTTACTGTTGATATTTTCTGAGGTGACGTTCAATAAAATACACCAAAAAAATACATGAAATAAAAGCGTGACTGAGCTCGATGGCGCAGATGGCTAGCGCGTTCTGCCGGCGATGTCGACCCATAAAATAACTGGCGATGGCTAGCGCGTTCTGTCGTGGAAGTTAAGTATCTTTCGCAATGGTCGGTCATTGGATGGGTGACCAGAAACTTATTATCTTGAGCTCCTCCGTGCTTCGAAAGGCACGTTAATCCATTGGTCCCGGCAGCATTTGCAGGCGTTAAAACTTAAAACCCACTAATACACAATGGGCCACGTGGTGGGTAACGGTCCAATGATCCAATCTCCCTATTCCATCTATGGATGGGAGGGAAGTTCTGTGCCCCAGTGACATTAATAGGATAATGATGATGAAAAGCGTTGCGCAAAGGATACTGAAAGACAATCTCGCTGGGAGCTGTTTGTCTAACTTTATCCCATTAACTTTTCTCTTCAAAGTTTGAAAGTGCTATGCATCTAATCCAAAAAATAAGGATTTAATACCACAAAAGTGGAAAACTACCATGCAGTCCAGGTCTGCTGTTGGTAGGTAAGCGACTCGACTCTCCCAGCTTATAGGCACCTGCAACACGTACCGTGTCAACCATATTTACCATATCTCTACCCCATAAAGCTAGCTACGTGATATTGCTAAAAAACGCTGCTAACTGTGTCGATTTGTGTGCAGAAAAACAGGAGACTAGGCGAATGTTCTGGTTGGACGTGGCGACGCACGGTTTCAATTCTTGCGTGGCGGTGGCAGAGCTGCTGTTGTCCCGCACCCCGCTGCGCTTCCTGCACTTTTACCAACCGTTCAGCGTAGCGGTCTGGTATGCTGCCTTCACCGCCATATACTACGTAGCCGGTGGCACTGATGCGTGAGTATTTCTGAACATACTGTAATCTTTTTTTCTTGTGTTTATTACATACCTCCATAACTTCAAGCATGTTATTTTTTACCTGGGAGGTACAACCAGTGGTTCAAAGTTTTATATGTTCATTGTAATATATGTCTATCATGGATCCTAGTACACTTTTTCTTTTATCTGAGTCCATCATGCAAAACGATTTCAAATAATGGATTCTAGCAATGGATGCAAGTGGATATAAAGACAATTTTATTTTCTGGAAGTCTGACGTGCTTTTCCCCTTACCTACTACAATAAAGTGTATCAAATTACAGCAAGGGAGAGCCATATATCTATACGGTGCTGGACTGGCGGAACGGTGGACAATCTACCGCCATAGTGTTCATCTCGTTGGGAGGACTGCTGACCATCTACTGCACTCTGTGCGCGGTGGCCCTCGCGCGTGACAAGATCTCAGAGTCTGTCGTGCGCATGATCAGTCATGACCTGCCGCCCACTCCACCGGACTTCCTGGATTCTAGGCTGGTCTAAGCCTCACATAATTCTAACTCCGTTATAGATATTGCGCTAGGCAGATCCATCCTATTGGGTCAAAGAATCGAACCTCAAAGTGGTTGTGGTTTGCGCATTGGTGTATTGTGATTAAAAGCCCATTGTAATCATAGGCCCAAGGCGCTGGACCATCATGTTTACCAAAATTTCCGTATATTCTCAGACGCCCCATAAAATAACTGACGTGGACGATGACCTCTTTTCCATTAGCTTCTGGTGGCAATCACCACGGAGGCGACTATGAATAATGGTTCAGTTTTTTCTTTACATTTGCCTCCGGCGGCTATCCCCGCGAGCGCGACTGGGAATATACAAAAAAGTCTAGCCCTAATGAAGGCTGTTTATATTATATTGATTAAACAGTGTTTTCTTAACCAAAGCATGATGGCCAATCACGCTAACCGAACGTTTGTACACCAGCTTACGAGCCTGCTCTGCACAGATTAGGATCAGTTTGAGGAAAGACGTTACGAGATTTTTAGTCCTTAGCAGACAGAAGCCCCGTTTTGGTGCAAGCATTTTATTACACAAAATAACGACCAATAGGTATTCAGGGCGATAAAAGTATTAGGAATAGTCTGTGTCCCAATTTACTGAAAAGTGAAGCGCTTTTTTTATAAGATTTATTGACAATTATTACGAATGATACAATAATTTCCAAAGAAGTGTATGTGCCTAAGTGTTATATTATAAGAGTGTAACATTAAGTTTAGAATGTACAGTCAAGCTTATAATAATAATGGCTAAGCTTAAAGCATGAATATCGCACTTGCATAAGTAGGTACCTACCTATTGCTACAGAACACAGCAACCTATGTTTTCTATGGGTACTGCAGCTCACCAAAGTTACTGTCAATATTATTATACATACCAAACCTTGTTGTACAATAGATCCCGTCCCGATCCCGATGATAGATATTAAAATACAATTTATAATTTAATTAAATATAAGCCCTGTGATTAAGGAAAAGTAGTAGATGTAAATACTGTAAATACCTAGTAATAAATATAAAAATAAAATCGTACGCAGTTATAGATATTGATATAATTATTTCCACGATTTATAACCTGCCACATATTTATTCATTATGTTTTATTGGCTTATATGGTTATATGTACTTAGTATGGACTGACATACAGTTCCAGGTAATATCTCAACCTGTATAATTGCAAAATAATATATTTAGTAAAATATATCATATGTTTGTACAAGGAAGTAGAAAGGTAGGTTATAGATACACCCCGGCAAACTTTTGCTCAAGAACTTTTCCGCTACCTATAAGTACTTACTTACTGTTAAAGACGTAAGACGCAGACGGGGCGCGGATATTTATGTCTCTTCCGCGTCCATTTCATACAAAAAGTATAGAAGCGTCGCGTTGGAAATTTCATTTCAATTCATTTCATATAGAAAAAACAGAGCGTGGACACGACACCTCTAAATTTTGTATGAAACTGACAATGTCCGTGCCCCATCTGCGTATTCCGTCTTTTCTGTGTATCCAGCGACTAGAATAAGCTGACTTTATGTTGGGGAGTTGATATTCCTATTTTCATTCATTCCTCTAGCTGAGAGTGCTAGACTGAATACTATTATGTAATATAAATATAATAATGATAGCGGGTACATATAATCTTTTCACAGAATGCCATCCAAGCCTCAAACACTTTGGTAGGTTACCAAGTCCATTAAATTAAACTGTAGATTCCAATTGCTATGTAAATAATATAAAGGGCTTGGTAAAGGCATTACCTATTACACAACTTCTTTCGGTCTTTCGTTCAGTTTCTTTACACTTGTTGAAATTGTTTTATTTACGAAAGATCTATTAGCATATCACTATGTTCTAAGCATTATGTATAATGATACGTATACACTAATGTTTGCCTATATAGTTATGTAAAACAAGATTTACTCTACCCAATTTTAAGGGCCCAATCGAAAAGGTGAGCGTGGCCCCTAACTGGGGTAATCAATTATTACACCGCGCCGATCGCCCAAGATCGGGTCCCTTACTCCCCAATGTGAGTTAGGGAGTAAGGGACCCGATTTTGGGTGGCACATACACCACCCTTAGTCAAGGTAAGACTACCGTAAAATTGGGTAGTGTATATCCCGCATTAGTATTCTTTTGTAAATAGGTAGTGCAATAAAAATGGTTTTTAAAAAAATCTATCATTTGTATTTCCTATTAATATGTCAAGAGGGATATAATTTTTTGACGAATTATATAAACATAAAAAAATAAAAGACGTTTACTTATAAAATTGAAAATATTTTAATAAACCTATCTATAGATATATTAGTCATGTAAAATAATATTGGGCAAATAAGCAGGATTTTTAATATATAGGAAATGTAAAAAGGAATAGAAATGCATAATATCTAGTCGCTTAAATGAAACGGACAACTTGCGATTATCTAGAACATTTATTGTTTATATAGCACATCTTTATTCAAACACAAAGCAACCAATTAATATAAATGATTAAAGTAATAACAAACAAACTACAATAATAATTATGATATGTGATTAAATAATAACTGACTTAGTATGCCTGTACAGTACAAAATGACGACATGCCGCCAAGCATTTCCAAATATTTTAACAAAACAGCAATAACCAAAATAAAAATTTCAATTTATAAAATAAATTTTGAAATACATATATCTACCGACAGGTATAGGTACTTGTAACCAAATGATTTCATGATTACAAATTTGGACAACAGTCTCAAAAAATAAGCCGTCTTAACCATTTATCACGTGTTTCCAAAAATATAGAACTTCTCTTTTATAGATTTAATTGAGTTAAAGATAATTAAAAACTAAATAAGTCCTTAACTTTAAACATGTCCGAATATTAAGGCAGGGCCGTCAGTCCACGACTACCAAAAGCATATTGCGAAAAATACAAAATAAAAGTTTTAACAACGGACATGACCTAAACTATATTGGTATTACTTAAACTTAATTATTCTTAATATTAATAATTAAAAGCAACACATCACATGGGGCCATAAAATTATCGTACACAACTCTAAAACTCTCTTGACCTGGATAGGTACGAAATATATAATTTAAATAAGTGTAAATATTTGCTATACATATATATTATAATTAATTATTAAAGCCTTAGTAGTCTTCGTATGCCCTTGTTTATACATTAAGAACAAATAGTTTTTTATATTTGCTTTAATTGAAGAATTTTTCTGAACATGAAACGGTATACGATTGAACACTAACGAACGTTAATTAGCAATATGTATTAATTGATTTAGAAAAGGCATTTCATAAAAAAAACTGTACATAAAACACTTACGAACTTATTCAGTCAGCTTTAATATAGTTTTCTTTTTACATTTACCTCCAATGGATAAAACCAATGAATAAATATTCGATAAACAAATTTTCTCAACAAGCTTATGAACATGACAAGACTTACGTATTTTATGATCACGAACTTTGACCGTTATCGTATCGTCATCGTCAAATTTTGTATGGAAGTAGCCAGTTTGTTCTTACGTGGGGTGGGCGCTGCTTAGTTTTAATAGAAACTTTGATAATGCAATACGATTACCTACAGAGCTGTCAAAGTTCGTACTTTGGGCCTCTGTATTCGTAACGTAGTAAGTGCTCACAGACCAGAGGCCGGAGTACGTACGTTTTGTTCCATTCATGTCGTTTTAATAGTTTAGCCACCCTAAGGCGATTGATCGCAGTATGCATGTAAAAAATAAAAAAATGGAAATCTTAAAAAAGTAACGTCAACCGGATCAGCTTATTATAGCTTTCTATTTTGTTATTATTGTAGAATAAAAATGAAAAAATGTTTACATTGTGTTGCGCTTCGATTTAACTTTACTATCAAGTTTGCGTTTACGTCGAAATAAATATGAAGAAAATAACTTCATTTACGTACCACTAGACGGCGTCATACATTTTTCCACACTAATTTTGACGTGAACGCAAACGCGACAGTAAAGTTAAATGGAGGATGGAAAAATAGAGAATGGAGCATTTTTTTTCTACTATAGAAACAAAATGAAAAGCTATAATAAGCTGATCCGACTGACCTTACATTTTTAGCAATTTTTTACGTTCATACTGCGATCAATCGCCTTAGGGTGGCTAAACTATTAAAAAAGACACGAGCGGAGCAAATCGTACATTGCTTCACTTTTGGTGTAGCTTGCGTTACATAGTATCATTATAACCGATTTGTTATAGGCAGTGTCAAACGCCTTTACGTTTTGACCAATAATTCTGAATAGCCGTAGAAACTGTAAGAAATGCTACCATTTGCCATTACGAATTTCAAGCGCTTCAAGGGTAAAGCAAATAATTAAGGATTTGCGTGTGTTATGCCAAAATATCAAAAATAGAAAATACCGAAAGAAACAGTTATAACCAACCAGATAGAAACTACTAAGTAGGCGTTAATAAATTGTGATAGCATTAAGAGTATTTAATCCACGGTGTTGGCTCGTGATGCTCTTAATATAATAAAATATATTTACTAAGATGTAATAAAAACATGACTTGCGCAGAATGAAACGTATATCAATGTTTTTGCTAACAATGAAATCGTAAGACTTTCTCCAACCAATACACTGGGACAGGTATTCGTTGTAACATTTATTATATTATTATACGTCTGGTATTAACACATTGTTTTTTTTTACTCTTGCTTTTTTAGTGTTACGGTTTTCGGTCGACAGATAAGTTGTATTAAAGAACTGAAAAAAATCTGTCATTATAGTCGGATTACACTGTAGCCGAAGTGGCAGCAAATCAGCAAAAGGCTGCACGACACATCATTATAGGCTTTATCTTCAATACGAAATGTATGGTATCGCTTGAAAAACTACCTACCTATGTCCTTAAATTAAAACAAAAAGGGAAGATATGGCACTCGCGGCTCAAAAGTTGCATGAGCATAATTCGCATAAGTCACAATTGGACATTCAAACACGCTGCATTTGTACTCAATACAACAATATTGCGTATATTCTGTGTTATAAAGACAAAACAAAGCCTTCGATGCTTTTATCAGGAACACAAATACATAGTTCAAAATCAAATAACAAATGTCTCGGCAACACTTTTCATTCGTAAAACTGTAATAACATTTTTTTCTCAAAAATCACGTGAGACGTGTGCGTGTGTGAGAGTTGCTTATGTAGTTGAGTCGGATCATATTTTATTTGATGCTAGTATGAGCGTACCGTATCTTCCCTTTTTGTTTTAATCTAAGCCTACGTCACATGGATTGAGGCCCAAACACGAATTTTAGGCAGGCCCGGAACCGTACAGTATCGTTATTTTCAATGAAAACTAAGCAACGCCTCTACAGGGCGTAAGAACAAACTGGCTCCTTACATACAATTTGGACAATGGGCAAAACGCACCCAGCTCCGCCAACAATGTAATTAGTATGAATCGATAGATCTTTGAAAAACTAGCCTTTTTTTTATTATAACACCGAAAATAAATATCCTGGGAGTCAAAAGATATGACACTGTAAAAAATATCCTGGGAGTCAAAAATATCCTGGTAGTCAATAGATATGACACATGGGCATATTTAAGTAGCTGAATAAATTCATTTTATAGTACCTTCATTTAAAATTATTACTAATCATAATAATATGCCATATCGTACTATACAACCAGATATACGACAAAGCCTGCCGACCATCCTGCGCTTGCTCTTACTGAGATATTTCAAAACGGTTTACGGATGACGAAGGACTTGCAGTTGCAAATAGTCGACTCGTCTTACTTCGTTGTGATTGTGCGCTTAGTAAGTAGCAGGGTACTTGATTGATTTTTATCTAACACGCTTTGGATATTGGAACACGATTATCGGTTTTGTCAATTAAGATGGATGAACTGGAATCATGTGTTATCCGAAGCGTGGACAAGTTTGTGTAATCTGTGGTCGCTCCGTTTTACATAGAAGACTTACTATAACGTACAGAATGTTTAAAAAAACCCAACCCATGCGGGGATGTTTGGATTTACTCTAGCGCGGCAGAATAACATAAGGGGGCACCCTTGCACCTTGTGAAGTACTCCTATAATTAGTGAGCACCCTATGTAGAGTCGAACTAACTAACTAAATTAATTCCCTTGTTTCATTATGTTCGTTCGTTATGTTATAGTACTTGTACACATTTAACTTAAAATAACTAAAGACCCCCGGGATGAAATTTGATGCGCTTTGGCACAGATGATCATGACTATAATACCTTCCAAACAAATGTAGTTTTAACCGTCCATACATTTTTGCCCAATGTCCTTTGACCATGACGATACGATAACGGATCTGTCAAAGTTCGTGGTTAGGCCTCTGGTCGCAACGTCAAATAACTACGCCGAAGAGCTAGTCCTTCAAGCAATACAATAGATTCTGTAATGAAGATAAAACATAAAATAATTTAAAAGTAAATGTGTCAGTTGCTGCAAAATTAAGTATAAATTGATTCTTAAAATATCATCGATCAAATCGAGATTCATGTCGTAATATACAAATAAAAATTTACTTTAATAATTAAACTATTCCTTAGAATATTACTTGGAACAGACACTATAATTATATTGCCATATACTAAGTTTACTAACAAATGACATTTCCACTTAATCAGTAAAGGAGTCTTTACACAAGTTCTTATTTGTCTAGGTATTTATAACATACAAGATAAGCGTGGTAAGATATATAAGTCACGGGAAAGTTAGTATTAACGATTAAAGAAAAAAAACTAAGTTTAAATATTTTTAATAAGCTCTTTTGTGATAAATAATGGAGGCATTTTATTTACTTAATCGGCGAAGAGCTCGAAAACAATGAGCAGACGAAAAACAATCCTTGAACAGTCATACGTTAACATCATAAAAACAAACATCCAAGTAACAAATCAACCTAAGTAATCTATATTAATAACATCTTACCTGCTACATTGAATATTTTCATTGTACATCAATACATCACATCATAATATAATTATCTTAATTAAGCTACAGTGGTCGAATATAGTACTTACCTAACTTACACATCCTAACATTTTTACAGAGATCACTGATTTTAAGCCATAGTCAGGCTAAGCAATAGCACTACCCGCGTAACAACGCACATCAAATGTATCCAAATAACTGAGCTTTATATTGGTGATATTAAATTCTATTCTGTTTTGAGAAGTTTAGACAGTTTATGGAAACATGTCGTGTGGCTATTTGTACAATAGTACGCCCGAACAACTGATTCGTCACCCACTTGCCCGATTATTCGCTTCAAAATATCAAAAGAAACAAGTTTTCTATTGTAGATAATGCTTAATTGCGCACTTAGGACCTTCTAATAACAAGGAAACTATGTTAACAATTATTGAAAAGATATTTGAAATTTGGCCTTTATTTTCAATGAAATAGACAATGTTGTAGATAAAATTGGAATAGTAGTTTGAATTTCGAAATCACTTTTAAAACATAGAGCTATATGAATAGAGTAGGGGAGATATGTACTCTACTGCTAGTGGAAGTGTCCGTCTAGTAGAAAGAGAAAGAAGATGAGGGACGGCTAGCTATCTCTCTCCCTTGTGACGCTGCGCAGTCGTGATTGGTCGGTATTCATCCGTAGGTTTTTCATCCAATGCGAATTCGCAATTAGAGGAGAAAGGCTAGCCGTCTCTCATCTTCTTTCTCTTTCTACTAGACGGACACTTTTAGAGCCGCCTTCCCCACTCTATTCTTATACCTCTATGTTTTAAAATCGTAAATGTAACAGATACTCTTTGGATTTCTTGACATTATAAAAAACGTTGCTATACTAATAGGGAAATCCTTAGTCCATGGGCAAAACTCCAAATAATTTATTGTCAAAATTATGCCACAGGAAGGCGGCTAAATCCGTCACGTCGAATATAATTGTTTAGAAAATAAAATAATGTTATTGTTTCGAAATGGTCTTAACAAAATAAGCTTATGGTGGGTCAGGAATCAAATTGGCTGATTGTATGTTGCGCTCGAAATATATGCGCGCGATAAAGTTAAATTGCTCTCATACTATAAAAACGTTTAGTTACATCTATAAAGTCATATTAGATCAAGCTTCGTATTCACAGTTACATGTCCAGACAATATTTTGACATAACAAAGTTATTGCGAAATATCTCTTATCTATTAGACAAGTCCGTCCGTCTGTGGTGCTGTTTCAGCGGCCAAACCGTAAGAGATAGATAAAGAGAATATTTAAGTTATAAGTTAAGAATAGTCTGATAAGACTACAAACCAGATTTGAGTAACGTAGCACTCCCGGTTTTCGAGAAATCAGGTTTTGATAAACATTTGGTTCACTGGTTTGCTAGTATCTATATAAGTGACGAGTCTCGGGCTCAGTCAGCTATTTTTATAATACACTAGATAAGTTTGTAATTGTAACATCCAGTCCATCCTCGTTAAATTCATGGCTAGGTTTAGAAAGTTGTTAGTCTGTTCTTGTCCTTTTACTTTTTAGCGTAATCCTAAGTTGATCCTGTTAGCACGACAATATAATGAAATACGTCACGAAATTGAGACAACCACGTTAAATAATAATAGGTATTAAAATATTAATGATAATTTGAGCTTTCCTTTCAAATGCGTGATTATGACAATTTAACAAACTATATTTAGCCAATACAATACTGTCACATTGTCATTTTTCTATGAGTGCAAGTGGACCTTAGCAAAATTGGTGCTAGTAGTGCACCTAAATAAACTAATTTAAGGTTATAAACTCGACAAAATTTATCTAAATGCTTGCGATTTAACCTGATGAAACTATTTTTATTATCACTGGAACATATTCATATATCAGGAATATTTAAGCAGTTGAAAACGGTTCGATTATTTAATTATTTATGCAAATACGTGATGATTTTACCAAGTCGTCAAAGGATCTAACGTTTTCAAATTAAGTCTCATTTAGGAGAGCGGAATTCGACACTTTATCCATTTATTGGTAGTCTATGTGCTTATTGACTTGAAAACTATTTTGCCTAAATCAGAATTACGAAAATAAGAAGCACCAAAGAATAGAATAATACTTAAACATTTTCTGCCTTATTAATATTAACTACAACATCATCAAAGGCCACTGAAAACACACAGCCGGAACCATTAATAAGATTAAGGTTAATTCCTTTACTCTAAACGTACTTAGAGGTTCTCACATAAAGGATACAACGACTGAATCATGTGTCTTATGCGATGAATCCTTTGTGTTCACTTATCAATACACCAGAAAACAGCTACTTTAATTAATTCGTCTAACTTCAGTTCCGCGTATAAATACTTACGTTTGTATCAAATTTAAATTCGTTCAGCACTCGCGGCACGGCACGGCTTACTAACGAATCAACGTTAAAGTGTCTACACTTTCCCCTATTATGAATAGATAATTATCACGGTCTCTCGATTATTCTTATAATTAACCTGTAACCAACGAGTTTCAAACTTAACGATTTAAATAGTACGGTATCATGTTATATTATTTGTACATTTAAGTCAATCTAAAAAAAATCTCTTCCGATTTATATTACCATTAATTTTCAGGTTAATTGGTAATTTTCTTGCACAGATTGAAATGTGTCACGCACGGCCAAGCTATTTTTATGGATATATAAAACTGAAATTGAATTTCCAACCCAATGATATTTAGTAACAGTCAAAATGCTTAACGATTAAATAAACGGTAATCTGTTGTTGTATAAGGTTTAACTTGATATTATATCCTTGCTTATATATTTTTTTTTTGGGTCTGCCATTATTTTTGGTATAATAAATACGACCTAATCACTCGCACTCTCACCAGGTTGAGATAACTGTCTAATGATAATGTTTTTAATACATATTGTTTTGCCACCTTACCCTCTTTATTTCTTAATAATATCCGTAAACTCGCAAATCTCGACGATAAGCATTCACATAAGCTTAAAAATAATGCTATTAAACAGCTTAATATTTTGGCATTAATTTAGTAATGTGACAACGATTTTAATAATATCTAGCTAGCTTACAGTTAAGTATTCAAGTTCATAACGCTGTACTGCGGACTCAATAATGTAGTAATGTTTGTTTTGTATTCAATTGCACAAAATGATAACCCGATCCAATTCATATTGTATGAACACGAGACAGAAACTCAATCACTCATTATTAAAGCGCTGGACAGGAGTGATTACAACGCAGCGTTCAAAATTTCAAAGTAATAAGTATATTAAATAAGAACACATTAAGTCCAAATTATGGCACTGCCAATTATTCTGGATAAGCTCGCTGATTAGCTGATAATTGTGTTAGTTAATCAAGGACTGAGGTGGACAATTCGAAAGTGACAGCTCTTAAGTTCAGTAATAATAACAACTACGTGACAGCTCTTAAGTTCAGTAATAATAATAATTATATCTACGTGGTAAAAGTGTATCCACTATCCTTTGATTTGTATATCGTTGAATTGTTATTTTTAAGTGAGTTCCTCACCGCTGAGCAGAAATATTCGGAAGGAAGACTCATCGGCCGCCACGTCTGTATACATCAGCTCCTCCTGAAAGTTATCAACTTGTTGAATCACAACAGTCTTAGGTATCGAACTCTAAATAATCTCGAATAAACAATCGTCGCGCAAACTTTGTTCATACAAATCAAATCACATCAACCCTGGACGGGTTAGTAACGAAACAAAAGAATAATGTAGAAGTAGTAAGCTGTCATATTCACAAATGACAGCAAATACTATTGGTTTAAATTCAATTCAAAAGAAAAAAATATAAGAATTTAGATCGTAACCACTTAAAATAAAAGTCATAATTGGTGTATTCATTAGATGTGTCCGACATTATTGGTAATAATCATTTATGAACAAGAGTTAAATTTAAAAAAATGTCTATTACAGCCGAAACAGACTTTTGAAACTTTTTATTATGATCAGTGTGTACGCATCGCGTTGCACACTTTGATCTGACTCAACAAGCGTCGCGTGGTGTCGGTTGACGTAGTGTTTCAAAAGTCGGTTTCGGCCATTATACTTATTTTTATTTACATACTAGCGGCCGCCCGCGACTTCGTACGCGTGGAGTTAGTTAGAAACAAAGGTTCACTGCTTGTTCCCTGTAGGTGATAGCGTGAAAATATGTAGCCTATGTTGAACGACTTCTTAATAATATTCGTGCCAAATTTGAAGTACATCCATACAGTCCTTTTTGAGTTTATCCCGGACATACATACTGACAAACAGACAAAAAATCTAAAAACTATTTTTTTTTGCTTCGGTATCGATTGTAGATCACACCCAAGTATTCTTTTACAAAAATATTCAATATACAGTTTTGACTTTCCTACCATTTTATTACACAGGGTGGTCCAATTAGTATCGTCAACAATGTTTTTTAGATTCCTCGCACCTGGGGGTATCCGAAAATACGGTATTTAGCAGTCTTTTTTGTGACATAATTGTATTGAAGGGGTTTTAGTAAAAAAAGTAACTCAGCTTCCTGAAATTACTTAAAGTTTATCAAAAAAGGCTTGAAAGTTGGAACTTTAGTTTTTAGTAGGATTTACTCAAACATTCAACTTCCATTTAAAAATACAAAAAGGAGTTTCCATAGCTTCTGGCTAAAATCTATGCATGCTTCTAAACTACCAAAAAACATAAAAAAATGTACTTAATCAGCCTATTTTTGTTGTAATTGGCTTTTGAAGGCAGATAGGCTACAAATCATTGAAACACGATTAAAGCATTAAAAAAAATATCTACTTTTGTTCGCATTTTAATCTTAGGGGTTAAACCGAAACTATGTAAAATTACTCATGCTAAAGTTAATTTACAGGAATTTCAATTAACTTTAATTTGAAATTACATTTTTAAGTTTAATTTACCATAACAATGATAAAAATTAGATAAATAAAGGTAGTATATAACTCGAAAACTAAGAAAAATCGCGGAACATATATGGGGTATTTTCGGATAACCCCAGGTACGAGGAATCTAAAAAAAATGTTGACGTCACTAATTGGACCATCCTGTATGTATAGACTAAGTAGGAATAAATACCTGCATGAGATCGCCGGTTGGGTGTGCGTCGAGCATACCAAGGTCTGTCTCCAACGCGTCGTTGGTGCCACCCACAGCACTTGCGGGCTGCCTATATTATATACACAGACAATGAAAAAAATACTACAAACTACACCACATTCAGTTATAAATAAATAAATATTTCCAACACTCACACCAATAAGCCTAGCCCCAAAGTAAGCACTGTAAGGCTTGTGTTATGGGATACTAGGATAACGGATAGAATACTACTGTACATATATAAGTATATTTAAATATAAATTTAAATGAAACATCCGTGACTGGAGTACAAATGCTCGTATTCATCACACAAACATCTGCCCTCACCGGGAATCGGGATCACGAGTCGGCGACGCCACGAAACCCGCGTACAAACCACTCGGCCATAGAGGTCGTCATAAACACAGAATATAGGTGGAACTTATTTAATAACAACTGTTTTTCTTGAGACTTAAACAATGGTGCTTCAATCCGGATTCTTCAACAAAAATACTCTGTTTCCTGATGGGCTGCGCAATTTTTTAATTTAAAATTTAGGACAAAACTATTATTTTTCTTTATAATCGATACAGAGGTTTAAGCCAGAGTTCATCAATAGTTAAATTTGACTATAGTTATACTAGAAAAAAAATAAACATTTGACAAAATTTAAAACATTTATTATGTATGTAAGTATGGATGAAACAACGCAGCCTTAGACATAAAATCATAAGAGACAAAGAGTTACTATCACATTAAGGGTGAAGCCAAACGAGCGTAATTTTGTGAGTTGTGAGTCGCTTATTTTCGGTTACTTATTTTACGTTCAACTGAATTTCTGTTGAGCTGCCATACGAACGTAATTTATTCGGTTACTATTGAGCGTTAGTACGGGGTGTTCGTGTCATCGAGTGCAATGGATCCATTAAAAATATTGTGTATTTACGAAGCATATTCAGAAGATGAGGCCAGAAAAAGAAACTGGGTAAACCCACTGAATAGTCAGAGGCTGGTATGTGGACAGTTCCATACTTTATATGAACCTTTATGTGCAAATCCAGATATGTTTGAAAAGTACTATCATATGCCATTACGTGTTTTTCAAGAATTATTACACCACACAACTTGTAACAAACTGTTGCTTCCCCACTCCCGTTCCTTGCGCTACCCTCACCCCGACCGAAATTCGGACGAGCTAATGCGCATTGAGTCGGCAGACAACTCATTTTGCGTTGTCGTGTGGCACCAACTGCCTTTTTGTATGAAACCGAATGCAGCAGAATTTCTGCGACCGAAATTCTGCGACTCACCACTCACAAAATTACGCTCGTTTGGCCTCACCCTTACAATAAAATTAGGTAAATATGGATTAAAATGGCATGTCCAAAAATGAACCAAATACTTACTCGTTGTCATCATTTATCATTATGTTCCCATGGAGGAACAGATCGCTTCTAACAGTATATATGTTGCTGTCAGAGTTCTCTGTTTGCTCTACCTGTAAAAAAGGACATATTCACACACCTATCTCAAACCACTAGTGTAAGGAGTCAAGCTTATTCTTTGTTTATTATTAAGGTACTTAGTCTCTTTTCATCAAGTCAAGTGTCGTTTCAGTGTTGTAAAAAAAATGTGTGTTACTAATAGAAGTAATCAGCAGGTACATAGGTGCCGTTGCCACATATCACCAATGGCAATAAATAATGGTGATATATATTTATTTTTTGAAATCAATTAATTAACATTTGAATTCATCACACAAATAAACGCCTTATATTTTGGTGCTCTGGCACTGGCGATTTCACGATTTCACAATACCCCGCTGCATTCATGCAACGTGGCCGATCCGAGGCTTGACCCAGTTGTTTCTAAGTGAATCTACTAAGGTTTTGCGGTTTGTTTTTTCATGTTTGTCATTGCTCTCATCACACAATTATATTGTTTGACGCAAAATAATGTGTAATCTTAGATTAAAACGAAAAAGAAAGACTTTCGCGGCTTAAAAGTAATCTGATTAAATTGTGATGCATGACCGCAATAGAGATGATGACTAATTTTTTTTCTTCGTTTATCAGGTAGATTATCAAAAAGTATTGGACACGTATCTTTTCTTTTTTCACATAATATAATCATTGCAGAGATATATTGATTTGAAAAGTCGCATGACGTCACGTTTGGGTACACTTATAAGTGAAAATTCACTCAAAAGTGACGTCACGAGCCCCTACTCCCAAACTTTGACGCGCTATAACTTTGTCATTTTTTGGTTGATTGCCCAAAGAAAAAATACCTGTCCATTATTTTTTGACCATCTAACTGACGGACTAAATAGAATTTCGTTTACTGTACCCCGTCATCACCCCTATTCGCTATAGTCACAATTGGACATTCAAACACGCTGCATGTGCACTCAATATAACAATATTGCGTATATTCTGTAATATAAAATTAAAACAATGCCTTCGATGCTTTTACGAAGAACGAAAATAGTTGAAATCAAATAACAATTTATCTCAAAAATCACCAATGTTATTTACGTAATCGCCATTTAGTTATCAAGAAAAGGTTAACAATACAGCTCAGCCGTACGGACTCGGAAGCGGACTCGCCGTTACGCTCGCACTGCGTTGAGGCGTACAGTTCTTCGAGTGCGAGCTTCTCGCTCGTTCGATTGAATGTTTATATACAGACGTACTTGCACACGTCACGTGAGCGTTGCTTATGTAGTTGAGTCGGATCATATTTTATTTGATGCTAGAATGAGCATACCGTATCTTCCCTTATTTCAATCTAAGTGTGTAATAGAAAAACCAAAACCCTTGTACATTCACCCTTCTGAGCGTTATTCGCTGCTTGGCTATAACTCGGTTGCCGCTCGGTATAGATGAGCATGTCCATATAAAATATATGTAAGACACGGTCTAAGCGTGATTCATCCATTATGTGCATATAAACAGCAGCCATTTGTTGCTGTGGATACACGCGCTACCCATGAATCTCCCCAATTCGCGTTTTCATATTCATGCGTTCAAAATCAAAATCAAAAAAACTGGCAGCGCAAGCGCAGCTGCTGCAGTCTGGTCTCTCACTCGAATTGAAAAGTAAAATGATGCGATTCTACGATGCGAGTTCTTAAGGTAGCTCCAACAGTATTTCGCAGATTTTTTATAGCAACGCGAACGGCATTTGAAGTGGCTGAATATAAACGGGATATATGGTATAGTACTTTGGACTAATTGTCGTAAGTAGTATTTTTATATATTAAATAAACCTAATTTTTCCAACGGTTACTTATTCAATTGTCGGTAATTTTTTAGATTATAACTAATATAATATGTAATATATATATAATAATGCATCAAGTATTGTAATGGAACATTCAGCTTTGTTAACTTTTTTATATTCTTTTTCTTTTAAGGGCCGATTTAACTTAACTGTTTAATAAATTAATACTCAATCAAATAGAGAGAGATGTCATCCGTCACATTACACCAATTAACACAAGTCAACTCTTTATTTTGTCCGCATAATACGATATCGAACAGATTTTATCCAGTTTTCGAGAAATCAGCCCTAATACGAATAAGTCAGTACGAATCAAATTCGTACTAATACACATCCAAAGTGCGACCGATTAAAGTGATCGTCCATTAAATACAGGGCCGGATTTAAGGCTGGGCAGGCGGAGCTGTGGCCCAGGGGCAGACATATATATACAGAGATAAAAAAAAACAAATTTCGATAGATCACCAAACCATGGGGGGAGAGTGCAAATCGTAAGTGGTCCGGCCCAGATTTAGGTGCCTCCACTCCTTCGTTGCCACAGGGCCCTCATATCTCTATATCCGGCCCTGATTACACACAATTCTAAAAAAAAAACAAATTTACTCACGAAACTCACAACGTAGTCGTCGTCGAGGTGAGCTTCAGGGGCAGGACTTGTTGGATTAGTTCTGGACAGCGGCCACGTACAATGCGTCCTAGCTGCTCGCCATTCGCTTCTGTTAACCCCACTCCCTTGTTCTATTATATCCACACTCATTTCTACCCCGCTGGCACTCGTTTCTGCACCACACACACTGTTAACTTCTACCCCATCCACAATTTCTTTTACCCCAGCCTCTACAGACAACCCCGCTTCCGTCGAATCGCGCACTAAAGCCGAACTCGAAACCAGGTTAACCTGTGACAACAACACAAAATTTAATCAAAATTTCTAAGAAATTTTAACACAAATAATAAACAGTAAGTCAATCCAAACAATATAACGCTAGGTTTATGTGAGACATAAACTCGAAGGTAAAAATCTTACCAGGAACGTGCCATTCTCCTCTTGCAATTGTGGGAGAGAAACCGACCCGGTAGTAGCAGTTTCCGATACATTAACATCTTTACTTCGGTGAACCTTCTTCAGATGCATGTACAGAGTGCTCATGTTGTTGAATGTTTGCTCGCAACCTGCGTTTGATATGTAAAACATTGTTAGTTTAATTACAGGAGCAGGCGTTGCGGGGCAGAGGGGGAAGAAGGGAAATACACATAATGCAATTTAAACAGAATGGCGACTGAACTTAGCGCCAGTAAACGAAATGTGTGGGATGAAGGGTCTCACAAACAGAGGCGGCCTGCGGCCGCGGCCACCTTTTATTGGTTGGTCGCGTTTGAACACACGCTTACATTACAAGCGAATACAACGGGCCGTCACCCCGGCTGCCACCAAGCAACATCAGTCTGTAAGACACCTGAAGCAGGCGCTATTGCTGCCAAGTTCACATGCATTCATTTTAAGATTTGAATCGCATTGTACCACCCGTAGGCATTTAGTCCACCCGATCTTCACTGTATGTCGGACCTATTTACTATTACAACCAACGAATTAAATACCCTAGATACACCAACACGAATAAAATCGTGCCCAAAACTTACATTGGTCGATCCACTGCGCTCCGTAAAGTGATCGGTTAGTCAAAAACAATATAAGGCATTATTTAAACATTGAAAGTCACATTTAATGCTTACTGTATAAGGTCTTAATTAAAACGCATGCGTCAGAGTTATGACAGTTCTAAATGCAAGCTCATAAAATTTTACGAAATTAACAAACATTGATTAAATACCTATCGACAAAACGACACTTTACATATTACATATAAGTATTTATTTTGCATTTTTTCACGGAGCTCTGATGCAACTTAACTTTTTAACGGTCCGCGCGTGACAGTGAACCAAGAAGTGCTTGAGTGCGTGGTGCTTCAGGTGGTGGTGCGCGGAACATACACACTGACCGGGGTGGGTGCAGCCGTGCGGACGGCGGCGCGGCGCGTGGTGTCATGCGTGGTGGTCGCGCAGGTGCTCGCGGCGCAGGAAGGCGCGCGCGCACGGCTCGCACGCGTTCCGCCGCTCGCCCGTGTGCCGGCGCGCGTGGCGCTCCAGGTGGTGGTGCGCGGAATATACACACTGACCGGGGTGGGTGCAGGCGTGCGGGCGGCGGCGCGGCGCGTGGTGTCGTGCGTGGTGGTCGCGCAGGTGCTCGCGGCGCAGGAAGGCGCGCGCGCACAGCTCGCACGCGTCCCGCCGCTCGCCCGTGTGCCAGCGCGCGTGGCGCTCCAGGTGGTGGTGCGCAGAACATACACACTGACCGGGGTGGGTGCAGGCGTGCGGACGGCGGCGCGGCGCGTGGTGTCGTGCGTGGTGGTCGCGCAAGTGCTCGCGGCGCAGGAAGACGCGCGCGCACAGCTCGCACGCGTCCCGCCGCTCGCCCGTGTGCCGGCGCGCGTGGCGCTCCAGGTGGTGGTGCGTGGAACATACACACTGACCGGGGTGGGTGCAGGCGTGCGGGCGGCGGGGCGGCGCGAGGTGTCGTGCGTGGTGGTCGCGCAGGTGCTCGCGGCGCAGGAAGGTGCGCGCGCACAGCTCGCACGCGTCCCGCCGCTCGCCCGTGTGCCGGCGCGCGTGGCGCTCCAGGTGGTGGTGCGCGGAACCTACACACTGACCGGGGTGAGTGCAGGCGTGCGGGCGACGGTGCGGCGCGTGGTGTCGTGCGTGGTGGTCGCGCAGGTGCTCGCGGCGCAGGAAGGTGCGCGCGCACAGCTCGCACGCGTCCCGCCGCTCGCCCGTGTGCCGGCGCGCGTGGCGCTCCAGGTGGTGGTGCGCGGAACCTACACACTGACCGGGGTGAGTGCAGGCGTGCGGGCGACGGTGCGGCGCGTGGTGTCGTGCGTGGTGGTCGCGCAGGTGCTCGCGGCGCAGGAAGGTGCGCGCGCACAGCTCGCACGCGTCCCGCCGCTCGCCCGTGTGCCGGCGCGCGTGGCGCTCCAGGTGGTGGTGCGCGGAACATACACACTGACCGGGGTGAGTGCAGGCGTGCGGGCGGCGGCGCGGCGCGTGGTGTCGTGCGTGGTGGTCGCGCAGGTGCTCGCGGCGCAGGAAGGCGCGCGCGCACAGCTCGCACGCGTGCCGCCGCTCGCCCGTGTGCCGGCGCGCGTGACGCTCCAGCTTGCTCGCCGAACGGAACGACCACTCGCAATTCTACACCAACGATCGTATTTTTATTGAGGCGCACGACACGGACCGTAAATTGATTGCCGGCGCCTAACATAAGTTCAAATATTGTTGTACCTGCCAGATGTGTCTAAAAAGATTTGATCACTCCTTTAGGCTCACAGTTTTCAAATAAACTTCACATAACATGGATGACGATTTGGTCGACAAAGTTTGCTTATATTATTTAAGCGCATGTAATTATTTAGGTATTAGTATTAGGTTATATACAGGGTGGTCTAATTAGTGACAACAATTTTTTTTTAGATTCCTCGCACCTGGGGTTATCCGAAAATACCCCATGTATGTTCCGCGAGTTTTCTTAGTTTTCGAGTTTTTTTTTTTGTATTTTGAATGATTTCTGCTAGCGAGGTTTCAAAAATTCATATGTTTTTTCGTAGTAGGTATTTTGCAGTCTATTTTTTGTGACATAATTGTCTTGAATTTTGTTTTAATAAAAAAAATAACTCAGCTTCCTTAAATTACTTAAAGTTACTCAAAAAAGGCTTGAAAGTTGGAACTTTAGTTTTTAGTGTAATTTACTCAAACATTCAACTTCAATTTAAAATACAAAAAGGAGTTTCCATAGCTTTTGGATAAAATTAAAAACTCTGCATACTTCTAAACTACCAAAAATCATTAAAAAAAATGTACTTAATCAGCCTATTTTTCTGGTAATTGGCCTTCGAAGGCGGATAGGCTAAAAATCATTGAAAAGCAATTAAAGCATTAAAAAAAAATATATACTTTTCATCATTTTTATGGTAAATCAAACTTAAAAATGTCATTTCAAATTAAATTTAATTGAAATTTCTTTAAAATAACTTTAGGATGTCGAATTTTATAATCATTTCGGTTTCACCACTAAGTTTGACAAATGGAACTGTACATCACTAAGCTATTTGTTGATCCACTACTGCCTTATTGTAACGCCAATATGAAACTTGTCCTGAAAAGCATCAATGGATATGCAAATTTCACTTCAGTTACACACTATAAATGTCAACAAAGTTAGCGAATAGGCCTGCATAGGCTGGAGTGGATTTACGTAGGGCCCCGGGCCATCGGTCGGTCATCCCGTGAAATACCGAAAAGAAGTTTGACCTGTACATGTATCCCTCCCTTCTACATAGGAAAAAGTTTTTGCCCATAATCCAATAATATATTTATTTACGTTAGTTACTTAGAGAGAAACAACGTGTTTTATTAGCTAACATTACCATTAATGCATATTATTGTGACCCCTCTAGTAGACATCAAAACTCGTCAGTTCAATTTTTATAAGTGTGATTATGGTAGACTGAATGAATACTTTACTAAAATTAATTGGGATGAGTTGTTATTAAGTAGCTCAGTTAACGAGGCTGTCAACGTATTCTATGACAAATTAAAAACTTCTTTTTCTTTATTTGTTCCTTTGTCAAATAGTCCTAAAGGGTCCTATCCATCTTGGTACAGTCCTGCCTTAATAAAAATCAACAAAGAAAAGATGTTAGTACATAGACGCTGGAAAAGATATGGTAACCCCAGGGACTATGACGAGTTCAAGTTACTTAGAGAACGACAGCATAGATTACAGAAAACTTATTTTAAGCATTTTATTGATTCATCCGAAAAACTCTTGCAAAAGTCACCCAAATATTTTTGGAACTATATCAAAGGTAAAAGGAATACCAGTAGTTACCCTAAAACTTTTTCACACTCCAATAACTTTTATTCTAGTGGTGAAGATATATGCAGGGCCTTCAGTGAGTTTTTTGAGAGCGTTTTTGTGAATTCAACTGAGTCACATCCTCCACTGCCGGAGGGAATTCCTTGTAGCGAGGAGCATCTTGCCCGGATCCATATAGACGAGGACCGAGTACTAAAGCTTCTGCAGTCTTTGGACGCAACTAAAGCTGCTGGATGTGATGGCGTGCCCCCAGTACTGCTGGCATCTTGTGCGAAAAGTCTTTCGGCTCCTATCACCATGTTGTTTAATAGATCGCTTAAAGAGTGTGTTTTCCCTGATGTTTGGAAGCAGGCCAGAATCGTGCCAGTGCATAAGAAGGGGTCTAAGTCACTCATAGAGAACTATCGGCCAATTTCGATCCTCAATACAGTAAGTAAATTATTCGAGAAGGTAGTTCTTGAGCAAATTTACTCCACCATTGCTAAAGGTATTCCGCAGAATCAACATGGATTTTTGAGACGCCGCTCTACTGTATCGAACCTAACACTGTTTTCAAATTATGTTCTTAATGGAATGGAGAAGGGTGGACAAGTTGACGTAATTTACACGGACTTTGAAAAAGCGTTTGACCGCGTAGACCACGGTATCCTCATCCATAAACTTCAATGCCTCGGTATTCATGGTGATTTATTACGCTGGGTCCAATCATACTTAACTAAAAGGTCTCAGATGGTCGTTCTTGGTGGTTACAGATCTGACTTTGTCACTGTCCCTTCTGGAGTTCCACAGGGCTCGCATCTCGGTCCTCTGTTTTATAATGCTGTTTTATATATCCACGACATAGATAAGGTAATCAAGAACTCAAACCATCTTCTGTATGCTGACGATAAAAAGATATTCATGAGTGTGCGCGATGTTGCTGATTGCCAAAAGTTGCAGGACGATCTAAATAATCTTTTCTATTATTATAACAAAAATAATATAAAAATAAGTATTAGTAAATGTCAATGCATAAGTTTTACCCGTAAACCTAATCCTATAGTGTTTCCTTACAATTTCAATAATGTAACGATTGTGAGATCTGATGTGGTCCGTGATCTAGGAGTGTACTTTGACAGTAAAATGGTAATGTCTACACATATAGACACTATAGTGGGGAGGGCCTATCGCAACCTTGGTTTTGTTATGCGTACATGTCGTCCTTTTAATAGTCCCTTAAGTCTAAAAATAGTCTATTATGCATACGTGCGTAGTCTCTTAGAATATGCGGCCCCAATATGGGGCCCGTGTTACAATATTTACATTAATCGTATCGAAGGCATACAGAAGAAATTTGCACGCCACTTGAATTTTAGATTTCGGAAAATTCGTGTTAAATCGACGTACGAGGAAATTTGCCGAGCGCACGACTTGCTTACCCTGGAGGAGCGTCGTGAGGTCCTTGATATGGGTCTGCTGCATGATATCGTTGGTGGTGGCTTTGATTGTCCAGAACTGCTTAAACTAATATTTTATAATACACTTCCTCGTCGTACCAGGTCTTCCAATTTGTTATATGTCCCACATCATTATACTAAATATGGTCAAAATGCTGTGCTTTCTCGTCTACCAAAAATCTATAACGTGAAATTTGGTGAAGCCGATCCTTTTGTTGGTTCAAAAAAACAATTTCTGAATAAAGTGAAACAATTACTATTTAAGAACTTCCAAACAGCAACATCCTCATAATCGTGGGTTTATGATCGTGAATTATAGAACCGTCATATTGTAAACATTAAAAATATGTATATTTCACATATTGTATTATGGTTATTCAGTCCCCACTTAAAATATATAAATATGTATTGTATGTGTATATACCTGAATGTATATATATGTATGTATGTATATATGGGTAAAGAAAAAAAATATATATATATATTAGGTTCTTAATGTACACCTATATTTTCCCCTGAGAACAAAACAGATAGGGTCTGTATTATTATAATTTTGGAGTTTTCTTTTCTTTTTTTTTTTTTTTCACTAAGTTAGCAACTGTCAGCATCTCATATTTTCTTTTGTAACCACGTCTGTTCGTTTTAAAACCTTATTGTAATCTGTGGATAGTCGTAATTGGCTTTCAAATTATATATCATTGATTGTAATTCCAATATACATATAAGCTGTGTACTGTCCCTTAAATAAATAAATAAATAAATAAATAAATAAATAAATAAATTATGCATAAAAGCGGATTTTAGAACAATTGGAAATCAGATGACTTTCATATGCTTAAATAGGCCCCGCATCAATTTCAGCCCCGGGCCCCACCATTTTTTAATGCGCTCCTGGCTCTAAGTCATATTATAATATAGTGAAATTCTTCGCGTTTTATGTATTTTCAATATAAACAACAAAAACAAATGTTAGCGACTGACCGGGTACTGGCAGCGGTAGGGGCGGTCGCCGGTATGCGCACGCGCATGCTCGCGCAGGCGGCACGGCAGGCGGAACACTCGCCCGCACCCGCTCCACCCGCACACCAGCGCCGGCGGCGATGCTCCCCGGCTGCAGTGCACGCGCGCGTGCCTACCCAGTCCCGATGCCCAGAAGAAACGACGCGCGCACACATCGCACCTACCAATTACCAACAGCCAACGAATCAGAAATGATTCCAGTATTACTCTCTAACAAAGACCGCTAAAACATGGTTCCGAACTCATACAACTAAACTTCAATACTAAAGCAGCAGTCTCCAACAAAAGTTTATTTGAAAACATTCAACAAAAACACGTACACAAAGCTGTTTCTGAAACATGTTTCTCTATACACACCGTCTAATTCTCACGTGGGTGTCGTTCACAAAATACACAGGGATGCGTGGAACGCAACCTACGCTCCAGGTGCAACAAATGTCAAATTTGACAGTTTCATAAATTTTATGTCAAAAATTAAACGCCAGAGTAAAAATTGCACTCGGAACGTAGGCCCCGCTAAAGAGTTGTCAAAAAAATGGCCAATGAAACAATATCCTGCCTGGACCCGCGTGGGGGTGATTTGTGTACGTCTTTTCCATTGGGCTCGGAAAGCGAAAACTTTGTTGATGCAAACAAATAAATAAATAAGTACACGCTGAGAAATCCCAACCAATCACATGGTCGGCATATTAATCGCAGTTATTTCGCCCCGCCCACTTGATCGCAGTTTGCGTGGAACCACTTTTTAGCGCAGTTTGTATTCCATATCATTTCTAATTCGTTGCCAACGGCCTATTATGGCGAGAGGCCCACTGCGTTTTATCCTTGCCCTAGTATGCACTGCATCATCCCATTCTCTGGGAGTGATAGCATCAGATGAAGCCTGATGAGACACCCTTATGGTCAGTAGCACAGTATTAACCCTAACAGTAAGGAAGCTACATACAAACATTCGGAAGGACACACGCCCACAGACGCATTATTTTTTTATTAAAAATTACTATGGGAATGGATAGATAGCGGAAAAGTCAATTTTATTCAATGAAAAAACAATGTTTTAATTTTGAAATTTCGATGGATTTTCATGTACAATAAGTATAAAATATAAAATAAGTATTCAAAAATAAGTTTTATAAAAAAAAACTTTAGGATAAAATTATAGCTCACGAAAAAAAAAACAAAATATTGGGTTTATAAATCTCAATCTAACTAAAACTAGATTTAACCCACAGAAAAACATCAAAGTTAATTTGACACTATTTTATGGGCTTAATCTACTAGCAAAATTTGCTGCAAGTGGACCTGTAGTAAATCTAGGACTTATTAGGCTTTTCTATATTGAACCTTAAAAATTACTCACCCATAACTAGCATCTTCAGGTTTATGATCTTCATTTAAATGTTTGAGCAACAAATGTCGCACAAGAAATACCCTTCCACAAGGTACCTCTGTTCCATCAGATGCAAGTTTTTTTACAGGACATTCGACTGTCACTTGCCGAGCAGGTTTAATGGTGCCATCTTCATTATGAATTTTTTTATGTTCCTGCAGCTTTTGTTCACTCCTAAATTCCTTTTTACAATTAGGTGCATCACACTAAAATATTACATATTCTTTATTTGAGATTAAAAAATAATTCACTGAGAATCTTACTTTATTACGGGCCTAAGATTTGCACAGGAGTGATGTATCTATTTGACAAAAACGGGACACCGAGGATTCTGTACTATTTGTACGAACATAATTATTATAAATAGTTAAGGAAAGGCGTCTCTCAGTTCTGAGCTTTTCCTGAAATTTAAGTTCCGGTACATGAAAAAAAAATACTCGAGGTGAAAGGTAAAAAATAATTGATTTTTTCTCTATTTTCATGAAAACGGTAAGTTTTATCGTAATATTACCTTAGAGAAAAATTGTGGATCATAAATTGATCTATAAAAAATGTATTAATAACATTTTTCCTAAGAGCAACCGTTCCTGAAATATAACGATTTAAAAATTGTAAGCGTCTTAATATGCATAAGTACGACACGTATATACGAGGGGGCGTTTTTAAGTTCGCGGAATGGAGGGCAAGGATTGAAAATAAATATATATATACCATATATATATTTTTAATATATTCACCTGCTACCATAATATTTCTTCTGCTTTTTGCTGTTTCTTTTTTAGTCTGCTATCTTCCAATATTATTTTTTCGACTTTTTTAATGATCTCCGGAGTAGTCACCTCGATCGCCCGTCCGGGCCGCGGCAAGCGCGGTCCTGCCTTGTTTAAAGAGACGGTGCCACTTGTAAACCATGGTTTTACCCGGGCAAGAGCCCCGTAAACAGATTCCATCCCTTCCAGTATGCTTTCATCTGACTTACCTTGCTTGATAAGAACTTTATTACGGCACGGTTCTCGATTTTTTCCATAATGCACACTTTCTTCCCGATTTAATCGTTTGTTTGACGATAGTTCAAAGACTAATGACCCAATTAAGACAAAACCTGATATTTATACTATAATATTGAGTGGCTGAAGTTGTGGCCACCCCAATAATGACCTATTTTATCCTCCCATTACCCTCCCATTCCGCGAACTTAAAAACACCGTCTTACATCTCTGTAGCTGTAATATAAGTGAAAATATTTTTCTACATGTGATTGTCACTTACATTTAAAATATAAAATATACATATGTATAACTATGAGAATAATGTGCTGAAGCTTTTATAAAAAATTAATTCAACTCCACACAAAATTATCACCAACGGAATTCGCTTTCTTCTTTTTATGTACGATGCTCCTAGGAAAACTTCCAACTTAGATAAGTATTGAAATCCATGTTTTGTTAAAAACTCTCGGTATAAGAAAAACCAATAACCTGAGTTGCTGCTCAGCTGTCTTTGTTGTGGCTTGGTTATCAGCTAGACCCAAAAAACTGGGGTTGGAAGTTGGTTGACAATACACTAGAACCAATTCAGACTTTACTCCTACCTGCGCCGGAAAAACTTATCAAGTGTTACTGCAGTGCTAAATGTGGTTGCAAATAAGTTGGACTGTTTTATTCTCTGGCATGTACGAATTGTCAAAGCCAGTCATGTTATATTGTGGAATCATCAATAGTAGAGGATTCATTTGCTACCAACGATGAGAAATGTGATACATCGCTACTGACGCAATTCATTTACACCCAGGATGTAGAAGAAGAAGATCAAGAAATAGAAGAACAGGATCAAGAAGAAGAAATGGAAGATCATGAATCGGACGTATAAATTTTTCTACTGTTTTTAATTTCCATCACAATTATCAATTCCAACCCTTGCTTATATTTGTTATTATGCTATAGTTTGCATTTAAACAGAATCACAGCAGACCTGTAGAATAGGCCTGCTGGGGAAACCACGTTTAAAAAAACGCGCTAAGTACACTACCTCAGAGGTGGTGTGCATACAGTGGCGGGGCAAGACCTAAATTTGATGTGGGCAAGACAGATTTCGCGAGACCCTGTTCTGTGGCAACCTGAAGACGGATTTTATAAAATAATAAAAAAAAGAAATTCGCTTTAAGCAATGCATACAAATTTTTGAGGCGCGAGGCCCCTTGTACCGCGAGGCCGTAGGCGGTGGCCCACGTCGCCCACGCCTTACGCCGCCTCTGTGTGCATATTATAACGTTTAAAACTTTTTATGGTTACAACTCAGGAATACCCTTTCTATCTACAGTAATATTATGATGAGACTTACCATTTTAATGAAATAGCGAAAAGCCTTTTTAGACCTTTGACCTCGAGTGGGGAATATTGATACGTTATTTTTAATTATGATTTGAACAATAGTACTATATTTCAGCTTGGACTAAGTACTTTATGTGGAATTTTAATTAACAAGTTTCCATGAAAGAGAATAAAATACTGGAATTTAGATACTTGTTTATGAATTGTTTTTCTTTGTCGTATTATTCACAAGTGGAATTCCTTGCGCGCGCATGTTTTCCCTCCTTCCTAAAATTTGGGGGCCTTTAAGAGAAGCGTGAAGATTTTGAATGTGAAGCATTGTTGCAGGGCCGGCAAAGTAAGGATGGTTGGTGTGGCAGTTTATTACTGCTGTACCAACTATCTTCGCGTTTGGACTTTATCGCCACTTAACATCAGGTGGGGTAGTCATTTGCCTACCTGGCTATAAAAATATAATAATATTGAGATCTGTATCTGAGTGATAGAGGCAAGCCTATTTAGTGATATGTGCTACGCTGTGTAGTTATACATTTATTTCTTAGTAAGATGCCATATAATGCCCTACGTCGTAACGACACATTAGGTACAAAAGACGAAAAATCTCATCTCATTTTTACCAAAACAAACATTAAAAAAAAGAAAAAAAAAATTACTTGTAAATCTCCATACTTGTGCATAAACAAAACTTTCAAATTGAAAATCATAGTGGATATCAAGAAATGTTTTTATTTTTATGGGGGGCAATAGCAATATTAGAACCTGTTTGTTCCGATCCATTGTCAAAGGTCTACTGAAATCTACACTGAAAGACTGTGCTGCATCAACACAGCTCAGGTATGACATGTAATCAGTTGCAATGCAATAACGAGGCCTAACTCTCACATGTATGCTCAGTAAAACAAAAAGCAAAATATGTAATTTACCATAAACTTCCTTACTGTAGCTGAAAACATGTTATTATTTTGGGGTGACTCAATAGTTACAACTTCTTCTTGTTCCTCTTGGGATATCACTGTTGACAAGGGTACCATATTTGTTATGAGATCTGGATTATCTTGAATATACACTTCACTTACTGGGGATTTATCATCTAGAATATTAATAAATTACATATATTTTAAAGCATAAAATGCTAAAAAATTTATAGTTCTAAACTTAATGTTAACAACATACCTATAACCATTATAGTTTCTATCTGGTTTCCAGGTTCACAATCAATGTCATACAGCATAACATTCTGAAATATAGTTTGAGATATTTATAAACATCAACAAAGGCATTATTAACTATTGAACAAATATTGGAATAAAATTATTTTTAAAAAAGAAACAAAATCAACAGAGTTACCTTTTCAGGTGTATCATTAAAAAAAGCTTCTATGTTGACCATAGTATGATTCGGATCATCATCTTAAACAAATACATAAAACATTATAATATTTTTTCTTTGTAAGCAGGCTTATGTAAGAAACCAAAATATACCCACTATTCGTAATAACATTTTCACCTGATTCTGTAATTACATTACTTGTGGTTAAATTTTCATTGCTGAATTTGTTACCAATTTTATGATCATGATTTAAATCATTCTCCAGGTGATGTGAAACTGGTTTTAAAATGTTACTAAAATCTAAAGTAAGATTGGGTTCAGACACTAGTTGGCCATTTCTAGTTTCTGAAGCATCACATGGCTCTCTGTTAATATTTCCTACATCTTGAGTTTTACTTGATACAGTGCCAGATGGCTTTTTCCGTAAAATATTTGGTTTTTGATATTTCTTCCTTTTGTTTATGCTCTCAGATGACATAAATATAGTTTTCATCTTTAATATATCTGAGGAGTTGGTGTCTGAAAACAGAAAAACAAAGATTACATATAAGTTTTGGATTGGAATTACTTTGTTTCTTAATAGTACAAAACAATAATTATTGCTAGATCAGCTTTGAGGATGGTAAGTTATGACAATCAGTAATATCTTTTATTGCAATTGAATAATGTATATGCTTTCAAGTAACCATCATAATTTACATATTTTAAAAGATAAAGAATCAGGGAATCTGAAACAATCTAGATAAAACTCTATTCATTATGAGCAGTTTATTCACACCATTCTAATCAACATAATAAGTATTTATTTGTTCCTTAAACTATAAATAACAATACATAAACTTAAACTCTTTTGAAAACAAAAAGGGAATGTGGCTGTGGTGGTACTTTGGAGAATAGGCCATTTTCCACCACATGAGTCCAAAGCAGATTGGTGAGTGTGCTAACTACTGTAGGTAGAGATTATAACCAGCAGCCTATTGTACCTACCCAAGTACGAAGGGACTGAAGATAAAATAATTTTTGATCACCCATCCAATGGCTATTACAGAATTTGTATAACTTCTTTCCACAATCGTAGTTCCAACGCGTTAACCACTGCGCCATCGAAATCTTACCCAAGTAATGTATTATTTTAATACAAAAGGTCCTTTTACAACTTTGGTTTGCAATTGTAACCTTATTCAGAGCTTATTCATAACAATATATCTCAGAGAGAATATTCTGTAGTATGTGCATGTAAATATGAGTACGTCCTTAAAAAGTAAACGAAAAACATTACAAAAACCAACAATATACCCACCTCCAGAGTTCGATAGTAGTATGAAAACACATAGGATTTTATTACCCAAAATTATAAATTGAATAAGATTACAATACGAAAAAAACAACCAACCCAACAAATGTTTGTTTTTTAAGATTCTCCCTTTTCAGAAAGACAAAGGGACAACGTCCATACAGCCTAGTCTTTAATTATATAAATCTTCATTTTTTACATTACAATGTCGATGTGACGCATTCTAATGTTTTTTGGAGTATTTGGCACGAAATATATCGAGTTAGCTTTTTCGATAAGCTTCTGTGAGGTAGTCAACACTACAATAAAGTTCTCACGTCCACTTGACTAAAATAACGTATACTTTAAAGATTCCACTTCTTCAGTTGCGCAGCTGGTTGTAACACAAAATCACACCAATTTTATTTCACAATATCCACTATGAACGAATTTAAGAATAGATAAAATAAGACGGCAACCGCACTCCATGAAATCCTGCAAAAAAAACTTTGATTTTAGTTTCTCCCGTTTTAAGGAAGGCAAAGGGAACAATGCCCATTCTTCCTTTTTTTCCTTTCCATTTTTACATTAGAATGTCGGTGTAATGCATTCTAATGTTTCTTGCGAGTGTTTGGCACGAAATGTATTCAGTTGGTTTTTTCGAAAAGTTTCTGTGAGGTAGTCAACACTTTAATAAAGGTGGTTTTCCAATTACAGAGCATAATGCGACTCAGTGGCGCACAATGCCGAATTATGCTGATGCTTATTTGGAACGTGAATTAGTTTTCAAATGCACCAGCAGAGTGCGCTAAGTTCAGTGTTGGAAAAAAAGTCAATGTTTGTACCTTCATCCATATTTATATTTAATTTTGAACACAGTTTGAATTAAAAAAAAAACTATGATGAAACGAAAGTTTTAATATTTTTTCTAACAATGACGCCAATTCTGGCGTGATTCTCTAAACTTAAAACTAAATTTAACATCAGTCTCTCCTTTTCATTCTGTATAGAGAATGACAAGGATATACTGCTGTCAAATTTAAGTTTAGGTTTAGAGAAATCGACACCAATAAATAATATTACTAACGATAAAATATAAATAAAACATTTCGATCAATGCCAACTTAAAGAAAAAACACTTGTTAACTTTCTGTCGCTGAGGTGGTACGATTGCATGCATCACATTAAAGCATTACTTTTGAGAGTGCTCAATTGTGCGAAGCGGTGCTGTAGTTGGAACACTCAACGTTAAGCATTATGCCGCATAATGCGCTATAATGCTGTAATTGGAAAGCTACCAAAGTTCTCACGTCCACTTGACCGGAATAGCGAATATTTTAAAGATTCCACTAATTCTTCAGTTGCGCAGATAACACAAAATCACACCAATTTCTCACGTCCTATTGACCGGAATAGCTTATATTTTAAAGATTCCACTAATTCTTCAGTTGCACAGATGGTTTGTTACACAAAATCACACCAATTTTATTTCAGAGTATCCACTATGAACGAATTTATGAATAACTAAAATAAGACGCCAACCGCATTCGAACACTCGATGAAATCCCGCCAAAAATACCTGCTTACCTGCCCAAGTGCTTTTTCTTAGCATTCTCCTTATTTGGGGAAGGCAAAGGAAACAATACCTATTCAGCCTAGTCTTTAGTTACAGTTTGTCTATAAAGTCGTAACATTAAATGATGGCGCCACTAGTATGCATGTAGCAACCCTATACAGTCAGACCAAAATGATTTTGATATTAGCAGTTCATTCAAGTAAAATAGGTAATTAATAAGACACACTATAGGTACCTATGCTTATAAAAAGTTTAGCCAAGCATATTTAATTGAATCAGAATAAAATTATTATAGATAAAATAGTACTTTATAGTGTAAAAGTGTGTACTGTTGGTGATTACCGCTGAGGTGCCATTGAGACCAGAGCTGTTAGGTAATCATCAATACACACAAGTATCATCATACGACGTTTTTTAACACACTTGTTAAGAAAATAATACTAAAAATCATTTTATAGTATATAAAAAGTTTATTTAGAGAAATAATTTGTAAATGTGCAGTTAGTAAAATTAGTGATAGGTATCTTCACTAAAAGCATCTGGCCATGGTTCTTTATGTGACCATTTCTTTCTTTGGTCAGCCTTGCCTGTTTTCCTAGGAGTTTCAAACTTTCCATCATTCTTAAAACCTTCGTTGACTATCCGATTCTCTGATTTTCCTGGAAAAAAGTAAAAAAATATGTAACAGAATAGTAACAATAACTTATTGACATGAAGCAATTAATTCAAAATTGGTAGAAAACCTGACCGAGTTGAACCATAATAACGAATCAAAAGCAATGGTCGTACTACAATATTACGTATTTATAATGCCAATCTAACCTAAAAATGTGCAATGTAAACAATGCCTTTTTTGGTCTCAAAATCGTAAATTGAGTAAATTTGTAACTTCAGGCAGATTACAAACAAATAGTTACACGATTACATACCCGTCATAGATGCTGTTCGCCCATAAACATCGTCCAAATCCCACAAAATTCGTCCAGCTTGGTAGTCTTCGAAACTTCGCTGGAAAACTTTAAAAATCACTTCCCGCGTGCCACTCCGATTTACTTTACTCATTTTTATACCTTTCTGCGTAGTTTTGTCTTAATTTATTACAGTTTAATCCAAACAATAAAAAATACAAAAGGAAAACTGTTCCACAACTGAAACTCGATGACAGCTGATGTACATAAGTTTGGAGTTGCCAGACACATGAATAATGTTAGTACCTCAAACATTCATGTCACGACTTTATAGACAAACTGTACATAAACAAAATATTTTACATTAGAATGTCGGTGTGACGCATTCTAATGTTTCTTGGAGTGTTTGGTACGAAATGTATCGAGTTGGCCTTTTCGATAATAAAATTCTCACGTCCACTTGAATAGCGTATATTTTAAAGATTCCACTAATTCTTCAGTTGTGCAGACGGTTGTAACACAAAATCTCATCAATTTTATTTCACAATATCCACTATGAACGAATTTAAGAATAATTTAAATAAGACGCACACCGCACTCGATGATATCCCGCCATATACTCCTGCCCATGTACTGTCTGTCCAGGGTTTCCAGGACACCCGATTTTACAAGAGATCTCCTGTTCTTCTGTTTTTCTACATAAATCTACTGTTTCTCCTTAAATACCATTTTCTTTTTTAGATTGCATGTTGAGTTGCATTTTCCGCCATTAAGAATGTAGATAACCTTAATTATAAAGCAAAATAAACATATTATTGAATAAAAAACGAGCGTTGAGGGGCGGTAGAAGCCACAAAAACACATTTGTTGCTGGCCTATATCTTGATTTGATTTACCAATTCTAGGGACAAAATAGGGGGGTACACATCGGAACAATTATGCCCCGCATCCCGCATCTACTGTTTTTTCTTGTAACTCTTTCCAAAGAGTAGTATTTATATTATGGGGCTCTTTCCATACATCTAGTTATTTTTCTATAACGCCTCCCAATTTTTTAAAATCGGACCTAGTAACACTTTGTCTGTCTGGTATCTGCTGGGAGTTTTTGGTGGGATTTTATCGAGTGCGATTGGCGTCTTGTTTCAATTATTCTTAAATTCGTTCATAGTGGATATTGTGAAATAGAATTGGTGTGATTTTGTGTCACAACACAACCATCTGCGCAACTGAAGAATTAGTGGAATCTTTAAAATACACGCTATTCCGGTTAAGTGGACGTGAGAACTTTATTGTAGTGTTGACTACCTCACAGAAGCTAATCGAAAAAACCAATTCGATACATTTCGTGCTAAAAACTCCAAGAAAAATTAGAATGTGTCACACCGACATTCTAATGTAAACAAGAAGATTAAGATTTGTATTTATGTATACGACTGAAGGACTTGTATCAATGGTCATAAATTATTAAAAAAAAAACGAATTTTTTGGCGGGATTTCATCGAGTGCGGTTGGCATCTTATTTTAACATTCTTAAATTCGTTCATAGTGGATATTGTGAAATAAAATTGGTGTGGTTTTGTGTAACAACTGTCTGCGTAATTGAAGAATTAGTGGAATATTTAAAATATACGCTATTCCGGTCAAGTGGACGTGAGAATTTTATTGTAGTGTTGACTACCTCACAGAAGCTTATCGAAAAAGCCAACTCGATACATTTCGTGCCAAATACTCCAAGAAACATTAGAATGCGTCACACCGACATTCTAATGTAAAAACAAAAAGAAGATAAATATAATTAAAGACTAGGCTGTATGGGCATTGTTTCCTTTGCCTTCTCTAAAACGGGAGAACTTCAACAAAAAAAAAACTGGTGTCTGCTAGGGATGTCGAAAGTAGAAAAAAATATCGATATATCGATACATCGATATTTAAAAAAAATATCAATATCGGCTTCGATATATCGCGAAAAAACATCGATATATCGATATATCGGACCAATTTTCCCAAAAATATATGTAGCGCAGTCAGCCTAGCACAGTAATAATAACAATACAAATTATAATTAAAGAAAGAATTAGTACCTAATTGCCGCTACACTACATGACAGTACAGTATCTCACGAAAGACGACACGCAGAATAATAATGGAACGAAAATTATCTCTCTAAAAGTAGACCCTGTTTTCGAATGATGAAAATGATTGCAGGGCCTCTCAGGTGCCATCTTTTGTAAACAAGACTGGACAGTCACCCACTTCCACAGAATATAATGGAATTCACCAGCGAAACAGATTTACAAATCATAGACAATACTAAATACACAGATCATAGATATGTTAAATATCATTAATCTGAGATCCAGTTACGATTTTTCCAGATACGAAACATAGAAAGGGAGCGTAGGGCGTTGGCGACTAGAGGTAACATGCTTGTCCGTAGATTTGCCCGTTGTTCGGACCAGGTCAAAATTACACTGTTCAAAGCTTATTGTCAAGGTCTTTACACGGCGGGTCTGTGGACGAGGTATACCCAGAAGTCGCTCAACGCCCTACGTGTCCAATATAATAATATTTTCAGGATGATGTTGTCTCTCCCTCGATTTTGCAGCGCCTCTGAAATGTTCGCGAAGACCAGAACGGACGGCTTCCACGCCATACTTCGTAAAAAAGTGGCCTCCCTAATTAGAAGGGTGAGAGAGAGCGACGGCAGCATTCTGAAAGTAGTGGCAGATGATCCGCATGCACCGTTAAGGAGACATTGTACGCGCTTGATGTCCGAAGTAGTAGATAAGAGTTCCTCTATACATCGGGCGCAGGCAGTGCCTTTGCGGTGCATGAATAATTAATTAATTAATCATAATAATAAAATCAATCATAAAATCATAATTACTAACCTAGTTTTAATCATAATTTGTATACTAACATGTTGGATCTAAGTTGTCCCAAATAAATGAATTTGAATTGAATTGAAATTGAAATTAGTTAGATCGTGATATGAGGCTAATAATTAAAAAAATATCGTTTTTGATACAAATTTCGATATTGGTTATTTTGTATCGATATATCGAATCAAAATATCGATACATCGATATATTTTAAACAAGCCTAGTGTCTGCTCTTCTTGCCCATGACATGCTGTGATCAAAATAAAACTGGTGATTTTCTCAGTGTTTTGCACTTCGTTCTTAGGTGGATTCAAAGGAGTAATACTCGTGTTGATTTCTAGTTGATGTCTTTCACACGGTTTTACGTGGTGCACGTCATGTGCACTTAGACAAACTTTGAAGTTTAATATTTCACGTTTAAGCACACTTTTTTAATTGGTACATTTAGGTCACGGACCTGAAGGTCCGTGCACATAAGTATTGAAAATGCTTGAATGTGGAATGACGTTACAGGATCTTTTTGATGAAGTTAGAGACATGGAAATATCGGATATGTCTGCCTTTGCTCATGTACTTTCATACTTCGAGGAAATAAACGAAGAAACGGAGTGCTTTATGCGGGTATGTTTTGTGTGATGTATTAGTAATTGTAAAACAACTATTGCTGGAAAACCGGTCAGAGTGTCGCCTTTTATAAGCCTCATAAATTGTATAGGTGCTCCAAAATGTGAAAAGAATACTTCTAAAATACTAAAACAATGTAAAAAGTATCTAATCGAAGTTTTTTAATAGAATAAACTGATTTCATAGAAAATACTTGTGATATTCAAATGGGTGGTTGGTTTTATTAGCAGTCTCTTTTCCTCAGACACTGTAGCAATAACTGTGTTATATAAGGCATTCAGTATTTTGATAGAGTCATAGAAATGAAGGACTCAGCAGTCCTTGCATCCTAAAAAATTTATGAATTTTTAGGTTAGGTTAATTAAAAAAAAACATGCATTTCCGTACAAAATCTTTAGTAGGGGGGGAGTCGGGGAGACCCCCTCCTCCCCCCCCACATCAAAACAACCCCGAAATTCCACCACAACTAAGGGAATTTAGTACCAAAATCTCACCGCGGTACTCAACCACAAGTAATGAAAAGCTGAGCCAATTTTACTAGCTTTAATCAAATATCATTCTGATGTCTGGAATTGAGGAGACGGTTACAGATCTACACTGAGTTACTCACTAACTGTGCAATAATTTCATTGTATTTGAATTCCAGATGCTTGGAAATAAATTTGATAATGCCACTATAACATGGGAGCAACCTTTGTATCAACAATCAAATCGTTTAACCAGAACATTGAAAGATCCTGATAATTTTGATAAATTGACTTATAAAACAGGCCCTATGACGAAAGATGAAGTTGAGCTTATTGAGGAAAATTGGCATAAGTTTATGGAGGTATGTTTTCTTTTAAAGTTTTTAAATGTTGCCCTTCTGTTGGCAGTGTTCACATAAACTGGTTGCCAGGTTTACAGCTTATACATGAAATTTTTTATTCACACTAAAACCTATAATATATTATTATTACTATGCTGAGTGATGTCAACTACACTATGTTAAGTGCTGGTATTAAACACAGTGGGTGTGGCTGGATAGGCCTATGCACCTGAATTTGCAATATATCACAGTCGAGCACTGTGAGCTGTTTAGCACAGCCTGCTTTGTTTAGGTACATATACATGGTAAATGATTTGTTATATGTAAATAAGTTAAGTTGAGGAGCTCGATGGCGCAGGTGGTTAGCACGTTCGGCTGCGATCGTTGTAGTTAAGCAACTTTCGCAGTGGTCGGTTATAGGATGGGTGACCAAAAATTTCTATCTTGAGTTCCTCCATGCTTCAGAAGGCACATGTTGGTCCCGGTTGCATCTGCAGTCATTAGCACCGGCCAATCCGCACTGGGCCCGCGTGGTGGGTCATGGCCTAATCTCCCTAATCCATCCATAGGGAAGGCCTGTGCCCTAGCAGTGGGAACATTAAGTAGCTGATGAGGATGATGATGAAATAAGTTAAAGCAAATGACGCCACCCCACCTAATGTTTAGTGATAGCTGGTGTGGCAGGTGGCTGCAAGTTTGCTCTGTACACCTCTTGTTTGGACCCTCCCTCGGACCCTCGTAGCAGGAGGGAGGGAGCATGTGAGCTGACAGCAACACAGCAAGTCTGTTTGTAAAAAAAAAGACAAATGCTTGCTGACCTGTCAAAATTTCAATATTTTTTTGTCTCTGTTATAAAAGTCTCTAGGCAGTAATTAGCCAAGGCTATGGATTTAAGTCAGGACAGGCCAAAATCTGGCCCTAATCATGGCATAACTGTAGGGCTATATAATATATATATATTATAGTTGTTAGTCACCAGCTCCCCACCGCCAATGATGCGGGTCACTGCAACCTATCCAAAGCATCCAGTAAGTTGTTGAGTTTAAGAGCCATCCCAGAGGTGCGGGCGAAATTAACGCAGAACTGCACTTGTCTGTACACCTACACTGGGCAGCTGTGCTTGGTTTACTTGTAAGTACACCAAGTACCTACCAACGTATATATACGCCCAGGCGTATATAGAGGATGCTAATTTGGATTAATTATAATCCAAATACAGATTTCTTGTAAAATCGAATGGGCGCGCATTTGACCTCGTTCCTCCTTAAGGAAAGCAATGACCTAAGTTGCCTAGAGGGTACCTAACTATTCACTCTTGATTTGAATAGACCTTGATTTGAACAGAGAAGCCGGCATTTGCATTTGAATTTCACAACTGGGCAATAAAAAGCAAAACACTGATTACAGACTAGGCACCTGTGGAATTATCTATTATACCTAGTCAGGTCATAAATTCTGTCACATGTTTAATATAAAATATTGAAACAAGTTTATTCATTATGTAACCATTTATATACCAAAATAAACTTAACAAAACATAGATTCTTATGACAATAAAGTTTATTCAAATGACTTCCGTGATTTTGAATACAGGCCTTCAATCTGCGCGGACAGTCGTCTATCGCAGCATGAACGAGGTCCATGTCAATATCAGCGGCTGCCTTAATCAAGGATGTCTTGAGTGACTCCAAATTGGGATGAGGCTTTGAGCACGCCTTTTCCTACAAGTGTTGCCATATCTTGTAATCTAACGAACTCAAATCTGGACTGGAGGAGGGCCTTTCTTCGTGCCGGATGTAGTCGATTTCACGCGCCGCCAGCCAGTCTTGTGTGCTCTTCGCTCTACGAGCTAGGGCCGAATCTTGTTGGAATACCCAGTGCCTGTTATTGAACATGGTATGAGAAACAGGTTCCACAAGGTTCGTCAGGACTGTATTTTGATACACAACTGCATTCGTTTTTACACCTTTCTTACAAAAATCTACCTCTGTTAAGCCCCAATAAGAAACTCCCAACCATACCATGAGCGAGGATGGAAAATGACCTCGTTGAACACGCGGAATACTGTAGCTCGCTTCTTCACTACTGTGTGCGTACACCTTATCATTTTGTTTGTTGTAGCTCTCTTCTACGGTAAAAATTTTTTCATCCGAAAAAAGAATTTCCCTGTATTTTTTTCCCGCGTACCACTTCAACAAAGCGCGGCATCTCTTCAGTATGAGGTCCATCAGACGAGCATTCAAACGATGTCCTGTTATTCTTCGATATGCCCTAAGTCTTCATTTAACACCCTTTTCACCGTGGTTCTGCTTAACCATATCTGAAGGGCCAACAGTTTCTGCTTACGTTGGGGATTTCTTTGAATTCGCGCCTTCACAGCTTTTCCTAACAGACCGAGGGTGACCACTTCTTGACCTGTTACCTACACTAGAGTCTTCATTCTATCGTTTGATGGTACGATAAACGAATCTTTTGGTTATTTTCAATTCAAAAAAAAAATCAGTATGTCAAAAATTTGAATTGGCGCGTAACCGCAACGATGTAACGCAATAACTGCAACACGGTCTTCGAAAAGTTTTTACTGTGTGACAATACTTATGATCTGACTGTGTATATGTTGGTGACGTTTATAGACAGAGCGGGATGGCCATGGGTGAACGGCGGACACTGGTTCCTAAAATAAAAATATGGGACATTAACATTTTTATGGAGATAGTTAATAATAGTAATAAACAGTGGATGTCATTTTTGATACTTACAACCTATTAATAGGGTTCCGTTTATCACACTTTAGGGCAAGCGTGCAGTATGAAATAAATCGTTGTGAAGAAAATTCGCCTATCTATGAACAACAGAAATTTACTACAATCCGCGCACTGCAAAAATAAATCGTTTGCGATTTAAAATAGCAGGTGCGAAATCGTACGTATATTTTGTATTACAGAAAAAACCGCAGACGCAAGTAAGTCTGAATCGCCTGCGCCTACGCCCGCGCCACCTGTCGCCGCAACAAGCGATATTGATGCAGACAGATCAATCAATGCGGTGGCAAAGAGGCCTGAAATATGAAATAATTATATATTTCGCAGTCGATAATAAATCGTAGTGCGCGTAGGAATTGTTGTCGTTTTCCTATTTTATTTCACACTTTAAAAGTCGTAACGAATAAATTTCGTAATGCGCACATACCCTTAGGCATATACCTCCGCTGCGCGCTGTCTGTCTGCCACAGTGTATGGGAGGTATATCACATTATATAATATGAAGAAAGTAAGAGCACTGTGGGTAGATCTTGAATTATTATTACCTATTAAAAGTTTTTTTTTTCACTGATTATTCTTTAGAGATTTAATATACCAGATAAGTTGATATGCCTTGCAAGATGGAAAAACAAAGAACTTAATCAATATTTACCACAAGAGAAAGCTCGTATATACACGATAGCGTATTTAGCACGTGGCTTAGAAAGAACTCTACATCAAGTATATCAACACATTGTTACATATTATGGAGGATGCAATAGAGGTCAATACACAGAAGATGAAAAAAAAGTAATAGATATTTGTTTCCATCACTGTCCAAAGAATGCTGCTGTTATTTTAAGTGCTGTACTAGCTCGACAACCAAGAGGCATTTATAAAAGAATTCACTTTGCTACAAATGGTGAGTACTTTTATACTTTTTATCTCTATTTATTTTGTTTAAGTTGTTTCAGTTTGTAATGTCTATTTTGCGTCCTAACTGAACCAAACTTCCAATGATATAACATGTTTCCTCAATGCGGAAGGGCCCCAGTTTCTCAATACCCCATCAGCACCCGGAAGAGCCATTAGAATCCACAGTGACAGAGTCTCCAGTTATGTTCAGTTACTGGAGGAGAACTAGGAAGATCCGATTGGCGACCAGGAATCTCAGCGTTTTATATAAAATTTATAGAGCGAGGTGATACTTGACTTAGGGGCAAAGATTGCTTTCTTTAAAACAACTCAGGCTTTGGGTGAAGTATTGATCTCATCTTTGGGCTGGAGCACCTAGAAACCTCTTAACTCGGTTCTAAAACGCGCTGTGAGAAAAATTTAATATTCTAAGCTCAGAAGCGGAATTGTAACCTTCAGAGAAATTTTACCTCTATATATGAGTTCTAATCTTTGATTAAAACAAAAAGGGAAGATACGGCACTCACGGCTCAAAAGTGATCCGCTTAAATTGTGGTGCTCAAGGTCGCTGCATGTGCACTATTAATATAACAATATTATAATGCGATCCAACTAAGTATAGACCGACTGGGCGCCATATTGTGACGTCATTGCTGTCAATTCAAACCAAGTAGGTAGTGAGCGAAAAAGTTTTTATTTAATAAAACTTATTTACAATGATTAAGTGAGAAAAAAACAACAGATTTTTTAATAAAATTTATTTAGTAAGATTGAGAACAAAAAACAACCGATTTTTAATAATATTTATTTATTAAGACTGTGTGAGAAAAAACAATTATCAGATTCTATAGTCTATTCACTTTGGCCTGAGACAAAATGTAAACAAAAAATTCTTAGGTTCTAAAACTTTTTTAATGTCAGAAAGTACCTAGTAGTCAATGATCAGGTCCAGCTTCACCACTCATTAATATAGCCACGAAAACATCAATTCAACAAGAAAACAAACACAGACAACTTTAAACTTAACAGTAAAAAAATAACAAAAATGAAACAAGGAAATAACAAGAATTAAACATATTTGTTTCTTAGGTTTTCACGAAGATCACTCATTAAATATAACTAGTTTTTCACGGGTTCATGCACGAAACTTTATTTATTTATTGACGTTTCGCAGCCTTTACAGGCTGCGTCGTCCGAATCCGTCGGAATTTTTATTTGATTGAAATAAAAAAAATATATTGAATAGACTATAGCTCTTCAATTCTGCTCATCTCTGTATTACCGCCGCGGAGTAGTTATGAATAATCATGTACTATTACGATCACGTACGAACATGCATCCTTTATGTAAACGAAAGTTTTAAATCGAGTTTCTGAACGCTACTTAAAGTGACATTTGCTTGACGATTTAGGTTATCAACCATTCATAGCCAAAGCTCAATAAATGAAAAAAAATATCGACCGATATTAATTAATCAATATTTGTTATTGTTTGTTTACAACTGTTTGGTTTTTATTCTAGAATTAGCTGAGTGCTAAAAAAGGTTTCCAAGATTTTTTGCAAACCGTACTTTTCAAGCGACATTTGACAGATGGAGGTCATTGGCTTTTCTATTCTTGAATCGCACTATACGTATATTCTGTGTTATAAAGATAAAACAATGCCTTCGAAGCTTTTTTAAAGAACATAAATAGTTCAAAATCAAATAACAAATGCCTTGGCAACACTTTCATTCATAAAATTCATACCATGGAAAGTGGTCTTAGGAACTTTTTAATATGTTTCCCACGAAAACCTTTTCCAATCGTATAGATCGCCACAGGCAGGGAATTCATCCTCATACCTTGGAACCAAGTTGATCACGAACTGCACGTTTTTCGATATAAAAGGATATTTGAAGAAGCAAGTATAGATGGGTACCCAATGTTTTTAAGAGATGTAGGGTACAGCTGATTTTCCGCGCGAATTGGAGCGCCTGCCTGGGGAAGCAACCTGCACTTTAAAATAATAGAAGATCACATTAAAATAATATTACCTATTGGTGGTGTTGTGTTTCTGCTGATGAGTAGGGTTCTAGAGATCCGCGGTGTATGGGATTGGGTTCAGGCCGGCAAGGCAAGGATTCAATTTCTGCCGCATTATCTCTTCGCGACTGGACTCCACTTACATTTAACATCAGGTGGGGTGGGGTAATATGTTGCTCCTCGTATGAAAAAACAAAAGTAAATGAGAAACAAATGTTTAAGCGACGCGGTGACCAGTATATAGGTCTCGGTCTCGATCGTAGAACTTTCGCCATGGCTGAGCGTATTGACTTGTAAGACGGGTGAAATTTTGCATCTCAAGCTTCTTGCTATGAAAGGCGTTCAATGCCGTTTAGTTGGTTTTAATAATAGATCTCCTGGTGACAAGTCGTTTAGAACTCTTCCGGAAGGACCAGTTTCTGTACTACCTGCTGGTAGTCCCAACAAATTCCTGCTGGAAGTTGCTAGTATATCTTTATATATATAATTCTTCTGTGAGTGTGTATGTCACTGAACTTCTCTTAAACGACTGGACCGATTTTGATGAAATTTTTTGTGTGTGTTCAAGGGGATCTGAGAATGACAATTCACAAATTTGTCCGCTGGACAATGTTTTTTATTTTTATTTTTTTTTATGGCGGTACGAAGTTCGCTGGGTCAGCTAGTATATATATATATATATAAATATAGTTAGTAATGCTTTGCGATTTAACAATAAGAAATAACGAAATAAATTGAGAACACGTAAGCTAGCTCGTAACAATAATAGAAAAAGATATACAAATACTACCAATGGGGACGCAACCTAATATCGAAACCACTAGATAACGCACTAATATACCTTTTATTTATTTATAGGAAAACCTCCAAAACACAAAATAAGGTGGAATTTAGAACTAGTATCTAAATTTGTGAAGTTGCTGATGAAATACACTGGTGAACCACTAGAAGGTCTGAAGAATAAAAAAATAGACAAGTCAGTTTGGTTGAAATTGCAGAACGATTTTGACAAGCAATATGAATATTTGCAATATATATGGAATGTTATTTTACACTGCCAATTATTTGTCAAGTGCACCTTCACATTGAGGCAGTTAAAAAGGAAAGTTTTTAAAGTGTAAGTTAATAAACCTGCGACTTTTATCTGTACTATTGATAATATAAGGATTAAAGTTTTTAACAGAAAAACCTGAATCCGAATTTGATATCAAACACCCCGGATTCGCGGGACAGTCGCTAATTCTTTTTTTTTTTTAAGAAAAATAATTGTGATGATGCCTACTGGGTACCTACTAAAAGCATACTTAGTTTAGTAGGTTGATATAACTTTGGTAAATAAAAAAATAAAAACTTTTTTAACAATAATAAAAATCAACTTCATAAAAACAACTACTTAAAACTAAGAAATAATACGTATTCTTTACTTAAATCTAAAGTAAATTTAAAATTCTAATTAACATTTGTAGTCAGTACAATGCATGTTGATAGTATTGAGTTAACACAACAAGGCCTATGACTTGTTTAGGGTAATAATAGGTACATAGTTAAAGAATATGTGTGAGTAGGTATGTATGTTCTGCTAATATCTTACAACTAAATTTTAGAGCTGTTCTCTTCAACCGACCTATATGAAATTTTGCATAAATTTTATTTAAGTTACGTCATTCTTATAGTAAGTATGTCGGACGGCGAACGATGGTGGACTAGCTACTACGACTTTTTTTGCACTCGCATGATATGGGTATTATTTATCAAATGAAGAGGTTTGTTGAGGATAAAGCCGCAATTATACTTATCTTTCGTGTTGTATCGTGACGCGCCTAAGTGATGTAAATATGTCACTAACCATAGTATATGTATGAAACCGATGTGCTTCTGGGGCGCCACACACGACACGTAATATGTTTCTGGCTTTAATTCGATTAAACAAACGTCTGCGTTCAGTTATCATTCAAATAAAAAAGCTTTTATTGATTATCAAGTTCCTTATAATATAAATTTGTTTTTTTTAACTAGCGGCACGTTCTCGCTTTGCTTCGGTGAAGACTATAGTTTTTGATCTAATTTATAGCCTATGAAACTCGATCCAGGGATTACCCCCTACAACGTCACAATTCACAAACTTTACCTCTGTATAGATACTATTTATTTTTGATAGTGTTGCTAGGTAAAAAAGTGAATTTAATAAGTACGTAAAAAGTCTAAAAATATACTTTTGCCTAATATCTTGGACCAAACGATATTAAATACCCTAGATACACCACGTACGCTCAAAATGTGTCCCTATTAAGAAGTGCTTGAACACGACTCAAGCACTTCTTGGTTCACAATCACACGCGGACCGTTGAAAAGTCAACATTCCGCTGAGCTCCGTGAAAAAATTCGAAATGAATACTTATAGTATGTAAAATGTCGTTTTTTCGACAGATATCTCATCAATGTTTGTTAATTTAACGCATTTGAAGCAAATTTTGTTTTAATGCTTACTATAAACTGGTTTAATAGAAAATATTTGTGATATTCAAATGCATGGTCGGTGATATAGCCGTCTCTTTTCCTCGCGATCCGTACCTGCTGTATTGCTAACAGCGCATTCAGAATTGCGCGTTGAGTCAAAGAAATAAGGTCTATATTCTTCCGCATATAGCAATAAGTCGTAAAATTTTACGAGCTTACATCTCGGACTGTCATAACTCTTTGACACATGCGCTTTTATTAAGCCTTTGTACAGTGTGCTTTAAAGATGATTTTCAATGTTTAAGTAATGACCTATATTGTTTAGACTATGCAATTATCTTACGGACCTCCGTGGATCGTCCACTGTACCTTTTGGACAGGTTTCGGGCATGATTTTGTTCGTGTTAGTGTATCTAGGGTATTTAATATCGTTGCTTGGATCTACTTAAAATATATTGTTTTCATAATGTAGTTTTTACAAAACACGTCTTTTTTCGATTTCAGACTTCGTAGCTCCCCATTCAAGATATGGCGTGATATACGATGGAAAGAAGTAGTTGCAAAATTTCCAGATGGATTTACTCATTATTATTTATATTGGGTTACAATCAGGGTTATTCGTCATAAAAGTTATTCCAAGATCCCCCTCCAAGAACTGGTTGATTATGGTCTAGAAAAGACTAGATTAAAAAATTATAATAATAGACGTTATTGTAAACTAAAAACACTGATATTAAACAGCAAAGGCAACCTAGAAGAAAAGTATTATGAAAATAAACTAAAAGTTACCTATTTCTAATAAAGAATACTCTTCATTGTGATTTTAATAACGTTGAGTTCTTGTCTCTCTTTACAAACCTTCTCTCGTTGTACGTTGTTGCGCCGCACAACAGATTAAGATATTCGGCTTTGAAAAAAAACCCGGATACGAATTTGGAAATTAAGTACAGAATAACACACGCGAACTCGAGTATCTCTCTGAGCTACCCGGGTGAACCGTTCTTTCTCATTGGTGCAGTCTAAGTGACTGTGGCAAAGACTTTATACAATACCTAGACTGTGCACCATCGCGTGAAAAACGGTCCGGGCTTCCAATGGTAATGTGTTCCTTTCCAATGAGGTGACCATATTAAAGCATAACGCGGGACAAAATTTGTTATTTATATAGCTTGTAAAGAGGACATCTACCCACAAATTTTATTATTATTATTTTCTACAGTGGAGCTCTTAGATTCTGAAAAAAATGGCAGTGACATACGGATGGACGGACCGACAGACTTGACGAATCTAAAACGCTCTAAAAAGTACCTACCAAAACAAGGAAGTAACCGCGACCGCGTTATTTAATAATTAAATTCGCACAACTCGTGTTAAGAAAAAAAAAACTCATCTACCTCCAGAATTCATGGTTCACCTAATGAATATGATTGTAAGTTTTACTTACCCGTGAAAAGAAAAAGGGCTACCGGGATAAGATTCATTGTAGCATCCTGTAACACAACACGAGTTCACCATTTTAAAAAAATACACTTCAATAAGCTAATTTACAATATTTCAAATCAAAGCGGGTAAATCAATTTAACTATCAAGTGAACAAATCACCGTCTAACATTCAGTATTACCAGGCTCAACCATTTAAATACTACTTTTACTCTGTATTTAGATTTATTTTAAAAATATCAATAATTATTTTATTATTTATAGGAACTGTAGAAATGTTTAAATACGTTTCATAGTTTACGAATCGTTCGTATCGGTAACTAATCAGTAAATCACAAATAGAAAAGGATAACATTTTCTACCATTTCTACCAAACCCAATGATAAATTGAGCTGGCAAGACGTTAGAAAGGGACGCACTCCCGTTGGGTGCTTTCTCACTCAGGACCGTTTTTACTAGCGACCGCTTATCAAGATAATAGCTATCCTATTACTACAGATATAAATCTTACTTTAGATTAACGAATTTTTTTCGTGCACTGTCTAGTATTAAATAAAGTCTTTGGACTGTGGGAATCAGTGCTGCCAACTCAAAAAATATTTCATGCTAAACGACGTTAAAAATATGCTAAATATTAAAAAAGATGCCAAAATATAATGCTAACTACTAATGTCCATTACCGATATTTTTTACTTAAGAATGTAACTGTAATGTATGTGATAAAATATAATGTATTAGTGTCAAATAATAACAACACAATTAAAATAGATATATTAATGTTTAATGCTACTTAGTAATACAGCCATTCTTTAAATTCTGTCATTAATTCCAACTCCGAACGTTTATACTGAGTATATTTCGCAGTCATTGATAAAATAATATTAGAAACAGTGCTATACAAAATTACTACTACTACACGTGTAAACGTATTGTTTGTTTGCTAGCCAGCCAACTAACTAACATGATAATCAATGATTGGTGTCAATCCTAACATGATTCTCTAAACTTAAAAATAAATTTAACATCAGTCTCTCCTTTTCATTCTGTGTAAAGAATGACAAAGGTACACTGACTATAGATCCATGCCAGAATCGATACCAGTATCATGTTAGTTGGCTTTAATAATAAAGTAACAATTCATTCAATATTCATCTGTTTAGCGACGCATAGACAAGTTAAAATAGTTTTTGAACGACAGTAAAGTAGCAACAAGTGTTACATTTTTTATCGCTAGATGGCTGAACAAACAAAAGTTAATGAAATAGTGCGCCGATTGGGGAGTGGTCGCGGTATATAATATGCTAAATTGGCAGCATTAATGTGAAAGGGCTGCGTTAATTAAAACTGAAATTTTAATTCTATGGAAAATGACAGTTATACACAACTGTTGGTGAATTAGCAGTCTATTGTTGCTAAGTTGAGTTATAACAATTCGCAGCCTGTTACTTCAACAACCTTCACTCTTCACTCGATGAACAATCAAACAGCAGCAAACTTTGATCTTCCGTTTTACGAATTTAGAGTTTTGGAAAAACCTTTCTTAGCGCATTACATTACAAAAGCTATTTCAGTGTGCTCATTTCAGCGCAATTCATTTTGTGGTTTGAGCTGTGCGTTGATAAGTCAGTAATGATTGCCTATTAAGTGTACAAAAGAAGTCAAAAAATATCAATAACTATATAAATAGTCTTATAAAATTAAATTGAGGCCCAATCTTGAAAAGCTATTATTTCCTATCATGATTCACTGCATAGAAAATTTCAAGCGAGAAGAAAGCGTTTTACACAACTTAATTTCCCGGTTTCGGGGGAAAATTTTTCCTCACACGCATAAAGGGAACCGTAAGTAAATAAGTCACAATTTTTTTTCTTGCGGGAACGTACTGCAGCTCGAAGTGCTAATATATGGAATCAAAAGTGACCTCTGAAAAATGAAATAAGAATACATAAGCGTCTTAAATGATTCTCTACACCTAAACTCTAATTTGACAACATATCCTTGTCATTCTCTATACAGAATGAAAAGGAGGGACTGATGTTAAAGAACAATGCCCACTGCCCATACATTCGAAAACCTGTCACTTCGGTTTTATCTTTATGGATGTATATTGACTGTTGAGATTAAGATGATTCATTTGTGTGCTGTCACAGCTGTGGTGTCTTAGCCCAGCTAGGTATTTATTTCAATTCGCTTGTTTTGTTTGATTGAAGCTTGATCTGAGGATTGAAGAAAAAAGGATTAATATCATAACATGTATCATGCTGAGGTGTCATCCTTATAATATTGTCTTTGGAATTAAACAATTTTTTTTTTATATTTTATTGATTAAATAATTCAGTTTCAATTATTTTATTGAAATAGTAGGTACTTAATGTCTTAGTTTCTGCAAGCGAATGAATAAATGATAATCTTGACCTTTACCTAATTATATCTATAGACATCTAAGACATTTAACTATGTATTATTTAAATCTCTGGTAGACAAGTATATAAGTAGGTAATAATCTAAAATAAAATTACAATACCTTCCATTAATTGAGATGATTGGTACTTTGAGCAGCTGTCATTATTGCTGGCATTTTTTCGGAACGAATTTCCTTCACATGTAGTCAGCCGAAGAGATGATGGAGTCCTAACTATTTCGGTCATGTTTCACTAAGAAAATGGCCAGTCTTTGTTAAGAACGGAAAGAAACTTTAAATTAAAGCCATGCCTTTTAAGTATTACATTACCATTTAAATACGGTATTTACCGCATGGCTGGCAACATTGGAAAGGAGAGTGCGAATCTACATTTAAGCTGCGTTCATAATTATGTCATTTTACTTTGATACAATACTCTTCCCTAATGGATGCGTTCGTGTGATAGCAAAAAATGTACCTACATAATGGTTATTTTCAAAAATTATTTATGAAAAAACTGGATTGTAGTTTTTGTTGATATTTTGATTTCGTAATAAGCGAATAATTACCTTTTTTTTTGAGGTATGTCACATAATTATACACGCAAATTTTTTTTACAGATTTGACAGGTCACAAATGGGCATCCTTCTTTAGTTTTAAGTTTAGAGAATCATGCCACATCGACACCACAGTCTGTCAATAAAGTAATGAAAAAAATGAGGTCGCCACCGTCGCTCACGCGATATCCCCGTTGTACTATCACGGAATTTTGCGCTCTGTTTCTTTGCGAACAAAATGCTTTGAACGGTTTTCTACAGTAGTTTTTACTACGCCCCGCCTTCGCGTCGGACGCGCCAATCCGGGCCGCCGCACAAAAGTAAGACAAAGAGCATTTCATTGATTGAATAATGAATTGAATTGCATTTGTTTTAGTTGCAATTTGTCATCCGCATCGTGATCGTGACAGCGCTATACGAAAAAGTAAGACAGCGATAATTACATGTCTATGAATGAATTTTTACTACGCCGCTACTGCAAGCGATTATGGCATTATGGGTGACAGAGCGGGTCTTTCCGCGAGTGTACATCGACTTAGGGTACGGCCACAGTGCACTCAGATTCAGCCTTAGGGTGCGGCCAGAGTGCACTCAGATTCAGATTCCGAAAACAAGCGCGAGAAATAAACAGTATAGTAGACTACAGGTTGCCTGCTTTTTCTCGCGCTTGTTTTCTGAGTCTGAATCTGAATGCACTCTGGCCGCACCCTTAAAAAACAAGCGAAATAAACAGTGTAGATATAGCAGGGTGGTCATAGTGGCAGCAGGCAACTAGTTGCCCGCGCAGGTTTCGGAGTCAGACACTTTACCGGAATGTTTAGGTCATTCAGATTCTGAATTCACCAGCGCGCCGCTCGGACTGCAGGTAGGGTTGCCAACCCTCCTGTAAAATATAGTATCCTACTACAGTTTCTCTATAAAGTCGTGACATTAAATGATGGCGCCACTAGTATGCATGTAGCAACCCTATACAGTCTGACCAAAATGATTTTGGTACTAGCATTCATTCAAGTAAAATAGGTAATTAATAAGACACACTATACAGTCGTATTTTGTTTCTGTTTTATATATAGTAGGTACCTATACTTATAAAAAGTTTAGCCAAGCATATTAATATAAAGGCCTAAATATAAAATACTTACTCTTCCAAGCATATACATACACGACATATGTGGTTTTGTATTTAAAAATTCTAACGCGTTTAATAAAGTTAGCCAAACCCATAATATTAATACCCGCCATAAAAATAGATTAAATCATCCCCCTTCAAGACTAACCATGCTTAGCAATAGCAACTACGACATGGCAGTTAAGATATTTAATAAATTACCACATTCTGTAAAAAACCAAAAATCTATTACCACATTTAATACAAAACTTAAAAAATTTCTAATTGATAAATGCTT